GCGCCCGGGTCCCGGGGGGGCCTTTTTCCCTTTTTTTTTTTTTTTTTTTTTTTTTTTTTTTCTTTTTTTTTTTTTTTGTTTTTATTTTTTTATCTAAAATCGATTTCTTATCCATATCATGTCATCATGCGCAATAATACGAGAAATTAAAAAAAAGATAAGTTTATCATATGATTTTCTAACAGTTCGCGTGCTACGAAGTTTGCAACGCGCCGTAGAAAACTTACAACTATATTTAAGTAATATATATGAACGAGCTACTAGTATACTATATTATTAGTAAACGCAGTTGTTAACCTAGGATATGTAATTTTTCGCTGAGAGAGAGCATTATATCGCAAGCGAAAAAAGGTCGACGGCGCATCTTGTTGAAATGTTACTCAGTTATTTCACCTATCATATATATATATATATATAAATAGGGAGGTAAGGATAACTTGCTACGGCTGGCGCCGTAACGCGTTACTTAACGGAGGGGTTTAACCTGCCATAAGAAGTTATCACTTCAAAACTTGTCGTAAGAAATTTTGTGCGTTAAAAAGCAATATAAAAAGCGTTAAAAAATTAAAGATCCACCATTTTGCGTTTGGTACACGTCATAAGAATATTGGTTCCCAAAAAAAAATATGGAGCAGCAATCGAACCCCTAACAGACGTACCACCCCCTTATTCTTCAAGGCAATACGCATCATAGCGCCGCATCATTTCCTACATTTTTTTACTAGACCTCCAGTGTGTTAAGTGAGTCACTAAAATATTCAACCTTTTTATTTAATAAAATTCCACGAGCGCCATTAAGTTAATTGCGACTTAACTAATTCACTGAAAAGCTTTAAAATGGATAATTATAATAATATTGCACGCTACGTGCGCAACGTCTTAGCCGCATAAGTTGCTGTTACGTTTTTTAGTATAAGAAGTGTTTTTATTTGCAGCTACTATTTATTCTAAATTAAAAATCGATTTAAGATTAAGAAAAAATATATGACAGGGACAGGACTCGAATCGGCATTTACAGCGTTCTGTGCTGCTATTCTAACCAATGGAGCTACAGTGACCTACACGTGGTCGATTTTTTCGAACCGTTTTTCGTGGACAACGTCGTGGTTCAGAGCTATAATTTATAAATATGAGGAGGATTTTGCAAAAACTAATTTTTCTGTTTAAAATAACTATTCTACGAGGATAAAGTCGCTGAAAAATTTTAAAATTCCAATGACAAATATAGTAAACTCAGGCGGAGGTAACACCATACTAGTCTCTATATATTATCAAAGTGAATAGAGAAAAAGCTTAATCAAATCAACCTGCTATTTATGCACAGTCGCGTATAGCAATTAATTATTCATGTTCAATATTTAACGGCGGTTCAGCTGTGCCTATAAAAAAAGCTAAAAAAACAAGAGCAGAAAAGGATAAAAAGATATCAACTAAAAACCTTTGTCTTTCTTCATGGTTAGCAATAAATTTTTTTGCGGTCTCTTTGATCTTAGGTATACTAAATTATAATTAGAAATTACTTGCTCAGTGCACTTTGAATTTCTTTCGAGATGATTTTCTTGCTTCAAATACGATGATATTTTATAATATACGATGATACTTATCAAGAAAATATGTGTCCAGCTTTAATACGGTCCGTTATTTTTTTTATATTAGAGGAGGATAGACAGGGTTAACTTGATGGGAGGTCAAATACCCTGCCATATAATGCCGTCGACCTTTTTTTGGTTTTGAATATTCGGAAATCCACACTGAAAACAAAACGCGATCACGGCTGTTTCATCTGTGAACTGATGGTGATGGTTTGTGACCCGGACGGAATTTCTATAGTCCTATCACTCGGTCCAATATGTTTAAGAAGATTTATAAATTTATTACAAATATATTGGACCCGGTGGGAAATTCACCCACGCCCCTTGATTATTAACCATACATTGCTACCATTACACCAACGAGCCTGCAAACATTTTCTTCTTTACAATTTCTTTTGAGGCACTCGGCTCATATCTCGTAGTACTTCCTACGAAGTGCTACGTATGCTATGTCCAAGCTTTGTGCCCCAGATCTTGAAAAGGCAATGCTTTCTTTTTCATGCGCATTCAGTGTTAGTTTTCTCTGAGAATTCTTAAATTGTCTATTAAAGTTTACAAAAAGTCTTCTTAATCTCTTTGTAAATTATTTTTTTGTTAGATGTTCCTTGCATACACCTTTTTCGTTCATTATTATTTACGTGTGGTAATCCAAATGGTGGTGGTAAGGTACATATAACAATTAAATTTAAATATTTATATATAATTACAAAGTAGAATATTATAGGGCGTTATTTCTTAATTAATAGCTTGAAAGCGATTGCCTTTACGAGAGTGTAAAAGTAAATAAAATGTTGTCGGAGCCAAACGGGGTCTTCGTTAGTTGGAACAGGAAGTTGGAAGGTTTTCAAGTTGTGTACGTGAGCTTGTTAGGGCTGCGGATGTCGATCTTAGACGCTGGTGCACCTAATAACAACATTGAAACAACCAAGTCCAATACATATATCTATACTAAAATCCGCGACAGTATATGTCTATCTTTTAAGATTAACTTACAAAAACGAGGGGACGCGGACGACTCCATGCCTGTTATAGCTATAATTTATAAAACTGAGCAGGTGTTTTGCAAAAATAAATTTTACTGCCCAAAATATCTATTCCATGTGGACGAAGTCGCGGGCACGGCTAGTCTGTCAATAAGTTGTTGAAGTTTTATTATGAGTATAACAACATGACATTAGATAAAGTCAAGAGAAATACTAATCTTTCCTGTCTCCTACGATTAAACAAGGCTTATTTTAAAAACAAATCAGTTTTCTGGCCAAAACTCGGACTCTATTACTTATCATTTATTATTTAAACAAAATATTTGACTTTGATTATGTAGTTATGTCGTTATATATATGTGCTATGTAGTTATATATTATTAAGAATAGATATCTTCTGTCTTTGTGTGTATAAATCTATAGGGTAAAAAAAATCATCTATAAGATGTACTAAGAGTAAACTCTATTAGTTGACAACAGGAACATTTTACGTGTTTCAAGATAAAAATGAAATAGTCACGGAATAAAGATTATCAAATAGAAAGCTATTTCATATAGCATTTCGTAACTTATTTATTTAGCTGTAAGTGGGCAGATGTAACACGAGACTCCGCAGAGTTCGCTGTCAAGTTTATGATAAACGAGCACCTTACTGCAGTTATATTTCGCTTCACATACTTCTATCTTGCTATATATTCCAAACTACTTAGGATTACACAGATACACAAGTACTGTATTACGTGGCATTAAAGGAAAAAAATATATTATGATTAATTACGCCCGCATTATCGTTATAATAGCACGAGCTGTGGTCGGGACTTTGTCGGCATAAAATAGTTATTTTGGGCATCCAATTTGTTTTTGCAAACCTCCTTTATAAGTATAAGCTGTTACCCACGTCGTGGGTCGCGTCCCGTCATTCTAGCAAGTTATACTTAAAAGATAGACATATACACTCTTACTACAAAACAAGGACTAACTCTGATTTATTTGAAATCCTTATTACAAAAAGAAGTTTAACGTTTGTACTGGACTAACCATGGTACTAACTAAGATTCCTTTAGACCATGGTTTAAGAGTTAAACCATGAGTTCGCAGTTCTGGTTTAAGGATTTTTTGTAATAAGGCCGATAGTATAGGATATCATGAACCGTTTTCGCAGCATACGCATCGGAAAAACACAAAGCTGAATAATTCCCGTTTTATTCCTCCTATTAGTCACGGCGCGATGTTTTATAGTTTAAAGTATTCCTCGATAAATGCTCTAATCCACAATTTCTTTATTCAAACTAGTAGTTCCTGAGATTAGCGCGTTCAATCAAACAAACTCTTCAGCTTTATATATTATTATAGATTACGCCCGCATTACTTAACATAATCGTTATGATAGCATTTTAAAGTATCTGTATCTTTTCTGTAGAGTAATGTTAGTTAGGTATATGATCACGATCCCACATGCGGTGACCATGGCTGTCTAAAAGCCAATGAAATGTGTTCTTAACAGAACCAAGTCATCTGTTTCCGGATCATGGCTTGTAGCTAATACCCCTTGCATGCCTTTATCAAGAGGGAAGGTTGGTTTGTTGCAATACATTTTTAATATTGAAGGGGTAAGGATAACTTATTTTAAGCTTTCTTCATGATTCAATTTTACAGAATCAGGGGAAAACAGTTGTCATACCACTTACGATGATGTTTGCTTATTTACCTTGTTTGATCGATAGAGATATAACTAGGTGCTATCTGTGTGTATGACATAACTATATAATAATACGCTTTACAATTATGTCATAAGAACTAATCGTATTAGAATAGGCCATTATCTTTTCTCCATTACGGTAAAGTCACCTCTGATTTTTGGGTTGGGTTTATTTGGACCATATTATTGAATACACAGTTGGGTCTAGTAAACGATTATATAATAATGTTTGGTATTTATAATATTATAACTTAACGGCTTCATTACGAATACCATACATAAACGAATTATCGCCGAGCGGAGTAGTGTTAGCGAAAAAGGGTTTAGTCAAATGTTCTCTCAAATAGGTATTGCTCTAGTTAGTTTACATATTCAGATATGGCGTTTGTTGTTGCCCAACTTTAACAATATAAAGATGAAGTTCCAATATTGTTTGGGTGTATTGGCTTTTGTAGTTAGACAAGTTTACCTAGTCACAATGTAGGTATTTATTTCAACCACCCGTTTATATAATTAAATCACTGAAAACCTTTACAATAGAGCTGCGTCGCTAAGGTAAATACGTATAATTCGATATCACATGTAAACAGAATCCAATAAATGTGCCAGGGGAATCCCCTATCAAAAATCAGCACCCCTAACGAAAAACAAACACCGGGAGCTCTCGTTAGTACACGCTCAAACTAAAACAATGCACGTTTAAAGTTTCGTAATAAAAGCACTCACCGATCGCGGCGAGTGAAATAATGATGAGGAGTGCGATCAGACGCGACATGTCTGCCCTGTACAGCGGGTCGCAGCCAACTGACGATTTTCGCGTATTTTCCAGCGTAAAAGTGCTAGATAAAGCGGTGCTGCTGTAGAAGATAACATAGGGCATACGGTATAGAGGATTTCCTTTCAACGTTGTGTTGTATTAATCTTTTTAGATAACATTATTGTTTAATAAGCTATTAAAGCACGTGCGTGTATAATATAATTAGCAGTTAAGCCAGTAAATAACCAAACAGTAAGTATTGTCATAAATCTTTCCATTATTAGTCAGTATAAAAAATGATATAAGATGACTTTATTTATATTCAGACAAAATCATATGTATTTATAACAAGTTAAATAATTAATATCATTACGGTATCAAAACATAATTTAGTAATAAACTGTTAAATTTAAATTTAATTAAAGTACAACAGAAAACAGACATTTAATTGAATGAGAAACATTACACGAGTCCTGTAAAGAGGGTTTTGTATTTAAATTGTATTTTTAATGTCTTATTCATTGTATTACCCGAAATTCGAATTCAGGACCTCTCATAATATCTCGAGACATCGCGCGCATCACGCCTGCACTGATAGTTATAGAAATGGAACTACATTTCTGACTGTCAGCGCCTGCAGCTGTAAGCGCTGAATTGTCAGACGCAGCTACCCCCCGTCCCCGAATGCGGCATTGCGTTTACACGTCCCCGTACAAGACTTTTGTGAAAAAATCTCGGAAAAGAGCGATGTTTTCACAAGCCTTTTTATAGTAGCGTGTCCATTTTGCAATTAATGCATATATGCATATATGTTGCTTTATATTTGCTTTTTTATTAACATATGCGCTACAAATGCGCACTGCTTTTTCCGTTGAATAACGCTGCAAAATAAAATGACAAAACTTATCATGTATAAAGTTTCAAAATCAAAATAGGTTCAAAAAAAGTGTGTAAAATGTTGTAATCCCACTAATTATGTACTAACTTTGTAACCACTATCAAACGGAAGCACATTATTGACATAACGCTATGTTTAAATAAAACATTGTAACGGTTTAAAACGCGATATATATTGGTGAACTTGATGACTTAAATCTATACAAGCCACGCACTAACTATGGTAAAAATAACATTCTGTATGATGGCGCAAGATCTATAATCACCCCCTACCCAAAACTATTAGAGAACTTAATCATACAAACTATTTAAAACTAATTTAAAACCTTTTATTGTTAAAAACAAAAAAAAGTTTAAAAAAAAAAATTCATATGCCACAAGATTGCACCATCTTATAATCCAGTATCTATTATTTATTTATTAACGTATAAAAAAACAAAAATTTTACTAACGGCCCAGTTTGACCTCTATTATGTACGTATAATATTTTGTGTTTCCGCTTAAGTGAAAATGTATTTCTTGCGTAAATAAATGTCTTAAACCATGAACTTATCCGAAATTATTTTAACTGGTTTCGGAGCTTTCGGAGACCAGTCTCCCGTTTATCGCGTTTTAAACCGTTAGTGTTGTCTTTAAATGTGTACTAGTCGCGTAAGCTACAGACAGTATATGCTATGTGTTGATCCTTTTATGTATAACATTTTACCTTATCACATTCTAATAAGCATATATAACAACCCGAAGAAGTAGAAAATAGATATAAAGATAGCGACTTTGAAAGTGCAACAATTTCATAGCTGGGTCAGCGTTGTCAACTCGAAGCGAGATATTTCAAACTTCATCTTCGTCAACTTTGAATTTATGAATATCCAACTTTTTATATTAAACAGAAAACTTTGTGAAGTTTGCTACTCCGTTATAATTACTTAGAAGCTTGATATTTTTATTTCACGGTGTTTTTAGCAATTCATTAAAAAAAATTGTTTACGTTTTGCAAGTATTTATTTATTTATTTATTAACTTTATTAATTTAAAATTGTAGTTATGCCTTTAACTACATTTTTTCTATAGAATAGGGCAATCAAGCTTGGATAAGACAAGGTGTCACCCAGTCCTATAACATTTAATTAAGATATGCTCTCAGACTGTTTTGGCTTGAGAAATTTAAATAACATATATTATATAGTATAGTATTCGTCCAGCGCGTTGGTAATATAAATCAAACGGTTCAGGTATTTGTCGGGCGGCTTTAAATACTAATTCTGGTATAGATAGACACGTGTTAAGCAAGTAACTACTGTTAAGTGAAAGATTAGTAAATCTAGGCTTATATAATTTAAAAATCTAAAATAAATTGAAAAAATTTTCGACTCGGGCAAGACAAACGAAAATTTTTTCAATTTATTTTCGATTTTTAAATTATATAGTGCCTTAATGTGCAATAACATGTGAAAAATATTAATGTTTTCAAATCTAGGCTTTTGAGATACATTTGGGCTCAACTAAGCAAAATAAGCAACGCGTAGCTTCGATCCCCACCGAGCCCAACACGTTTTCAATTTATAATTTCTCTGAAATATGTTTATCTTCGCCTGGATATCTGGATATTAAATGAGTGGTAGGAATTTTGAAATTCCGTTAGACGAACCACAGTCCACAGATAAAAAAGCCGTGAAGTTTAATCGCGTTTCGGTTTCAGTCTGTGGATTTCCGAATATCCAAAGCGAAAATAGATCAACGGCGCATCTTAGTTTAGATGTACTATGGCTGGAGTCTTTCACCTACCATCAAACGAACCTCATGCTTGTTTGTCATCCTCTATCTTTAAATTTTTTTTTAATGTAAAATATTATATCAATACATATTAATATAACACTACATGCGCGAAAGAGCATTATAATATGGGTGATAGTGATAAAGGTCGTTCAATATGCACTTCATTAAGGCTTAGGTGTCACGAAGGCTACATTACAAAGAATTTACAGCCTATTTGTCTTCATACGCACTTTGAAGGCTCTTGACTGGAGCTCAAGTGCCTTTTAAGACGTTATATGGGTGACACCCATGTGTTAGTATACGTAGTTTAATTAGTATTTAATTAATTATGTACTACTAGCTAGATACGGGTGAAGTAATCAAATTTATATTAAAAGTATTATATTTATATAAAATGAGGTTGTTAGAGGCAAAGTGGCCTAATAACAAAACATATGATTTTCTGGTGTTGCTGTAGAAGGAGGTCGATAGGGGAGTTATGGTTGTTTATCGTGTGTGTTACTGAATTATATATTTATTTGTTGTTGCAATTATACTTTACAATTTTTGTGCCCACAAAGTAAACCACTAGACCGAATGCGACAAAAAGTTATGCAATTAAATGACAGCCGACTGCAAAACATACAAAGCTCTGAGATAGGAATAAAAAGTTTCATTTGAATACCTGCTAGCTGTTTCAACGAAATCCACTGCTTGGACTGACTTCATCAGGTAATTTTAATCCAATTTAAATCAACAAAGTTTTTGCATCTAACTGAGCCTAATCTATAGTAGATCCCGCGGCTTTGCTCAGAACTATAAAAAATAGCGAGCAACATAACAAACATAAAGGCCGTTTTTTTATTTTTAAATCGGTTACACTAAATTATTATTATCAATTGGTCGACGTTGTTACATAACGCGTTACGGTGCAAATCTGTCTCGCTGATTCCACTATCACGCATACTGCTGATCAAACTATGGTAATATTAATATAAAGCTAAAAGTTTGTTTGTTTGAACGCGTTAATCTTAGAAACTATTGGTTCTAATAAAAAAATTAAAAAAACGCTATGACCAATAGGAGCGAAGAAACATAGGGAAATGTGGAAAAATCGGGAAATTATTCATCTTTGAGGGTTTTCATTGCGTGCGCTGTGATATGTGTCACAAGAAACCAAAATTTCCTCTAAATGATCTAAAAAAAAAGGCCCATCTTTTGAGATTAACTCGCTAGAACGACGCTATTATTTATTAAGACTTGAAGCTTTTTTGCAAAAATATTTTTTGATGTCCAAAATAACAATTCAGCGCGGACGAAGCCGCGGGCACAGATAGTATTTCAATTCATACAGTATTAAATAATAATGAGAACTTTAAGTTAGTTTATCGCGCGTTTTGAGACACGCCATATTTTTTCATTCAAAATGTACAAACCGCGATGTCTATTGCTTTGTTAAACTGTTTAATTTGAATATTTACGCCTGGTTTTAGTTAAATCACGTTGAGACTGCAGTCCTTTAACGTAATTACTTTACTGCAGATCCGTTGCGGGCTAGAAGGACTAAGTATATTATGCGACAAACTCTTAGCTATTCAATGTCTTAATATTTTACAACTGCTAGTAAGTTAAGTCTTAAAAATGATGTAAATAAACATCAGATATACGATTGATTAAATTGAATAAGGTTTTGTGTTTTATTTTAAACTTTAATCTAATAATATATAAACTAAGTAAGCAATAGCATTATATAGCGTTCTGACTATTTAGCTAGTAGCTAGAGCACTCGATTGTAGAGTGAATGGTCCCGGATTCCCGGGACAGTTGGAATGCTAATGCCTTAACACTTCTAGAAACAAAGTTAGTAATGGGAGTCCGCGTCGTCGGCGTCGTTCTTGCGAATTCATCTTAAAATATAGAAAACACTGTCGTTGACATATTTTTGGGACCTATATAAAAGAGGAATCATTATTTCGTACATATCTTATGAGAATCTCAAGCCGTTTTCGCAGGGCACGCACCTATCAAATCTAACTAACACAATAATTATTCAATTTGAACCAGTAGTAACTGAGATTAGCGCATTCAAACAAATTTCCAGCTTTATAATATTAGTATAGATTTCGTATCGTATCGTAATCAAAAGTGCACATCCCTCCCTATTCGTCCTCTGCCAACGGTTGCCTAGCAACGTTTAACAACCCTTAGCAACTGCGTGCGTTATTTTAACAAACTGCCAATTATTGTCACAAATTTCTACTCCTCGAATTCGCTGTGAAGTGAAAAATGTCTGGAATTAATCGTCCGTTGAGCCAAATGAGGAAACTTGAAACGGTAATTTTTATACAGAATGAACATTTTAATTAGAAGTGGGATTCTACGAACATAAACTTTCGTTCTGACTCTCGTTTTGCTGCACACTTTATTCCGCTGCTTCATTGAAATAAAAAATCTAGAAAGATCCCAGGGGAAGCGGGGTAGGTATGGATGAGGCATTTTTATTCACAAATAAAAAAAACATGGTAAACGATATGTAATAAAATATCAATGTCACTGTCAACTTAATATTCAATGCGTATAATATACTAGCTGTGCCCGCGACTTGGTCCGATAGTTATTTTGGGCTTCAAAATTTGTTTTTATAACTATATAACTATAGCTGTTTAGTGTGGCCCATAACGTCGGCCGCGTCCCGTGGTTCTTGCAAGTGAATCTTAAAACATAGACATGTATTGTCGCGGAAATTTTTAGGTCTTTTAAAAAGGACATTCTTTCATATTTTTTGGGTATCTTGAACCGCTTTCGCCGCGCACGCAACAATAACCAAAAAGATCAATCAATTATCAAAGATGAATAATTTTACCGTTTTTCCACATTTCCTACTGTTACTGTTTCCTCGATAAATGTTCTGATAAATGAGAATTTTTCAATTCGAATCTGTACTTCCTGCGATTAGCGCGTACAAACAAACAAACTCTGCAGCTTTATAATATTAGTATAGATTTATATTTGTATGGAATTTAAATAATGTTTAAGTATGTGGTTACAGAAGGACGCTGTTTTTCGTGCAAGGAAACGTATACTTAAGTATTTGATTCTGGGTTTCCTCAAACAAGAAGGGCTGATGCACACGGCGGACACGTTAGTCTCCGAAGGCGCTGTAACCAATGAGTACGAGCTCTGTGATAATATTGACCTGGATATCATACTGCAGGTGAATTTTATCTTAAGGTCTTTAGGTAATAATAAACCCGATCCGGTACAATCTAACAGCTGATAAATTACTGCTATACATACATTTTAATTGCTTTTAGGCACAATAATTCAGATTTTTAAAAGGCTAGAATTAATTCTTCAATATTTTTAAAATATCAACACTACACAGAGAAAATGAGCTAAGGGATATTTTGAATTTTCAAATTGATTGAATCTACTTCTCCAAAATTTAAAACTTTATGATAACAAATTCGATATGTTAGTGAATTAAACTTAACTATGACCTGATGTTTTTTTAAACGTCTGGTCACATCTCGGCTGTTGTAACGACAGAAGGTTTACAGCAACCTTTATCGCATTAACTTATTATAGTAGTGATTAAAACTCTTATATGCATTTTGTCATTTAGTATTAATAGATTTTCAAAATATTAGTATTCAGTGGTCCAAGATAAATGACATCACGTTCAATAATCTACGTACATATATAGTAACGTAATATAATCTACTGCGCCAAATCATAAGCAATCCTTTGTCGTCCGCAGTCGGTTAAAACGGATAATTGCTTAGCATTTAGTGACAGGCATTGTAAGCGCTCAAAAAGCGTTTTTTAAAAGCGACGTTTATTAATGATGGCGAGACAAAGGGCTGCCGTAAATACTTAACTGATGGCGGATTCAAGTGTTTCCCGCCTACACTGCGGACACGCCCTTGTTTTATTTTGACTCTGCATCTCGCTTTGTTATTGTTTTATTATATTATGGGAAATTCACAATAAGATTTCTATTGTGCAAAGTAGTAATTAGGCAGCTCAGCATTTCGGAATGAAATTATCTGTAAGAAGTGATACAGAAGTCACATTTCGTATTTACTTTCATGTAAAAAAATTGTCTGCTGTTAGTAAGTACACATTTAAATCAAACACTTTAAGGGATTAAAAAACAACATATATATTACCCTTTAAAAACAAATTTAACTATTATATATCGCGTTTTAAACCGTTTTATAATAAAATACTATGTAACATGTTTTGTACTATTGATGACGTGAATTTAAGTGAAACTTTAGTTTCGATTAATAGTCTATAGAGTGAACTGCCTTTACAAAAAAATGAACTAAATTACCAAAGTTACCTTTTAAAATAAACGCATTTATATATTTTATTAATTCGCAGTTCTCCGAGTTTAAAATTTATGGATTGGAAAGTTCGCGCCATTGGCTCGTGAAGTTAGCTCTAATTCACCGCTGAAATAGGTCGACGCCAATATATTATAAGCCTATTAATGGATAAACAGAATTATGGCATTATTTAGTTATCGCGTTTTATATTTGTATTTGTATTTGTTATTTAGTTAAATTTGTTTTATGTGGACTTGGTCTCCTCGTAGCCTCCGAAACGCCGGGTCGTTAAATACAATTATTTCGCGTTTATAACTGTTAAAAGTTTTGAAAGTTTTCTATTTACGTTCGCCGAAACTACTGTCAATAGAAGTACATTGTTTAAAGTCTTATAAAATGAGTAAAAATCTCGTTTCCTCTTGTGGACTGGGGCGAGGTTAATTTCACTGATTAATTTACTTTACAGACAAGTAAAGAATCAGACATCTGTGCCCTAAATGCATGGCCGAATCAATTTTCCCAGGATTCGATTCAACAATCTTTTGTATATTATTCAATACTAGGAAACGCGTTTAACCATTTACCACATTTATATTACTTATCTAATTTTTAATCAACTAATTGTTAACCAAAATCTGTGATGTACTATTAATACAAACCAAGAATATAGGTCTTCCAATACGCTCTTATTAATAATAACCGAACCGATTCAACGACATTTATAGATCTTTGGATCGGGATGGGATGGGAATCATGACGTCATAACACAGACTTAGAATATAAAGGTATGTATTGAATCTATAATATTAGGCGATCTTATAAAAGAAATAGATAGGTACAAACTTTTTTATATAGGAGGATAGACAAGCTCACTTGATGGAAGGTAAAATACCCCAGTTATATAACATCTAAACAAGATGCGCGGTCGACTTATTTTAGCTTTGGATATTCGAAATATCCAGATTACCAGACGAAGTCCAACATGTTTCTGTAATATTTAAAACATGTTGGCCGTGGTGGGGATCGAGCCAACGATTCGTTGATTATTAGCCATACTGTCGCCCGTCTTTATTGACAGTCTTAAGTATACCACAAATTCATTGATGGTATTAACTACCTGCGTACACTATAATAAGAATGAAGCATTTAATATAACTTAGATTATAGTGTGCGTATTAACTAAATTCAATTCTGTGAATGGTTTAATGTCCTTTAATTTTGCAGCGCAATGAAATTGTGCAGTCTTTCACGTATTTTTGAAGCGTGCCAATAATCATGTCTCCACACTGTCTCTGCTATTTCAAAGCTACGTAAGGCTGTATATACATAAACTTTTAGCATCCCAGTTTTTTAAGACCTTCTTCGCTACATAGTATAAAACTTCTCTGTCCCTGTGTACGCTTAAATTTTGATAACTACGCATCGGATTTTGATGCGGTTTTGTTTAATAGCTAGAGTGATTCAAGAGGAAGATTTTTATACATATACAACGTTCACAGTTTTCCTGAAGTGTATTTAGTATCAGCATTGCTTCCGAGCGAAGCCGGGGCTGGTTGCTAGTACTATATATTTCTAGTACTAAACTCGAAGCAAACTTCATATTTCGTTGAAAAAGATTTTTTATAGAAGTTTATTTACAATCATTAAAATATATACATAACATTTTTATTATTCAAAAGAAGCATACGAAAAATTATGTTATTTATTGCTTCAATGTTTCCTATTTTCTTAACTCTGTAAGAGCTTCCTTCCAGCGAGCTATCGAATATTATATTTATTTTATTCTTAAATTTTAACTTGCCCAGAAGAGATTGCTTGTTAGCAGTAAGGCCGCCCATTACACTGCATTGTAGCATATAATATGTTATATATACTTTGTGCAATGAAGAATCAATAAATAAATAAGGGTTAATTTAATGAGAAAAAAAATAGTAGGGAATTCAACCTGAAAGAAAATCGTCGTGTATATGAAGCTTATGTGTGTCGTACTTGCAGCTTGTTACGGCGTCGGTCAGGGTCACAGAGACCGCAACGTCTCATATTTTGTTCATGGTATGGGTGCCTTTTACCTACATTCCCGACATACTGCATGGCCCATATGCATATTTTACCATCCGACAACACAAAAACTCTACTCGAATTTGTTTATACATGATGGTAATTTTATCTACATATATGTATATGAAGTATGTGTTTAAATACAAAATTGAAAATGACTTTGGTTCTCTGTTTTATATAAAAAAGAATATTATAGAAAACCAATGAACATTTATGCAATACTTCAAATAAAATAAAAAATAACGTAACTCTTTTCAATCTTCATTGTATTGAAAAGAATTTCATTACTATAAAGTACACTATACGTAGTATAAATTTTAATGAAAAGCTTAGGCATTGAAATCTTATTAAAATATACACTGCAAAACTTCGTAATTGTTACGTAGAGACGTTGAAATTCTGATTGAATGACAATGAAATGGGATGAAAAGACATATGTTCAATTTAAACGTCATACAAAATAATAGTTATCTTTACTCTTTATGCCATGAAAATGTTCGAATTAATATTGGCGTCGGTAGGTCTCGCTAACGATACTGTAGTTATGGCAACTTTCCAGCTGCACCTATGATCAAATTTTAAATATGTTTCATAAAGCGAATATTCTTAAAAAAATAAAACAGATTAACGGTTTAAACGCGAAATATAATATACCTAATCTTAGACTTATAATGATTTTAGGCTACCAAATTTAATTGTTTAATCTTCTTTGTATACTTACACCGCTATAAAACAACTTACGCATTTGCTTCTTGTGCTGTTTATGGATTGTATACGACGTACATCTTTTCGTTCTTTATATTGTAGCTTCTAAAGTGCTTTCTTGTGTACATGTTTGTTTTCTTTAGAGAAACGTCTTGCGCATAATTGTGTGGTATTTTTAACATACGGAATTGGCGAGGAGTGCATTGACGTCAGACAATAAAACGAAAGACACAAATGGAGTATGACTGAAATCCCAGTGCGCTAACGATTATCTATTTAAAATTATTACGGATTGCGTTAGATTTTAACGAGGAGTAATAAATAAATAACAAACTAAGCACTATCTGCAGTTTATGCGATTAATACACGTTTAAATAAAACCCGACGTTTCGGATGCTTTGCAGCAGCCGTGGTCATGGCTAGACGCGGGCCATAGTTAAGATAATTTTGTGAATAGGTAGGTATAAATAATATATATTTCGCGTTTAAAACTTATAAGAGATCTTGCTTTTCCTACACGAAGCATGGGACAGACACAATTCTTTGTGTATTTATTTTAAAGATAGATTTATCCATAGGTGGCTAGTTTTCTTTGCACCTATCTTGTTTAAAACTGACCTATAACGTCAATAAACGGCGTACAAAAATATCTTTCAGGACTATTGCAGTTACTATCTAATACGTTTCAATAAGCAGCCCCAGTTTTGTCGGAAGGTCGAAGAGCCTATCCGTAGGCCGCAGACGAGACGAGTAAAACCGGAAAGTGTTACAATATTACCGGAACCAGCGCAGCCTGATTTACCTTCAAGTTTTACCGTGACAAAGCTGTTGCATGTATGCCTCATTTAAATAACATTAATGTATCATTAAAAAAATTTTTTTTTTTAATTTAACTCAAACATAGATGTGTCCCAAAAACTCTTCTTTACTACTTGTGTTTAAAAGCTGGAACAAAACAAATAAATAGCCTACAAAGACAATTTATAGTAATGATATAATTTAGTGCAAATATATATACATATAAAAAGTAGATAAGTGAAATTAATTTCTAGCCATTTATAGGACAGTCCTGAAAATATTGAACACAAAATACCAGCAATTGAGAGAAGGCCGCTAAAGGGACTAATGGCCAATTTATCTCCCGATAGAAAGCATCTTGTCGAAATTCTGTACCAGGACATCATACGACCGTCGGAGGTTTTCTGGGAGGACGTGAAGGGGTTGACGTCTGCGAAGAACCTCTTAATGGAGTCTGTGGTTTATCCTGTCAGGTATTATGTATCTATGATTATCCATTTTCTAGATTCTTTACTTGCATATTTTTTATGAAATAAAAGAAGATCTACTGTCTATTTCTTAAAATTGATATATATCTACTACTGACTATACGTGACGGGTTCGTGGATGTAATGGTATAATTAATTATTAGCCTTATATTGCATAAGGCTAATAATAACGGGTCGTGGGTTCGATCCCTATCGGGACCAAATTTTTTTATAATTAATTTATAATTGATCTTAAACATGTTGGACTTAGTCTGGAAATCTGGATATTACTGAGTGTTAACTTATTGATTACTTTAATAATAATTTTACGTATTTTAAACGAGAATTAATCGACATTAATCGATTATTCTCGTGTGCTCAGGAAAGTTTAGGATTGATCTTCACACCGATCATCAATTCGACTTTTATAACACCTAAGTTTTCAAATTTTACTAAGGTATCCAGAAGTTTTTACTGGTCTACTGGAACCCTGGCGCGGAGTTTTGCTACATGGACCTCCTGGCACTGGGAAGACGATGCTGGCTAGGGCTGTTGCTGCGGAAAGCGGGTGTACCTTCTTTAATGTCACTTGCAGCACTGTCATTAACAAGTGGAGAGGAGAATCCGAAAAGATCATCAAGGTTTGTTCGCTTGGTTATTTTATTTTCGTTTCATTTCTAAGTAGGTTCTGCACAGAAAGCTGTTCAAGAAAAAGAAGCAGACACATAGCTTTTATAGCACTACAAAATTAAACTGTATTAACAAAGATAGTATATTACATATGTCTCGTATTAAAAACTAAACAAACGTAATAGTTCAAAGCCTACTTAGATTAAAAAATATATATATAACATGGGCGGGAATTGTACAGGTATCCACAGCGTTTCTGCTGCTGCTGCCAATTGAGCTGCTGCGTCCAAAAATGTTTTCAATGTATTTCAAATATATATTACTAAATATTTTAAAGATTTCTAACGTCATTAATAAATACTTGTTTTCAACAGGTGCTCTTTGATATGGCATCGTATTATTCACCATCAATTATCTTTATTGATGAGGTGGAAACCTTGGCGTCTGAGAGGTCTTCGCCAGGGGAGCACGAAGCCTCTCGGAGGTTGAAGTCACAGCTGCTTACTGAACTGGACGGAATTACTCAGAGAGATGGCATCGTGTTTTTACTCGCTAACTCTAATATGCCTTGGTGAGATAATGTTTTTAGTAAATCCAGTGACTAACCCCAAGCCCGTCTGTAAAACAAGTAGCAAACAAACATTCTGTAATCGTGTCTTGTTCGTGGGAATAACACTGTATTATAAAAAAAAAATACAATGTAAATAAGATGGTATCAATTCAACATCATGTTGTGACCAACAGGAGCAAAGACAAAGTGGGAAATCTGTAAAAAACGGGTAAATTTATTCATCTTTGTCGTTTACTGCTGCGTGCGTTGCTTGAACTGTTTGTTCAAAATACTTATAAAATATGTATAAAATGATGAGTCCTCTTTAAACGAACTAAAAACAATTGTGGGTATCAAGCTATAAGTTATAAAGATGATTTGCTAAAACAAAATGTGTTTTTAGATGCCCAATACAACTAAGTATTCTAAGTAGACGATGTCGCGGCCACAGCTAGTCATTAATATATATCAACACAGAAACATTTTATCTTATGCATTTTTCGCGCAATGTTTACGTGACATCTGTCATTGCTAACGTACGAATTTTAAAACAAGCATAATTATGACTTAATGTAAACTAATTTGAAATAGGGAAATTGATCCAGCGATGCTCCGTCGTTTAGAAAAGCGTATTCATATACCTCTACCAGACTTCAAGACGCGAGCTGAACTCTTCCAAGGTTACCTTAGCGGGAAGAACATAGAGCTGGTCCCAAAAGTGGACTTCGAGGAACTGGCTGCTAAGACCGAGGGGTATTCTGGCAGCGATATTAAAATGGCTTGCAAAGAAGCACTGATGGCTAGTGTTCGGAAAATGCTGCCTAGTATGGGGAAAAGTAAGTAATTATAAAAAAAATAGTCTGTCTATAATGAGGCGAAGGTAATTCCCGTGCTGCCGGGCTCTACCGAGGTTTACATGATGAGAAAAATGAAGTGGTAATACTAATACTCAGTTTTTATATAAAACATACTTATTAATTCGACGTTCTACGCATTTGTTTGAAATACTGTCTGTAGTTTACGCGAATAGTGCATATTTAAATAAAACACTTTAACGGTTTAAAACTGTCACGGGGAGACCACGGCTGCTGCAAAGCATCCGAAACGTCTAGCCGAAGTTAAAAAAATCATTTTTAAATAACTAATATATCGCGTTTTAAACCGTTAAAGTGTATAAATGCCTAATTCGTTTGTCAAGCAAGTGCTGTATGTAACTCGAGGAGGTAAATAACCATACCACATAACTTAAACTTACTTATTTATTATTAGTGTTATTTATGTTGAATAACATTATATTATTATTAGTTATTGATTTTTATAATTTAATGCAATTTTCTCTTTAGGTGCGTCTAATAGAAAAGACAAGCTGTGCATATCGGGCATTTTGACTGCTATAGAGAGGACAAAGCCAGTGGCCAGAAACTTAGCCAAGCGACACGCTGATTGGCAAAACGAAAAGGGCTCTTCTTAAGAGTGATTTAGTATGTGAATTTAATAGATTGTCTGTTTCCACAGCAATATTAAATCATCTATGCTGAAGTATTATTTACTATAGCAGCTTAAAAGCAACCATAAAGAACCAAGTCGTACCAGTTCTTAAATTTCGAAGGCCACAATTTGGGTAGATTTCCTTATTTTTGAAGAATTTTATCTTAATAAGTTTGTGACGTTTTTTTTTTGTTTGTATGTAACTTAAATTTACTTAATAATAATTGGAAGCTGATATTAGTATTTTACATTGAAAAACATACTCTTTTCTTGAATTTATTTAGATTCTAAACAGCATCGATTTTACAAAGTAGACAAAAATAGTTACATGTTTTATGTATTAGTATCACGAAATAAAAGGTTGAATATTGCCTTGCCTTGTTTTACAATATGTTGCTATAGCTCAATATGACACTATAATATTCATAAATAAGCTTTAAATATCCACCAAAACGGGTTTATAAGAAAATTACTTAAAGCCTACTAACCATTTTGTATAGTGGGAAAGAGACAACGCTATTACATCGCTTCGGTGAATACTTATTTAGCATTATTTATTGAATATACCTAAGAACACGAAAATGCTTTCATTTCGATCTTTTGAAGCATAAACTATTAATGATTAATTTAAAAAGTGCGGAGCTTGACTAGAAACCAATTGATTTAACGAAGTTAATTTTAACAACCAAATAACAATAGATTGCACTAGAATACTAAATTATATAAAGAGAAACGAGATACAGATTGTTTTTTATCTGCAATTATTAAGCTAAGGTACATCGAATCAATGTAATATACCCATATGTTAACAGAAATAGTTTTTCGTATGACTGAAACGTCAAAAAGATTTCCAAGAGGACAAAAGTTGAGTAACATGCATCGTTCTTTGACTCGACTATAAGAATAGATAATACCTAATTTCGAGCCAAGGACTACGCATTTTACTCAATTAATGTACACAATTGAGCTAAAAAAATAAATTCACACAAACATTATCTATCACAGATGTTTAATACGATTGAACGTATGTAGCGAGTTGGGGAAACATTGTAAATGTCGAAAGATTATTGTGGTCAGGCACTATACGATACGATTCTTATTTATATGGAAACTTACACTTGACTGTCGAAATAGATACTTTTATACTATGTTTTCATCTCTCACAATGCACTAATGTTGAAATAAATAATTCAAACTTTTAAAACGTCTGATTTAATTTTTATCAGTAGGTATTATAATCTGTTTGTAAAAGTGTTGCTATGATATGTTCTGAGATAATTCCTAATCTAAGTGCATCTAAACAATGGTCTAAGACCTTAGGAATTTTTCCACAATAATTGTTACTATATTGCGATTTCCTAGAGAGAGACAGAATTATAAGATGGACCCTTAGATCCATCAATGGATTTTCAAATGTGTACCGACATTCCTTACTCCGTGGATAACCAAAATTTGATAACAATTTCTAATCCAAGATGTTGTTGGTAGACAAAGTGCAACTATATACCTACACGTATTCTGAAAATCCTGTTTTCATGTTTAAGAAACCTACAATATAATGGGAATTCTAACTATAACTATATTTATCACATAGTTGTATGAAAGGTTTTGACACGATCGCATCTTAAATATTCTAGAAAAATATTTTCCATTTTTGACAGCCCTATATTGCATACCATAGTTATTGAAAACTGCGAGATTTTCATCAGTCTGGGTATTTCAATTCCACTTAATTATTTTCTGATATCGTTACTAGAATTTTTGCATTTCAATATTGTAATAATATTACCTACTTCTAATTCTAGTAAATTTAAACTCACATATTACAACTTTTAAATTCACGATAATAGTATCATTTATATTGTTCCATATTTTAAAGAGATTTTTTTAACACTTGTAACACTATTAATAATTATATAGTGCTACCATATACATCTACATTTTATGGACATTATGCTAATACTTCGACAGGCGTCGATTATGTATCGACAGCTAAAGCGTTTTGCGACTCACGGAACAATTTAAGCCCCTTCGATTTGTAAAACAATTGAATTTTTAATGTAGAAGTATCTAGAAATCACTAATAATAATCAGAGTCAGACTGGTAGAACACTTCTAATAATAATGTATAAAACGAGAATTTCAACAGTTACACGGAAGTGTTGCCACTTTCGTCCATACGGATGGCCACTTTTGCGAGTTTGCCAAAGAGGATCAAATTGGAAAGGAGCCTCATTGGCGGCGAGGGTTAAATGTAGAAGATAATGGCGGGAATCTGACCGTCCTCGACAGAGGTGCCATTGTTGTTGCCAGCTGCATATGAGAACTGGAAAACAACCTTTTCGCCATTGTTGCAATCGACTGTGGCGCGCCGGAGGCCTTTAGATCCGTAGTATGAGTCCGTGCCCTAAAAACACAGACAATAACATTATTGATGGAGAATAATTAAAAATCTCAAGATAGAAAGTAAAATATGTGCATATCAATAAATCACATTTTTTTTTCTGTGTATCAAATTTATTGAGTCTATTGCAGACAATCTTTATGATAATTTACAATATGGTACAAAAAGAGCTATTATAATTACAGTAGTATTAATCTATATGTCTTATCGTTTGCTTACCTTCAATTTAGCACTGGCTATGTAAGAGGTATTTGGTAGTATCTCCACAGGCTCCTTAAACATCGCTCGGAAGGTGTCATCCGTTCCGTCGCAACAAAATGTTGTCGTGTTCGAACCGCACACTTTTTTTGTGGCTAGATGAATAATCTATAAACGAATGTTAGATATATATTTTGAAATAACATAATGGAATTATATAATAGTGGCCATTTGCAAACTTATCATAGCCATAAATATATATATTTTTTGTCTTTCTCTGTTATACTAACAATTATAAATAACGACTTATCCTACAAAACTATAAAATTAACATTTTTAAATCTATAACTTCAATAATTATACTTACTTGCAAATGCACCTCATATTCACTAGGCCCAAAGTAAGACCCGTAGAGCCCAAAACCAACTACAAATATCCTCTGGTCTACTGTAAACCTAATCCTATCAGTTGTGCCACTATATCCCCACCGAGATTCTGTTTGTGAGAACCTGTTAACCGTTAACTCTTTGCCTGTCATACAACATCTAGGGGTGTCGAGAAAGCCAACATTAGGTTTTGGATTTACTGTAAAATAGAGGAATAGTTGGACAATCTCACGATCATCTAAAAGTCCACTTTGTGCCGGTCCCATGGCAAATTCTTCTACTGACATCAGGGGAAAGCGAATTGCGTGGAATGCCCTGCCCAGTACTGTCCTTTGGTTGGTAGGTGTGACCGGCAGTTGACGTCTAATACACTCTGCTTCGGACCAGCGGAGGACTGCAGAGAATATTTTAGCTTCACGAATCCTGAGCGTGTCTCTGAAATATTAATATGTAAGTTTAATAGAAATTCAAGCCTGTAATTATTTCAACTATAACACAATGTTCAGTCCAATAACGAGAATAGAATTATTATTTCATTTTGATACAAACATGAGTATGCATACTTATTACTGAAGTAACTATGATTTGAAAAGTATTTTAAGTTAAAGTTTAATAAAATTCTAGTTTCAGCAGACTTATTTCAGTTAAGAAAGAACATAGTTAAACTTTTTACCATAGTTTTAGCAATATTTAATATGGATATTGATTTGTTCATACTGGAATAAAATTATAAGATTTGGTAGATTACAATAATTATTTATCTTTTGTCAGGTGCTGATAGGTTAAGATAAAAACAACTAATGCCTCTAACATACCTCTCCAAAACTGCATTCAATGTGTCTTGATCTATATCAGTAAAACCTTCTGCATTTAATGCATCTGCTGTATTCTTATCTATCATTTCTAGGCATAATGCAGCCAACTGTGGTTCATCAAACAATCTTGCCTGTGTCAGCAGTAAGAAGGCATTATCTGTACCCAAATTACTCTTCAGGAAATCAACACAATGTTCCTCTAGGGCTGCCACAGCATATTTCTTAGCTGTATATAGTGTTGTCATAACACTTTCTGGTCCAATCCTAACTTCATCAGAATATAGGAACTTTAGTAAATGAAGGAAGGCAGCTGGTTCCACATCAGGGAGTTCTATCTCATCTGATTTAGTTGCCAGCACACCGTTAAACATTGCATCAAATACTGCACTACCAACAGAGAGTACAAATTTGTGTGCTGGTATCACCTGCTGATTTGCATCTTTGCCAACAATAAAGTGGACATCAGAGAGAATTTCATTATTGAATAGAAAAGAAAGACGCTCCTTAACTGTTGTTTTTGTTGCCTGCCAGTTATACAAACGTCCACCTGAATTGTTTGTTGGTAGATTTTCTAAAGCAGAGGAGGAAGGCATCTGTATATAAAAAAAATATAATTTTAATGTGCTCACTTTATTAGTTACTGCATTTTATTACATTAATTCAAGTGCATAAAAATCTGTTGTTTAATATATAAGAATATGATAATAGAGGAGATAACATGCCAGGATAATACTACACATTGCAGTGTATAATATAGTAATAGTACACAAGTACAACTTCATTTTTGTTTGCAATTAAATTAAAAATAAATAATAAATAAAGTTACAAATATCCAAATAATGATAATGTGCTTTGTAAACAAAGGGGTAATCTTATTCTCATTTATTACTGTAATTTTTATCACACAATTTTAATAAATCACTACAGTTAATCTTAATGAGTTAAGTACCTGATTACGGCAATGATCGGAAAACTAATAATTCTTAATATTATTGCTGTCTTATCGAGCTATGGCTTACATTGAACTGAAATAGTCTGATGGCTCTTAAATGAAGATTGCTTTAATAGATTTAGATTTTTTGATTTGATTCGATAGCATCTGCTCTAGAATAGGTCGTGGTTTTAATCTTACTTACTCGATACTGGATACTAGGAGCGTCCTCATCATGCCCGCCCTGCCTTGCCTGCTGATTTGAAGGTAACATATTCTGCGCCGGTTCTTCATCATCATCACCATCGTCTACCTTTAAATTCGATAATCTATTCACAGCATCGTTTTTAGACCCAGAAGCCATGGCTACCCACTGATGATATACAATTCGATATACACTTGTTTATTTTATTTATTTACACTAAACTATAAAACTAATATTGTTTAATCACTTGGATAATGTTACAATTTGACGTTGACTTTTCGGTAAAATTTTGACAACGGTAAAAACGTCATTCCGTAAGCCGTCTGTTACTTTAACTTGACTTTGTATGACATTTCATTTGTGTCAGAATAATCTTTTTATTCACATGGCTTTCCCATTCGAAATGACTTCTGCCATTATCATCTGTATGTCAATTTCTTCGTAGCTCAGTAAAGAAAACTATATTTACAATCATATTTTAGTTCACTTAATTTAATATAGTCTATACTAATATTGAAATGAAGCTTTAGAGCTTTTTAATTTAGCTTTAGAGTTTGATTGTTTAATCTCAGGAACTACTGGTTCGAATTAGAAAAGTATTTGTGTTGGTTCGAGGATTTATTGAGCAAGGCTTCAGGCCCCCTAACGCCGCAACGAATAGTAGTGAAGGAAGAGCGGGAAATGTGGAAAAAACGAGGAAAATAACAATGAAAAACGGTTTAAGAATATTTATTTTAATTAAGAAAAATATTTGAAAGAATGATTCTTCTTAAAATGATCTAAAAAAATGTTACGGACAGTATATGTCTATCTTTTAACATTAACTTAAGAACTAAGGGACGCGGATGACGTCGTGGGAAATAACTATAATGTATGAAGATGAGGTTTTTAAAAACAAAATTTCATGCCTGATGATTTGATGATATTCTACGCGGACGAAGTCTCGTGCACAGATATTATAATATAATATCTGTCCGATTGAACAGTCAATCTTTTAAATTCACTGTCTGCTTTAATAAGTAGAATTCGTATATGATTATTGCCTTTTTAAAATTTTATTTCGGTCCTTAAAAATACAATAGTATCCTAACTAGTATTTTAAAAAATAAAGTAAATTTTAAGTCTTCTAAAAACTTAAGTAGCTTGATTAAAATCGGTTCGTAAAATATATTTTAACAGGGCCTGTAGAATAAATTCTTTGAAAAGAGTTTCGCTTCTAGTTAGGTTCTCGTTAGATTATAATTTCGCATACATTCCATACATACTGCCACAATGTTCATGATACTCGCGTGTAAAATATCAGGTAGGTATGTCCAAGAAGCTACCTTTGTATTATAAAGTGTCGTGCATGGTACTTTATCGGCAACAAAAAATCTTAACTTAGCATATAAGGCCACTAAAACTAAAAACATGATAACTAAAATAAGCTGAGTTGACCGGGTGTATTAAACGTTTGTTACAATCTGAATGTTTCGTATGATAACTGGTAAATAAAATGAAAATCTTCGCATAAATTCAATAAGTATGCACCGTAAGGTCTTTTAGTCATTTCTTATTGAAATTGGACTTCACGATTATATGCCATTCTCTACATAAATTAATATTTCTTGATAGTTTATAGATATGAACAATATCTGCTATCTGTCTTATATAGCTATAGTCTTCATTATTTCGACGAATTGGTTTCAATTACTTGAATTAGAGTTGTATATATATTTTTTATCGCTCGAACGATGTTCATGTCCAATATTTCGTTAAAATTGCAAGCTCAGCACGATAAAAAATAAAGATACTATATTTGACGGACTCGTTGGTCTATTGCTAGCAAATGTATGGCTAATGATCAACGGGTCGTGGCTTAAAAGCCGTAAAGCTTAATCGCGTTTCGGTTTCATTCTGTGGGTTTCCGAATATCCAAATCCAAAATAGGTCAACAGCACATTTTAGATGCTATAGGTTGTGGTATATCACCTACCATCAAGTGACCCCATGCCATGTCTGTCCTACTGTATCATTAAAAAAATTCAATATAAACATGCCTTTACAACGCGTGTCGGGCAAAGATAGCTCACCCGCTTATTGCTTCTGAAACTGCGTCTCGTTCAGCTATGTAGACTTAACAATGTCTAGAATGAATATGCCTTTAATTCACATATACATATACATTTTATGTTATTACGGTTGTTGAAAGCCGAATTAATAGTTGGAAATTAATAATTTAAAAATTATTCTATCTCCTAAAATGGATCCTTTATTTTAGTCAGAAAATCCTCTTCAGAAACTTTTGGGGAGTGTTGGTAGTGTAATAATTACTAAAATCCTACAACGGCGATGGTTTGTACAAGCACTGAATTACAGCTATAGCTTATCCCCATATTTCTGACCAGGCAGAACGCTTAAGGATAAAGAAGGTGTGCACATATCTATACGTCTGTACTAATATATAAAGTTTAGCTAAAGCTGAAGAGTTTGTTTGTTCGTTTGTTTGACCGCGCTAATCTCTGAATGGGAAAATTCTTTTTGTGTTAGTTAGAGCATTTATCGCGGAATTTCGGAGGCTACTTATATGCTGATTTATAAAAGCGAAGATAGAAACAATATGTTAGAAAGCATGATTCCTCTTTGAATGTTCTAAAAAATAAGATACCATCGGCCTTATTACAAAAACTGTTTAAACCAGCACTGCGTAGTCTTGGTTTAACTCTTAAACCATGGTCTAAATGAATCTAAGTTAGTACCATAGTTAGCCCAGCACAGACGTTAAACTTCGTTCTGTAATAAGGATTTCATATAAATCAGGATTGAGAAGATAAGAGTGATACACTCTATAAGCCCAACTTTTAAGATTCGAGATGTCGTGGGTGACAGTTATAATGGAGGTTTGCAAAATCAAATTTTGATGACAAAATAACTATACTACGCGGACGAAGTCCCTCGCGCATTTATATAGTAGTCGAGAGTAACTTAAGGGTGTTTTCTTAAAAGTATACGAGTATATAGGAGCCAATGAAAATACGGGACCCTGTAAAATTACGTGACACTGCATTTCCATAAAACAACATACTTGTAGCTCTATAAAACACTTCGTACGTCATCAGACACGCAAGCGCGGCACGGTCGATTCAGCTAACAGGTGCCAGACCCGGCAGTCCCGCTGTCGCCTCGGACGGGGAATCACCTCACAATCCACAATTACCATATCAACAGCCTGTGAACACCAAATCACTCCATCGCGCAATTTAAGCGCCCAAACTAAATATGTGAGCCATATTTCACACAATTCCGTTGTGGTGTTCAACAGGCGTTGTATTTTAATGTTGATCCTTTTCTATACTATTGTTGTTGTTTCTAATGTCTATTAACCTGTTCCGAGTGCTTATGTTAAGTGTCTTTGATCCTTTGAAATGTTGAGCTTATGAATGAACTTTTGACTGATTAGGATGAAGTATTTTATGGAGTCTTCGAATTTCGAGTAAAAAGTGAGTCGTTTTTTATTAAGTTATTGTATTAAAATCGAAGTAGCGCTATATTACCTAAGAATTTATATAATAATTTAAGTACTTTAAAGCGTTACCTACATAACTAGAACAATTAAGAAATAATTCAACTTTAAAAAGATAGAATATAATAACATTTATAGCTAAAATTGTAATAATAAGAGGGTACAAGTATCAAGTTTGATTAAGCGTGGCATACGAGTAGTATGAATATAAAACTACCTTCGAATAAATTATAGCGATCGTAGGATCGTGTACTTTATTATTTAAACATCTTAGCTCCATTGTGATTTACAATCTCCTGGCGGTGTACATAAATAATGTATATAGATATAGGTAAGAGAAAGATGGGTTACAATGTGTTCCTTCCTAAATTCAAGATTACATTTGAAATGGTAACGTGTATAATGAATAAATCACGACGTATTACTATAATTTATGCAATTGGTGTCTTTGGGTCTTGGTTATATTAGGAAAAGTTAAATAAGATACCTAATCAAGTAGCTTCTAAACGCTCTATAATTCCCGTTTAAACGATAAATAATTTTAATCGAATATGGACGTCCCCCAAGGTACGTGAAATGTGCTTATGTTTTTTTTAAAGATTATCTTTTGTATCGGTAATTTGCTTATGTTCGACTGTGTTGAAAACCATCGTACTGAGTTCAGCGGTTTTACAGGTGATACCATGTTGAGTCCTAAGATTCAACGTTCGATACGCGTCAACGACGGACAGTTGATAGCGTTGTCTGAACGAGCTCAATATGACCACTCACAGGTATTAAAAGAAAACACAAAATTAATAATACATGTATGAGGCCGATAGGGGCAGAGTAGCCTAACTGCAATTTTATAACTCGAGTTTTTTTATATTTACATAGTCTAAAAATGTTAATCTACAAGAGCACAGTGGCCGAAAATTGTTAACATCATTCTTACACAAATAGTATAAATTAGCTTTTCGCCTAAATTGCGTATTTTTATTTTTAACAGAAAATCATGTTTTTTTGTTCACTCACTCTGCCTCAAGAAGCCTCATATATTATAATAATTTACCGTTTTAAAATATAATAATAATATGCATTGGACAATCAAAAGAAATTAGTACAATATATTAAAGAATTGATGAACTCTTCATGAAAATTGATCTGAATAATTCAGATCAATTTCAGCCGAAGAAAGCAAAATTTTAAATAATATACACAAAACAACATTATCTAAGGCAAACCTCAAATTTTAATTTAATTTGACATCACGGCCTATTAAATGTATTATTTTTAATTATTTGTTTGCGATCATACTCTGATGGTCGTATGACTTTATTTGTTAGTTAAATTAATGAGTATAATTATATTTACTAGCGAGTACTCAGGTTAATTTTAACTCAAGTTAATCTTAACTTATTCTCAGGCTGGTTACCTACACAAGCGAAGTTCGGACAATACAAAATGGCAGCTGAGATGGTTTATACTGTATCAGGTAAAGGATTTTCTTTAAATTTTATCACAATTAGGTAGATGTCGTTTTTTCGTCTTAAATTGATAATGTAATCGGTATGTAATTGTTTATACATGTATACTTCTGATATACATTTAGGTTATATATCATGTCATAAAAATATACTTATATTTTATTTTTATCGGACTCTAAATCCTGAAAAAAGCAATTATACGATAGCGATATTTTTTTAATAAGAAGTATTTTTAAATCACGGAGACAGTTTATTCAATTTTAAAGATATTTTATTGTATGACATTTATATTTTTCTGTTTAAAATTGAGATTAGTTTATGTATTAAACACTTAAATGTATGGTTTATTTCATATTTTTTCTTAAACTGTATATTCTATAGAACGTTGATTCTAAATGGAAAATAAGGTTCCAATCTGTTTTAGACTTTAAAAAATGTTGTCGTTAAAGTTACTAGTTCTCCGTTTTAACTGCAAAGATTAAATGGCATGGCGCATGCGTGAACACTTGTTGCACGTTCCGTATAGACATGCAATTAGCTATAATGAGATTTTTACGTGTTGAGTGATTACCTTAATAAAGTAGCAATGGTTGAAAGAAAGACTTAAAATATGTGCACATTATTTGCATTTCCAATTAAAACTTCTACATTAAAATACGTGGATAAGCTAATAACTTGATATTAACAAGAGACGCGGCGGTCAAATACACTTTTAACGGTTTGAAACTCATTACAACCACTCTAAACAGAACTGCTGTCAAAAAAACAGAGTCCGAATCGTTAAAATTAGGCAGAAGACTTTAACCCTCAATTTTCGCAGAACTTGCTGTTCTATTACGAATCGGAAAACAACACGCGTCCAACCGGCGTTTTGCTTCTGGAAGGATCTTACTGTGAGAGACTCAGCAAAGCGCCCATGGAAAGAAATGCATCTGTACGTATAAAACGTCATCCGACAGGGGCTAGGCTGGGTATTGGGCCCAGTACTTTATTATTGGTCAAAAATATATAGTATCAGTGTTGCCAATATTAACCTTTATAGAAGAACGTCTTTAACGGACGTAGATATACTTAAAGATCTGTGCATCCCACGACCCATTGATTATTAGCCATACACACCATTACCAACGAGCTCGCCAACGATCAAGCTTCCAGTCTCCTGATTGGACAAGCGAGTCGACACAAGAGATGAAAATTCACGATTCGTGTAAACTCTTTGCTAGTCTTTCAAGTTTTAATTTATATTTCCTTGTTGCTTGTGACAGTTCTGCTTTACAATATCGTATCGTCGTGAGACCCAACGTCAATATGAACTTCGGGCTGCTTCGGAAGTTGACTGCGTCCACTGGGTTGACTCAATTAGAGAAGCTAGGTAAGTATTGATAATTTTACCACTAGTGTTCTACAGTCCAAGAAAAGAAATGGTTGGCATCGTATATCTATTATATGGTGGAGAATTGGGAGATTGGGAGAGAAGGATTCTTCCATTAAGTGTGTTGTGTGTGTTTATATGTTAAACCTTAATTTTACCTTAATTTTGAGCTAGAAAACTACTTATCTTTTGTATATAATATAGCTTTGCCAACTAAGGAACTTCTTTATGGTATGGTTGATTTTAATTACTTAACATACACCAGAAATCGAAATCGATCTAGCAATTTCGGAGGATTTGGAGACGTACAGTTCGATATGAAATCACAATACTTTGTTCTTTTACAATTTAATTTTATTCTTCCTTCATTAAATAAAGAAACATGTAAAACACAATTCGTGTGTTACTTTATGTTACGTGGGAACGTTGCCTTGGCAACCCAAGGATTGGGGTCGCAACCCTGACCTGCTATAATATGGATCTTTACGGAAGAGGCGAATTAATATTTAACATAACGGAGGGAATGGTCCAAAATTTGAGAATATTATGTTACATTGGGAATGTAGAACAGTTTTTAACGCGTTATGAATTAATAGGATCAAGCAAATTCATACAATTTTGATTAATAATTTCTAACCGTCGTTTTTCAAAATAAAGTTTTTATATCAATTCAAATATGGGTACAATTTTAACTTGCAAGCTTAACTTCAATACTATGAAAAAAACGAATGTGAAAAAAAACACAATTTTTTAACGTAGATTATTTGTTACGAAAGACAGAGAGGATTTTTAATCGCGACAGTGCTTTATAAAACGTAATTTCCCCAGTTTCAATAAGCTGCTGCTCCAAAAGGAAGAACTGGAACAGAAACAACTGCACCTGCTGCAAGTCGTGGAAAGTGAACGCACTTCGCGGTGGCAATACGCCCAACAGTGTGAGGAACTCTCAAATGAAGTCAAAAAATTACGTTCCGAGGTATTTACAATTCACTTCCCTAAACAAAAAAGTACTACGACAATACCTTGTTATTGAAGTTAGCAAGACATATTTCTGTGACCGTCTCACTCATAGATTTTATTTATAAGTTGGTGATAAGCCCTTCACTATGGATACTATATACTTCAGTATGGAACAAATTCTTAAGATTTAACTTAAATATTGTCTATAGTTTACGCGAGTAGTACACATTTAAATAAAACACTTTAACGGTTTAAAACGCGATATATTAGTTAAACTTATTTGAAAATGATTTTTGGGGAAACCGTGACCACGACTGATGCAAAGCATCCGAAACGCCGGGCCGAAGTTAAAAATCATTCTCAAATAAGTTTAACTAATATATCGCGTTTTAAACCGTTAAAGTGTTTTATTTAAAATATTTAACTTTTAATCAGAATTTATTCTATGGTTTACGTAAAACTTGATTGTCTGGACGACCTTAAGTACTGCCTAACAGTCGTTTTATTTTATCAAATATTTTCTTTGAATTCTGTCCGGGTCACAACCATCCGCAGATAAATAAGGCAATGACGTTTAATCGTGTTTCGATTTTCTATGACTTAGATATTTTACATTTCATCAATTGAATCTCATGCATGTCTGTTCCCCTCTATCATAAACAATGTATTTCTCTTAGTGTCGTTTTACGGTTTACGTAAGAACCATTCTCATATTTCAAGGAAACTTCCATAAATAGATATACCGAAGTTATTTCAGCGATTCCTGAGATATGCGCTTATAAACGCAATCAGTGATTATTTTTTATATTATAGATTCGTATTCGAATGTCTTCATTACATGATTTTAGCTCTGTGCTTACAAGAAAGAACACGAACCATCAACGCGAGCTACGTCTACCGCAAGCTTGTCACCTACTCTCTCGGATGATATCGACCCTTCTGAACTGCGCAAGATCAAGAAAGTCCAGGTACCTAAAATATATGAACGCACTTCACATCCACTACACACTGTAACGCTGCTTTTGCTGTGTATTTTTATATACCAAGGACTGAAAACGCCAGAAGCAAAAAATAACAGGCATTTTTGACTAATTTCATTGCGAACGACCCTTCTACCTCATTTCTGGAATTGTATAAATTTTATAGGAAATTGACCACATAATAATGTAATAAATAAACACAACAATAAAATAAACGAGTCATAAATCAATTTAGACAAGTAACGCAATGTAACCATTTCCTAAATTGTATTTTCGGCTTGGCATGATATTCTATTAAAGTACATAATACATTGATAGAACATTTAAAGCAGACGTTAAAATAGCAGCAATAAAGCTACTCCACCACACTATCACAAAGTAGTTGTTCTAAGCTAAAGCTAAATAGTAAACAATATCTAGCTATTTATGCAGAGCTTCTTCCGAGGCTGGTTGTGCCGACGTCGATGGAAGCAGATTGTAGACCAGTACATCAAGAGTCCTCACGCAGAGAGCATGCGGAAGAGGAATAGGTAAATATATTTTTAAGAGTTTCAATGGCTTAGAGGATGATTAGTTTCAAAGCCGATGTTTTTTTAATAAGACCCTTCTAATGATGTAAAACGTAAATACACTTGAGAGATAAATAAATTTGTTGCCCACGTTATACGTTAAAAGTAAATGTGTGCCATCCCCGTAGCTACTTATAAAACTGGATAATTCTGTATTATTCAAGATATTAATTAGATCTTGTGTATTCACAATCGATGATATTCTTTAATTAGAATACCTATATAAAAAAAAAACATTTTAAATAGGGAGAAAATGTGTTTGGTAGCCTTTTATTAATAAATATATATACAAGAAATAAAAATTATGGAGTTAGAATTTTTTTATTTTTAGTCTGGTGTTCAAAATGGTGGAGGCTGAAGAAGAGTACTTGGAGCAAATGGAAATATTGGTAAGAAAAGTTTAAAAACTTTATTTGACCAAATATAAAAATATTCAAACGAACACATAATATTTTTCTACAGGTGACATGTTTCTTACGACCTTTCAAAATGGCGGCGAGTTCAAAGAAGCCACCTTGCACCCACGAAGACGTGAATTCCATTTTCCTGAATAGCGAGACAGTCCTGTTTCTGCATCAGATCTTCTTTAAAGGTCTTACTTCTAGGATGGAGTCGTGGCCAACTCTTGTATTGGGTATGTGTAAAATGGTAGTGTAGCAGTTTTTTTTTAAGTGTGTCTGTTCGTTCTTATATTATATGACTTAATTCTTTTTCAAAATCCTTATAATGTCTTTGGCATGGACTAGACATATTTTATGGTTCAATTATGTATTTCCTTCAGGTGATTTGTTCGACATGTTACTACCGATGCTGACAATCTACCAAGAGTACGTCCGTAACCACCATTACTCCTTACAAGTGCTGACTGAATGCAAGCAATCCCAACAATTTACTCACTTATTGGCTCGTTTGGAGAGCAAACCAGCGTGCCAGGGTCGTTCCTTGGAGACTTTTTTGACATTTCCTATGCATCAGGTAAATAGACGAAACCAGTTTTGCTGACGGTAAAATAAAAAACACACACTGGCGGACATACGATAATTTATTTTTGAAGATACTTTAGATAAGTTTGAAGAAATTGTAGTAAAATATCTGCGACACTATAGGCGACCTCTTAAGGGTCTTTAAGTACCACATACTACTACATTTTTATTGATATTTTAGATTCCCCGCTACATAATAACCCTGCACGAGCTATTAGCCCACACTCCGCATGATCACGTGGAACGACGCAGTCTACAGCATGCGCGGGCGCAACTGGAGGAGCTGTCGCGACAGATGCATGATGAAGTTAGTTTTTTTTTTCATTTATTTAAATAGAATATAACATAACTTATGTAATGTGGCATATTATTATACAGGTGAGTGAAACTGAAAATCTTCGAAAGAACTTAGCAGTTGAACGCATGATCATAGAAGGATGCGATATTCTGCTTGATGTAAACCAAGTTTTCATTCGTCAAGGTAATTTGATTTTTAAATATATGAATCATTCGTATATGATGATCCAAATGACAAGAATATCCCACTTCAGTTATTAAATTAGTACCCAATAAAGAGCGAGCGAAGGCGTAGAGCTAGTTTTGAGTTTGTGGAAGATGTAATTGATTGATAAAATTATACATTACAGAGATCAAAACGATAAAAACCTAATTCATTTTATATAATTCTTCCAGGTACACTCTCCCAAGTAGCAGGAAAGGGCCGTAGAGCGACGCTACAATCACGACAAGCATTTTTATTCAGTAACCACTTGTTGTTGACCACACGAGCACCCGGTGGTCGCCTACATCTGCCACCTTCGGGAAGACTGCCCTTGCATGATGCTTTGCTGATAGAAGACCCGTCGAATCATGATGATGATGGTTATATCTTTTTCACTATTGTTATATGTACTCGTATTTACCTCACAGCACATTAATTGTTATAAACAAATATAATATTCTACTCGATATTAAAATAAAAAAAATATTTAACTCGACCAAAATATATTTTGTTTGCTTTTATGCCAGTTTTAATGGTATTTCTAACGTAAAACCTGGATTGACACTGCCTAGAATTGATTCATAGTATTACACAATAAATGCATGTCTTTATTAGTTTTCTTTGCTTCTAAATTCCAGATACAGCTTCCGTGTGTTCGTCACCAGGTGGAGAAAGCTACCAAGGCAAAGATTTTAAAATTCTCGTAGAAGTAAAGGGAGAACAAATTTGTGCTCATTTAGGTAATAATAATTTCAATTAACTTGATGTTCTTTCATTTATATATTGTTTATTAACCGTTTATACGTATTACATGATTTAAGTTATTGTAATAACTAACCTTGTTTTTTTTATTATAATTAAAAATCTTACAGTGGCAGCTACATTAGAAGAAAAAGCGGCTTGGACAAGCGAGCTAGCGCAATGTATGGAAAGTGCTGCTTTGACGGAGCTTTTAAGAGCTTGCGGTGCATGTGGAACAGCATCAGCCAGCCTTCCAGCTTGTAGATCAGACCGGGCGTTATTCACAGATGATGTGGATATCCGATTTAGTAGAACGCTGAATTCTTGCAAAGTTCCACAGATACGTTCCGCTACGCCACAGAGGTTGTTGCAGAGACTTACGGGTGAGTTGTAATTTTTTATTTTTGGCAGCTCTAATCACGCCGGTGTCATAAAAAGCCCGGATGCTACGAAAGGAGAGCCTATCCATCATAATGGATGTATTAAGATAAGCCACAAATGAAAACTTGCAACTATTGCGGATTACCGCCGTGGCTTCAAGTACTGATTATGTCACTCCAATGTTAACTTTTTCAGATCTTCGATTCCTATCTGTGGACTTCCTAAATACGTTCCTTCTAACGTATCGCGTGTTTACGGACGGCGTGACGGTGCTGGAAGCCCTAAAGCAGGTGTTTTATGAGCAGTCGCAGCAGGATATGGATCTCCCTCCACCGCCAGATGCCACTAGAAAGGCCAGTGGAGCTAGTTCTGTTTCAGGTGTGAATTCCTAAATTTTAGTGAATAGTATGTACGTATTCATTAATGAATGAATGAGACAAATTAAATGTTATTTACATAGTTAATTAATAAAGATTTCATTATTAAGTATTGATCTTTATGGTCCCTTTCGGGACACTATCATTAAATGTTTTTTTAAAGAAAATACAAAAATATGGTTTAATTATTATGGTATTCAATGCATGCTTCTTTATTCGTTATCGACTTATATGTTATATTTTATAGTGTTTTGATATTTCAGGGTACGGTTCCGAATACAGTGACCGAGATTGGCAGTCTAGATTCTGGCGTGTACAGCGTGGAAAAAGTAATTGTAATATATATTTAAGTAGCATAGCATACGAAAATGGTAGCCTTATTGTAACTTTACTTTGCAGGTGAAGAAGAAGATAAACTGTCCCCATACTTAATGGCACCATCGCGACGCGCTTCTGCAGTTAAGGTGAAGTGATTCTTGAATTTCATTTAATATTAATGACTTTTTCTGTTTTTAAATTATATCCTATAATGAGAAATTACGTACCATTTTCATCTTTAATAAGCGAATCGTAATCAGTCAAAGATATTTTGACTTTTGTAAAACTTAACTCTATTTAAAAGAACTTATTAATTGCAGACAGAGGAAGAAAACAAAGAGAACAGTCATCTCACCATACCCAAGATAATGGCTACTTCTTCCAGTAACGAGACTCTAAAAGGCACTGTCTCAACGGGTACAGGCACCACAGGTAAATATGGCAGTTCAGTTTCTAGCCTACACTCTACACTCAAAATATTTCTCTTGTGTTCATCTGCCACGTACTCACGATGTTTTCTATTAAGATATAATAAATAAATTCGGTAGTTCGGCCTTTTTAATATTGTATTTTAATTAAATTACTGTAACATAGGCACATCCCCGTCATCTCCGGGAGCCATCAGCTCTGTGACTTTGGTTGGTAGCCGCAAAAGCAGCCCTGAGCATGCCACAGAGGAAAAGGAATCCCCAACCAAAATTAAGGATAATGACAGAGCAGCCAAAATTATGAAAGATGAGAGCATCGAGCTGGTCGATCAAAGTGATGAAGACATCAAATATAAGGAAGAAGAACAAGAGAAGCATAAGCCCAAACACGAGGAGAAGTTTAAGATATCACAGAGGTTTTCCGAGGTAATTTTCCTATACATAATGGAGACAGCAGAAAATTAGAGTGGCAATGGGAGATACTAAATGTCATCAAATTTGCCTATAACGTCTTTTCGTGAATATATAATATGTAATAAGTCAAAGTAACTATTTTACAAATATCAGTTATGTTCACACTTCCATCCTATGGGCTAAAAGCAAGATCTATAGTAATACAAATAGCATGTAAATTCGTGGCGATATGAGTCTCTAAAAAGTATACCTTTTAAATGAAATATATATTCGTCAGGTAAGCATATCGCATATTCAGCGCGTGCGCACAATGTCGGAGAGTCCTCGCAGATTACAGCCAAGCGCCGGTCAGAGCGCAGCAGAGCTACGTCGCAGGTCAGAAGGTACTCGGGAGACGGCCACACAACCCCACGAGCCACGTCGAGCATCAGATACAGCAGCCAGGGTTACGCCTCGAAGGTCGGTCAGGTATGACTAGTAATGACACTCTTTAGATTGAGAACCTTTGGTTTAATGAATAATGCGTTTTTATGGATAATATAAAAATAATTTCGTCTACGTCATTATACATTTGAATGCTATATTTGTTTACTCATGGCCTGTTCAGATCGTTACAAAATATTGAATAGTGTGATCTTCTAAAAACATTATAAAGTGCCGCTTGTGTGCATTTTATTAAAATAAATTATTTTGATATTTTTACAGCGAGAGACGTTGCACGAACACATCAATCAATGGCGAAAGACGACGCCATTGGGGAGGTTCATCCGAGCCGCGATCATCAGTCACATCACAGGCCTCACAGATGCAGGTAGATTACATATTCTAGCATTCATTCGTTTTTTATTGGTACCTATTTAATTAAGAGTATAGCTACGATATATTCATTATTAAGTTCAAATACCAATTACATAGTTTTGTTAAAATAAGCCTAAAAATGTGTATAAATTCAAAAACATTACCGTCTAGGACGCCAAAACACATTACAGTGTCATTATATATAGTCATTTATCTTAATCAGCACCCTGGCTTCATTTTAACATATAAGTTGACTGATAATCATCAATTCCATTTAAATTGAGGTTTTATACATTGACCGCAGAACTATCGCCGCGAAACTGGTCAACCGAAAGCTGGAGTAGTCATTACATCATTCAGACAATCGCACAGGAGGTGGGGCTCATTCCATACTCGTGTTTCATTTCATACTCTTGAACTAATTTCATATAGTTTAGGTTCCGGCATATACGTCTAGCAGACGGTGAAACATATTGTTTCTGTATAATTTATTGAATGATACCATCGTAAACCTAATTTTTATAGAAACATTTGGTGAAGGAAAATTAAATAAAATTAAGGTAAAATCACAGCTGTTGATGAACAGATGATGGTTCAAAGCCTGAATAACCTAATGAGTATTAAACTATCATTAAGGATTTTGATATAAAATCAACAACAAAACAACTAAGCAATCAGCGAGGACAACGTTTTAGTTCTTAGTCTGCCCAATTAGTCTTTAACTCTATTAAGTGTTATCGCTAGACATAGGTGCCGCGAACTATACCAATTAAATCACTCTAAATAGCATGACTGTCTTCTATTATAAAAATTCTTGAGAGAACCATTTACGCTTTGCACGAGAACCAATTGAATCGTCATTGTATTCTTCTATGAATCGAGTTACAAATGTTGAAAGTATTTATTTTTATTCAGCTTTGGAAAAGAGTCGTTATGGTGAGTTGAGGGCGGCCGAGGTAAAACGTAGACGATACGTAGCTCCTAGATGATCCTTTGATTCGCTTTGACTAGAACGTTTTTGCAGTTTACCTTTTTCGAATATACGCTAGATACTCCTCGCCCACTGGTACATGGAAACCCTACATTTAATTGACAGTTTAGTACATAAATGTATACACTCCCTAAAACATTGCTCCTACATTTAACTGTTATTTGTGCACACTACCATAATCTATACATACAGCTCCAGTAGCGAAACTCCTTTGACCCAATCCGATGTTACTTCAGAACACTATTATTAAAACATACCAAGAAAGACACAATATATGAAATAATCAGGGCTGACGATAAATCTACTTTTATAGCAAGATTTACAAAAGTTACATCAATACACCATGTTTTGACAGAATCGGTACTAGATAACCATAACAACATCAGTTTATTAACGCGTAGAAAGTTAATACTGGTTAAAACAATACACTGTACACTGAAGAATAGGTTTTAATAGCCTTAAGATAATCATAGTTAAAAGCCTTAAAGCTTTTTATTCAGCGAGAAACCGCAAACGCTCACGCCAAATCTAGGAGCTCACAGTATAAGAGAATAGATATGTACCCCTAGTGTGACTTTTGTAGTTATGAAAATATCGAAAGTAATCGTATCCGCTCTATAATTATTTCTTAGTATGGTTTCTCCAAATGAATGTTCAATGTTAGATTCGTGTCACCTTATATGGTTACTTTCAAATGTGCGTTAAGTATGAAACTCGTACTAGGGGTACTTATGGATATTTCAGATTATGCATGAAGGAACGATTTCATTTTCCTACTATTCTTTGTCTTGATCATATTTTACAATCTGCATGTGTTTTTAATTCCAAAATCAGAAATTTGTACTAAAAAAAATTCTTGTGCTAAAATTTGGAAGGAAGGTTCTTAGTTGTCTTTTCTATATTTAGGAGCAGTACTTCGACTGCCGCTGTGGCTTTTGCCGTAGCTACGTCTGCGTCGTCAAACCCTCGGTCACCACCTGCGAATTCACCGACCCAGGCCAGAAGAGACTCAGTTATTTCCACCGCAGCAACAATGAGAGTTCTTAACGTTTTACGGTAAAATGATTAGTTCTCTAATCTGCCAATGTCCCGGTAAGGCTTAAAAACTAAGCGTCGTAGATTTTTCAAAATTCAGTCGAAGGCGGACAGCAAACAAACGAATAAAGTTTTTCATTTGCACTTGGTAATATTATTTCTTTTACATTCCTAATAATCACGTAGTAAACAGAAGCATAAATATTAAAAAACCCCGTCTTTAATTTAAGATACTTACCTTATAGCTAAATGTTTTTTAGGCACTGGATTTCAAAGCACTCTTCAGATTTCTGGTCAGATGAACGTCTTCGTGGACTTACAATGGACTTCCTGAAGGAAATAGAGAGTAGCCCGGGTTTGTTGCCGGCTGAGCATAAAGCTGCATCTCAACTGCTGCGTCTGCTGGAACGTTCACCAGATAGAAACGTCGATCTTAAAGAAATTTTTGCACCACCTAAGGTAACTTTTACACAACATATATGAATTATGATGGGTAATAAGGTTGTAAGTTTCTGTTCTGAATAACGGGGTTACCAACGACCTATAGTTATATTTGTATATTAAATAAAAAGGGGTGATTATCTAATATAGGTTATTTTATATCAGGTACCGACTAAGGAATGCTTGGAAACACTATCAGCTTTAGAAATTGCAGAACAAATGACGTATCTGGACTACCAAATATTCAGTTCCATTCACAGCGAGTAAGTATTAATGATTTGGTCGGCTGATTTCTGATTTATAACTACGAAAAAATATTAAGCATAAATATTAATATGGTGTTTTTTTTCATTTTAAATGCAGAAATAAATAAAACGGAAGAAATAATTTGTAGTATCTATGCCAAAAATTTCAAGAAATAAATAAGAACGAAACAATATCAAGATAATAAAAAACACAATTACATTATGCATATTACAAAATAGCTCATTCAAATATACATATATACATTTGAATGTATAATATTGCTTGCCCTATCGACCTGTGGTGTTTTATTTTAGGGAGTTTCTTGGGCAAGCGTGGACAAAGGCAGATAAAGCAGAACGTGCACCTCACATCTTAATGATGACTGCACATTTCAACCACATCTCCAGTCTGGTCATATCTGAGATCCTCAAGATCGTTCCATTTCCTGGTAAGACTAAATACAATAGAAGACGAACTAGATGCCACACAGATGATTCCGACCTTAATAATTAGCTAATGTCTTTCCAGCCTATTAACTATGATAAATGAAATTACCAATTGTACAATAGGAACCCCTCGCGATATCCACGAGCTCCAAGAACACGCCCTGAAGTGCAGAGTTGGCTCCATTGAGAAATGGATAGCCGTCGCAGATATAGCCCGCTGTCTCCATAACTTCAATGGGGTCCTGCAGGTCTGCGCAGCTCTCTCCAACACATCTATCTTCAGGCTAAAGAAGACGTGGGAGAAGGTTTCTAAGACGGTGAGGCTCTTAATATACAGGATACTGTACATAGTAGGAAAAGAGGTAAAATTGTATTTTGTTAGTAACGTTTTATTAAACTTGTTTTTATTAACGTTTTAACTGATAAAACCAAAATTACGTAAGTAAATTATAGTTTCTATCAGTCGTGCTTAGAGTTTTTAAATTTACCAAACACGAACTTATCTATTTATCACATAAATAAGAACTTACATATTGCATTACGTTTACAGAGCAAGCAAACACTGGAGAAACTACAGAATTTGACATCATCGGAATGTCGTTTCCGGAATTTAAGAGACGCTTTGCATAGGTAAATATTAAAACAATACACTTCTTGTTCAGATGAAGATATAAACATATATTTTGTATATCAATATTGTTCCATTTTAAAGGTGTGACCCTCCTTGCATTCCGTACCTAGGAATGTACCTGTCTGACTTGTCGTTTATTGAGGAAGGTACTTCGAACTTCACCCCGGAAGGACTATTGAATTTTTCCAAAATGAGAATGGTATGGTCTTCTTTTAATTACTTATTATTACATGTTAATTTAAAAAGAAATCGAAAAGCTTAATTTAGATTATTAATGAACTCAAACTACTATTTCCGATAAATCTTGTAAAAATCGTCTATTTTATCGATGTTGCCTTCCAGATTGCACATGTCATTCGTGAGATTAGAAATTTCCAGCAGACGCCGTACAAAATTGACCGTATACTCAAGGTAAAAAGAAATAAACCAAAATCCAAGCAATAGTTTCCGATAATAATTTATTTATTAAAAGAAATTCAAATTATTACGATGAAATAGGTAATATTTTGTGGTTTATATAGATTAAGGTCGTTTTCTATAATATATTTCAGAATGTTTATTCCAATAGGTTAGCGACTTCTTACTGGATCCTGCTCTAGCGTTTTCTGAAGAGGAGCAGTATACCCTGTCATTAGAACAGGAACCCCGGGCGTCTAGGGGATCAGCCGGGGGCATAGTTCCTACTCCAGCGTCCCCAGCTTCACCATCTGCTCAACGCAGGCGCAGGGCTTCACTCGCAGCCCTAGCACCTTTAAGGGCGGAGCGCTAAGTACGAAAGTCGTTACTACTTTTTTCCATTAGGAGGCTCTTTACCATTCCAAATAACAAAAATATTTCAAAAATCACAAAAACTTATTTTTTTAAGTATTATGTGTCCTAAAATATTATTAACCTATTTATTTTTAACAAGTTTTATAGATATTACTACAACATATTGTATTGATTTAAATAATTACTTTTAACGGTTCAAAATGCGAATTATATTACTCAACTTATTTTGACTACGACCCGAAGAATCGGATGATTTGTAGTAGCTGTGTCAGTGTGATCGTAGTTAAAATAGTTAACGAATATAGATAGATAATAAACCGTTAAAAGTTGAAACTATAGATGATATTTCCTTTATATAAACAAAAATTACAAAAGACTTTTTAAGGAAAGAGTGTCATTTTAAAAATGAATTATTTTTTACAAGTCAGTTTACACCTTAACGTGTGTTATAATTTTCACATATCAGTAGTAATTTCATAGTTATATCTTAATATAAATAATTAAGAGTTTAACAAAAACTGAAAATAAACGCGAATAAATGAATGCTTGTTACTCCTAAAACAACCTATTTTTCGTACATTATGTAAATAAAGTGTACCTACAAGCACATACATTTTTAAGATAACGCGATTATAATATTAAAATTAAGATATTTTACACTTTTGCTCACGACTAACTCTTCTTGCTCAATGTCAATTTACAAAGCTCTAATATACATAATTCTATTTAATAAAATACAAAACTATTGAATATTTATTAGGCGTTTATGCACCACTAAACTAACTATGAGGTTGCCAATTACTTGTTGATTTTATGAAAAAATAAAAACTGAGTAGAATTATGGACGCCAACATGATTTCAGTTGAAAGCAAAAGACTACATTTACTAACAGTTCTCAAATAAAATAAAGAAGAACTATTGACTCCTTTCTAGATTTAGTACTTAGACTAACAGCAGTTTGTATTGTGCCAGTATTATACCTTTAAGAAAATAACCTTAATTTTCTTTTAGGAGTAGGAGGTTAAAAGAAGCAAAATCTTTCTATCTTACTTTCGATTATGTCACTGTTGTTTTTCTTATTCAAGGCAATAAGACAAAGGCAGATTCTTTAGTCAAACTAGTAAGTGTTACCTGCTGTTCTTGTTTTTCGTAGAAAATGTTATTTTCTACTCCTCAAACCCCAAACTTCACATAAGCTGGTTTAAGTGGAAATAACTTATGAGAACTACCTATTCTTATGTACATGTCTAAATATCAACTTATATAGTCGTTTGTTGTTTCTATTACATGTTAATATACTCTTGTTACCTTAGGATAATCCGAGTATTTAGGGAGATAGACAGAGTACCTTTGAGCTTCGATCTCTAAGGTTGCGCGTACCTGTAGTAGTTATTTCTGTTAAGCCACGCATTGTTACTATCCCATGTATAGGAAAGATTTGCTCATTTTCTATTTACTACTGAAACAATACTCAAAACGAATATAACTGTTGTACGTTCTAAATTGCCAAGTGGTTAAGTCCAATGCATAATTAATTTTAAAAAGAAACCTATTTCACATTTAAATAAAACACTTTAACGGTTTAAAAGGCGATATGTTTTAGTAAAACTTGTTTGAAAATTATTTTTAACTGCGGCCCGACGTTTCTGGTGCTTTGCAGCAGCCGTGGTCACGGGGAGTCTCCCCTCTAACTAAAATATATCGCGTCTTTAACCGTTAGTGTTTTATTTAAATGTGTACTACTCGCGTAAACTACAGACGGTTTTAACCTATTTTACAACATTCACGCATTTACAGTAAAATGAAAAACGTGTAGTTCCTCATGTTGCCAGTAGAGGCGCTGTCAGATTTTCAATATAGATAGTTTCTACTACGCGATTGTGAATGCACGCTAGTATCATCTATATGTTATGTATGTTTGCATTCCAATGTATGAACTGAACGTGATCTCAAGTGAGAGTAGATGTTTTAGGTCTTTTCTACGTCTTTTCTATGTTATTCATAGTTAATGTTATATAGGGGCCTATTGCACCGTTTTATGTGGGCCTAGGTAATAATTATAAATGACATTGCTATTACAGAACCTTAAAAATATAGTATTTCTATTAAAATGATTCGATGGAGAACTATGTCTTTCTATCTGTAAAGTAAAATGGTTATTTTAAATTAGATGGTTAAAACAGAGTACCTACAAAAGGAATAATGCAAGATGTTTTATAGGAAGAGTACTTTCATGCCGCCGAAAGACAATATCTTTTACTGAAGAAAAAATTACTCTATATTTGTTTTATTTCGTAATACTACTAGGCCCACAAACAATTAAATTTAAGCCTGATATAATGTCTTATGATGCCACACTCGGTGTGTAACGCTTATAATGTATATAAATAATATTTCGCAGAATGTTTCTGACATCTTAGAACCAGAGGCATTTAGCGTATTATGACTTGTTAATGTAAGAACGTTTGACATTATTTCCCACGTCTCTTCTATTCGAGCACATTTTATAATAAGACTTTCAAATGTAATATATTTATATTTTCTTTGTTCTCACTGTCTTCCTAAGAAACAAAAGAAATCTTATGATTAACTAGTATGTAATGATACAACTCTTGTCTTCATATTCGAAGCTACCTCTGCAAAATATATTTACCGCAGAATACTGAACAAACCAGAAGGACAAGCCGTTTACAATTATACACCTATGATATTATTTTATTGACAATTTAAAAAATCACTACATGTTGTCGATAAAAATAGCTTACGATTTCGTTTGCCTGCAATAAAGTACAATAAAGTATTAACTCGTTAGCTTTCATATTACTCCAATATAGAGTAATCATCACGTTATATTGTGAGTGCGTTGACGCTTGGTTTTTTTAGTGTCCTGTGAACAGTTTATCTTTTTCAGTTTTAAATGAATTGTTAAGTAGCAGTTTATTGTAGTTTATTGAAGAAAAATATGTATTAATGTTACATTTGACCTGTTTGTTTTAACTTTTTTTAAACTATAACAGTACGATTATATGTACATATTAAGTACTTATATAGTTTTAGTATCCTGTTATTTTTCGTGACGTAAAAAATATTCTCAAATATACGCTTATACACTGTGAAGTAATGATATAATATTCCGTATATCTACTTAAATTATTAGAACATTATTTTTATATTCTAAACTGTATATTATTTAGCAATTGAAATAAATATCAAATGTATTAGTCATATGTTAAGGATCTAAGCAAAGTTTAAAAAGTAAGTCTTTATTGATACTCTGTAATTATGGAAATGTTTTATTTGTTCTTTACTACTACGGCTTTAAATAGTACAAAAGGTAAATAATCTATGACATATAAAACTATTATGAAGTATAATATTGTAATCTAATTATAAATATTATTACCACATGCTTACAAAAAAAAAAATCTATACAATATGGGCTCACTACTTTTTTGCGAATCTCTTCATCGATATGCTTTTTTCAGTGATAATTTTAATATCATCAAACTAACGCATTTTCTTGCCTTAAATCGTGGTTAATACGACAAATGTTGTTTTGTTGTTTGCAAGATTAGTATTATTAGTCTATTAAAATTGGTTAAATGCATTAATTTCAACTAAATTTAATAACTATAAAAATCGTTCTTTCAAGATAACCTGAAAAGATAGACATGTATATGTCTGTCGAGGCCGTATTTTTCATCACTTAAAGAGGAATCACGTTTTATGAAATATTTTTGGGTTTCTAGAACCAGAGTACGCAACGAAAACGCTTAAATATGATTGTTTGTTCCCATTTTTTCAACATTTTCAATTCAATTCGAACTACTAGTTCCAGAGATTAGTGCGTTTAAACAAACGAAGTTTATTGTGGCTATGCATCTACCGCGATCTTGTTAACATTTCAATGTCCTCTTGGGCTTCTAAACGAGTTTTAGTTTGAAAATAAGTGAGCCTGTATAACTAATATTGCATATATAACTGATTGGCTGTTTTATTTGTTCACTAATAGATTCTATATTTATTTAATACACATATTAGGATTTATTGTTTCATATATTAAGATGTGCCACTCTTGTACAATACTGTGACGTCTTATGTGTTGGTTGTTGAATCTATTTATCGATTGTTGTCTCTTCATAATAAAGTTGTATAAAGTTTATATTGTTTTTATTCAAAATCATAACGTCAAGTACAGGTTAAATAAATACGTAAGTATTTAATATTCAATGTCCAAAATCCTTCTCCAATTGAAGATAAAGAATGTTATTGATGATTTTTTATGATAGAGGAAGACAGACAAGCATCGGGTACACTTAATAGAAGGTGATGTACCCCACCCATATAGCACGGAGAGACGCGCTTTCGATCTATTTTGGCTTTGGATATTCGGTAATCCACAGAGTAAAGCCTAAATGCGGCTTTACAAGGGCCTTTGCAAAACTTAAAAATTGCCAACATGTTGGACCCGGTGGGGATCGAACCCACAGCCTGTTGATTATTAAACTAACGGGAGATTAGACAGAGCGTGTATGTAATATGTAAGACACAAAAATTGAAAAGCGTTCTTTAATATAATCATGAAAATTTGTCTTTAATAGTTTTTTAAATATGTTTTTAATGTTGATCTATTTTAGCTTAATTCTCAGTCTTATCTCTCTTTGCAGAGAGGTCGTGATTTTCATGTAGAATTGTAGGAATGGGTAGATAACATTCGCCTAACTGTTTCTCGCTATTTGTCCCGGTTATGAGTCTTCGAAGATATATACTGTCGAAGACCTTTTTTTCAATAATTTAAAGAGGATTCATTCTTTCGTACATATTTTTAGCATAAGCGTTAAAGATATATCGCGTTTTAAACAGTTAAAGTGTTTCATTTCCATGTGCACTACTCGCGTAAACTACAGACAGTGTTTAATATTATGTTTTCATTTGAATTTCATGTGTGATGATAGTTTTTGTTTGTGTAACATTTACGTAATTCGTTACATCTCGCACAATTATATTTACACACTGACGTAACGATGTCGTGAAATATAGGAGAGGCTTTACTTGTTTATTCGAGTTATTATCGTCAATTTAACTCGGTTTTATTGTACCTACCGCTAATAGGCGCCGCAAGGAATTGACCTAGATTAATTATTTTGATCCAAATGATGTAATAGTTTCGGGGCTTAGCGAAAATAACAATTAATGTTCATTAACTTTGACTCGGGGCACTAAAGCCGCAAACAATTAATGGACGAAGAACAAGTTCAACGTTTAAGCATTTAAGTCAGAGGAGTCTCAAATTGTTCGTCTTATTATTTTTAATCTATCTATATTAATATATAAAGCTAAAGAGTTTGTTTGTTTGGATGCGCTAATCTCAGGAAGTACCGAATTGAAAATTTTTTTGTGTTGGTTAAAGCCTTTATCGAGGAAGATGTTTTATAAAAATTGTCGTGTCACTAATAGGAGCGAAGATACAGCGGGAAATGTGACAAAAATTGAGAAAATTATTCATCATTATGGGTTTCCGAGGCTTACGCTGCAAAAACGGTACAAGATACCCAAAAAATATGTATGAAAGAATGATTTCTCTTTAAATGGTCTAAATAAAGGTTGGTGACGCTATATGTCTATCTTTTAAGATTATCCCGCAAAAACGACGGGACGCGATCGACATCTTATAAAATAACTATTCCATGCGGACGAAATCGCGAGCATACCAGCTATCAATATTTCCTTGTATAGAAATTGGTGTAGTATTTGTAGACATCGCACAACCGAGGCATGCGCAGACTTATTAAGACAAGGGTCCACGCGGGCCAATCATGAACTAAAGGCGGTCCGCGAAGTATAGGTAATTAAAGAAAAGAAAGAATTGATAAATGTACTAAAATTGAAAAATAATTTATTAATATGAGTACTATTTCTGATGTCGGCGGGGCACCAGTATTCGACCGGAGGGCCGCATGCGGCCCGCAGGTCGCGTTCTGTGCATCTCTTTTAGTTAGCTGAACGACACCATTTGTGATTAGCTTAAGTTAAATATGACGTTTCCTCAACAATAATTCTTGCTACTCTATTTTACTTTTTTTTATTGTGTCAACCAAATTAACTGAGTGGTCACAGAACACTGTTCTTGTACATCTATCATAGTACATAAAATCAATTATAAACTATTTACACATAATAGCAAAATGCTTATGCGGCTTGTGGTCGTAAGTTCGATGTCCTGATGAAATAGTAATTCTAACTTCAAGATACACTTAAGAGGGAGATACTTAAATAAAAAACCCTCATTATGTACATAAAACAATAACGGTTTACAACGTTTGCTGCAAACATCCGAAACGTCAGCCGTAGTGAAAATAATTTTCAAATAAGTTTAAGTAAGATTTAATTTTGTACTACTCGCGTGAACTACGGTCATATGCTTGATACATAGCTTATAAGAGTTTAATAAACCCTTGTTGATTATTTATTAATGGGATCAGAAGGAAATAAAGGTATAAAGTGAGACTTTAATTGCAAATAAAATTCGAATAGAGTTGAATAAGAATCAAACTATTAAATAATTTCCAACAGTGTATTTAAGCATTCATCGAATTCCTCATGCTCTGGCCTTCCTCCAAGTCCTTAAGTAGTGGGCCAGTGCCCCATATTCTCCTATTCTTCGTGTAGGGAATTATGCCGATACTAATTCCGGAAATGACGAGCCACACCCCGCCGCCGTAAAACGTAGCTTCCCAGTTTCCGGTTAAGTCGTATAATAGGCCTGAAACAGGAAATAAGCTGGATGAAACTGCTGTAAACAAAGGTTAAGTGTTTTATTAATGACTTATGAGTGTTCTTAAAACTATTTGTAACAGTATTGGTCATTTATTTATGCATTTACTTCTAAAGTTTAATGTGTTTTGAGGAATATTTTTAAATTTTGTTATAGATTAGTAGCATTCGTGAATCGTATTGTACTAATAAAATGTTACGTTATGTTCTTATAAACCACTAGCTATGTCAGCGACTTCGTCCGCGTGGAATAGTTATTTTGGAAATCAACATTTTTTTGCAAACCTCCTCCACATCTTATAAATTGTAGCTGTTTTCCACGAAGTCATCCGCGTCCCGTCGTTCTTGCAGAGTTAATCTTAAAAGATAGACATAGACTGTCGGGTATATTTTTTAGACCATTTAAAGAGGAATCATTTTTTCATACATTCGCATTACCCGTTGTTTCTTCGCATAAGTCGCATCGCAAGTTTTATAACCTTCCTCGATAAATGCTCTAACTAACAAAATTTTTCAATTCGAACCAGTAGTTTCTGAGATTAGCGCCTTCAAACAAACAAACAAACTTTTCAGCTTTATATATTAGTATAGATTGACTTATTGGCGCGTCTAAGGAGACAAATTAAATTATTCTAACCCTCAAAATCATAACCAACTTACCACCAAGTGGAGGTCCAATCAAATGTCCAACACCTTGACTAAGCAAAATAAACCCATAGGCAATTGTAAAGTAGTCTATGGGCATTAGTTCCATGAGGATAGCGGGAGTGTATGAGTAAGAGCTGGCGTAAGAAAGCCCGAAGACGGTAGATACCACGACAAGGCCCCAATAATTCTGGATGAAGAGAGGATATGCAGCTACCGATAACCCACATATGACGAGGCAGGCAGCGTACGCCTTCGTCACATTTATCCATGGTTGATCACCCGCCCAGCCAAGCCCCACCTGTAAAAGGGAACATATGTTACTTTTATCTCTTTTATTTATATAAGAGATATTCTAAGAGTTGAAATAACTTTTTGTTTGGCTTTAATTGGGAAATCAATAAAAAATAGTATCAAAACAAAAACGTGGATATTAATTAACATTTTAATTAAAATAGTACAGATTTAATTTGTATTTACGATATAAAAGGCGAAATACTGACAGACTTTTCAGATGCTTAGCAGATATTATTTACATTTGCGAAGAAACAGATGGCGCTTGCGCAAGAAATCTGGCTTTGATATTATGACGCCCGCCGTCTTTTGCCCCACCACGTTTGCTACACGGCATCCAAACGTCGGATTGAAGTTTAAAATATATGAATGTCTTGTAGGAAATATCATTAAATACACAGTTTTACCCTAAAACTGATTTATTTGATCCGAACATAATTAGCAATTCTAATTTATGTATAAATAATGTATTAATTTTATCTTCATGGAAATTTAATATCTAGGTAACAATATTACAATAAACCTTCATCTAAATATGATGCGATAAGATACGATGTGTCTAAATCTATTTTTAAACAAAATTAATTCTACTTAAGTTAAAGCTTGCATATAATAAAAGTCTTATGGGAATGTAAGTAGTTTTACAATTGCTATCTAGGCATTTATCTAAACGATAAACGTGTTCTAAATATATTTTGGAAATAAAGAAATAATAGCGAACAATATTCAAATGTATAAATCGCTCGAAATTATAGACCTAAAGAAACAATATTTTTAATATTATTTTGAAACTTACGATTCCTACTCCACTGGCAATTCCGATAACACTGATCATGAGAGCACCGTCTTCCATATTCACAGAGGTCATGTACGATTTGAGGAAGAAGTACGGTATGATCGCCCACACGAAGAGAATCAGTGAACCTATGTTGAACATAATAAAATGGAACTCCACGAACATTCTCATATCGAATGTAGACTTGATGCTGTCCAAGGCACGAAGGTACCACTTCTGTAAAACAACCAAACCAAAATATCACCTAAAAGAATTACCAAATATCAATTTTGTATAAAATTATCTATTAAAGACTAGCTGTACTTTACGCGAATACACATTTAAATAAAACGATTTAAACATTAAAATGAATTTAACTACAATCCGACATTCCGGACTTTGCAGCAGCCGTGGTCACGGGGAATCTAAATCCTTACTAATATTATAAATGCGAAAGAAACCCTGTCTGTCTGTCTGTTACTGTTTCACGCCAAAACTACTGAACGGATTTGAATGAAATTTGGTATACAGATGGTCTAGACCCTGAGAAAGAACATAGGCTTATTTTTGCCCTTGGCGAAAAAAGGGGTTGTAAGGGGTTAAAAGGGGGGGTGAATGTTTGTATGGAAATTCGTGATTTTTCAAGCTAAAACAATGAAACTTTCTTCTTTGGCTTTTTGGGAATAGGAGTGGGAGTGGGAGTGGGAGTGGGAGTGAGAGTGAGAGTATTACGGCAAAGTAGCACTTGCAACATAGATTCGCTGCAATAAATGAGCAATCACATAAATAAATAAACAGCCCAAATAATTAAAAATTCTACCCCACACGAACCACCACTCATTATTTCACGCGAACGAAGTCGCGCGCACAGCTAGTATGAAATAATTTTAACTAATATATATCGCGTTTTAAACGGTTAAAGTGTTGTATTTAATTATATATTAAATCTTTGCTTTAGCTAGTTATATATACAGATATAACGTATACCTTACTTACAAATAACTCGGGCACTTACAGAATAGGAAATGATTTCCTAAAATAGTATCCAAACATTCCCCCCCTAGGTAGACGTTGCGCATGCTCTAAAAATAAAACACACACAGAGTTACTTAAATAATTCTAAACCTACCCTTTCGTCGTCCGAGTAATAAGAAGAGAGAGACCAGTTGGAGTTCTTATAGATGTCGGGTAGTGAAGATGCTCTCAGCTTGTATCTGGGGATGTTCATCATGGCGCCCCTGTGCATAATCGTATTCCTGTAAAGTGGCATGTCTCGAAGATAATGGTGGTCAGTGTATATTTGCCGCGATATCCAACTGGCTGTAGTCGGCAGTGTTTTGGGCTGATCCTTATTGATTGGACTTCTTTCTTGAACTCCTTTGTTATCAACTCTCAGTACTTCTTTCTTTTCATTCATCGATAATTTAGTTTCACTTTTCTTCATCTTTGGTTTATTTTCCTCTTGTGATTTACCTTCTTTGTGATGACTATCTATTGCGCTATCCTTTTTAAGATGCTTTGATTTTTCATCTTCTTTTGGCCTCTTAGCCATAACAGTTACTTTCATTGCTGGTTCCTCGATGTCAGCTGAATCTACTTTATCACCATGTAAATTTACTTCTGAACGTCTTCTTGTTATTAAATGAGGGTAATTTTGTAGAATTATTTTATACAGCCGCTTATTTGTCATCAACTTTTCTATTACCTCTGTAGGCACCTGAAGAATATATGAGTGATGAAACCTTATATAAAATAACTACTAATTTACTAAAAATATGTGATTAAAGAAAATAAATAAGTACCTTATCGTGCCTTTGAATAAATGTTGGTAGAATAATATCAGAATGAGTCCTTTTTCGCGATTGCTCTGCATTCATTTGTGTCGTAACCTCAAGTTGCTTGGCTTCAGCTAAAGAAGTTGTGAGTGTGTCTAGAATATATTCAGGACTCTCTCCACTCTTCAATAAATCATTTAATTCATCTAAAGTTAAAAACGCTGACTCTCCGCCCACTGACCTAGATGAAATGGACCCTGCACTGGATGACTTCCTCGATCTAGTCTTTGCCTCTTTCCTTTCTCTCGCCTCCTTAACAATAAGCCAGTCTGGATCTCTCATTAATGCACCGCATACACACATATTCAAGATTGTCCCTGCTAAAAGAACTAAGGTGTTTCTCCAATCATACAACTCTATAAAGTAGTTTGTCATAGGAGAGTACATCAATGTACCGAAACCGATTCCACACGATGCCAAAGATACAGCCAAAGTTCTTCTCTTATCGAACCAAAATGCAACCGAGACGACTGAAGTGACATACAAAATACCCATTGCTAAGCCGCTTAATGTTCCAAGAGTTAAGCAAAGCATTTCAATAGAGTCACTTACAGCAGCCAATAAGAATCCAATTGTAGATAGAACTCCAGCAATCATCGTCATTATTCTACAACCGTATCTGTCAACTAGAGCGCTCATTATCGGCCCGGACATCAACGGTATTGAAATGAACAAGCTTCCAATAAGGGATGTTTTCGATTGTGATGCTTCAAAGTATTTAGTGAATTCCTCGTGGAGGATACCAAAGGAATACGCGAGGCCATCGGCGCAGGCCGATACCAGAAAGGCAGCGAATACAACAACCCAACCCCAACCGCCGTCAGGGATAGCTGGCAATTTATTTTCATCAGTCTCATGAGAATAAATACTATTATTGTCAAATCCTTCAAATTTCACTCTGTCGACTGTCGGAGAATCGTCTTTTACAAAACGGGCCACAATCTCCTGAGTGTCTTTTGATTTTATCGAATTTATTTTGTCGATATCCCGTTTGAGATCTCCGCCGCTTTCCACGTGTGCATCGCCGTTGGTCTTGTTAGACTCGTTTCCCACCATTGTTTATCTTTTCACGCGATATTTGTTTTTCATAAAAATGTATCGAGCTCTGAAAATAAAATACGTAAATTAGAGATATTATGTGAGATATATTTTTTACTTTTCAACAATGAAGACCAATTCGTTGGTATATTGAAGTACACATTATATGTATTTACATACATATATAATAAAAGAAAGTCGTTTCATTATACTATTTATAACTCAAGTAGTGGGAAGTTATTTGACCAGGAGACGGATATTCTTAAATATCGTCGAAAATCATTTTCATACGCACACGAAGCCGCAGCCAAAAGCTAGTACATATAATATGAAAATAAAAGAAAAAAGATTTAACTTTAAGATGGGTTTATAATTGTTGCTATTTTTTATTAATGATAAGTTTTGCGTTAACGACGCTCCTTTTAATAACGACTCATCATTCAGACAGTCCGGAACAAATACACTGACAAACTCATTTTCATATAAACATATGTTTTATGTACTTCGTTTTAATATAATTTTGTATACAAATTGCTATACACTTAATTCGAAAGAAGGTAACAATAAGATGCTAATTTTAGTAAGAGAATCTCTATTTGGTCTGATTTGGTGATCCTTTAAACAACGGTAAATACTGTGTATATTTACAAAAGAAGTCAAAATATAGGTCAGATGTAAAGCAGACACCAATTGTTTACGGTTCATTATGAAAACTTATCGGTAAATCAGACTAATTATAGCGCAAAATATTTCTGAATCGCGCATGATTGACGTGGTAGAATTAAAGCACAACTTTGTATCTGTTCCACAAATCTTATTTCGTTTAGCTAATATTATTTCTTTCGAGAATTTCATGTTTCTCTCTTCCTTTGTGTTTATTTGATGGAAAAATACATATTAAAAGGAAAATGTCGCGTAAGAATTGTACCACCCAAAGAAATAAATCAGGTTTGGAACTAAATGCATTCAGAAAAAAGTTACAAACCTCTCTAAGGAAAACCGCTTATTTTCATACACGTTTAAGTACAATAGTATGTTAGAAATAACTCTACACAGTATCACATAAGGTGCTAGTGGCCATTTTTGTAGCGTGGCCGTGGAAAATCCTCAATAATTATTATGTACGCATTTTATGAATCACTTATGAAGTTGTTATGTACGTTAACACATTTTCGGCTTCTAATTAGGATATTTATAGCATTCCTTAGCGAGAACTACTAAGCTGGAATCCATGTTTAGATATAAAATTTTCAGAATAATTCCGTAATTTTAATGAGCGTGAAATATTTAGTTTAATTTAATTTAAATTTTCATAAATAGTTTTAAATTAAATACTGTCTGTAGTTTACGCGAGTAGAACTTACATACATTAAATAAAACTCTTTAACGGTTTAAAACGCTAACTACGGCCCGATGTTTCGGATACTTAGCAGCAGCTGTCACGGGGAAACTAAAGATGGAGGGTGTCTTTGACGTTAAAGTAAAGACGTGACGTATGTAAACACGTGAAAATAATTTTCGAATCAGTTTAACAAATATATACATCGCGTTTTAAACCGTTACAATGTTTTATTTAAATCGTTTTACATTACAGCTAAACAACGCGGAAAGTATAACGAAACACATGAAAACGATTTCTGTTTAAATATAATTTACGAGAATCTCATTTAAGATAATTATCTGACTGACGGTTTGAACATTTTCATCTAAATTTAGATTCAGCTTCAAAACATTGCCTGCAGGTGCGTCTGGAAGCTCATTCACATTCATTGTTTTAATTCTGTAAGGAAAAAGTTCTATAGTAGCAGAAATATTCGTTTATTTTAGAAAATGTCACTAGTTGTCTTTTTTATGGCCATTTTTCAAGATTATGAACTCTATATTGTAAAGTTTATTTTATCTTATCTCATGGGTAGAGTAAAAGATAGAACGCCAATTTCCCGAAATCCAAGGACGAACGGATCATATACGACGCGTAAGTAACATAGTAACGACATCAATATACATATAAAGGAAAATGCATGGCTGTGTAACTACAACAAAAGAACCTGGTGGGAAAGAAACTGGAGTAATCATTGTTATTCTTGAGAGTAACCGCAAATATGATTGCTCGTTTTGTAGATAAAATCGATGGTTCGTGATGCCTTTTCAAATTATTTTTTAACACAGGATCACTATTGATTAACTAAATTCTAGTTTATGTATTGTATTTAAAATCAACTACTTAATGCTGGCGAGTTGAGATAAAAAGCTATGAAGCTATATCAAAAATATAGTAATCAAAATAGAGAGAACTCTTAAAATGGTTTGTCTTTTAAAAATCCATTAATAATCACTTAATCCTAGTGATAGTAAAATTTTCAACAAAGTCTAAACATCTTAAATAATAAAGTACGAGAACACATAATATCATTGTACTATCTATTCAGCCGTTTTACATACAATGCGTTGTAAAATAACTTTATATTCAGCTACTACTTCGCAAGATAAAATCTCAGGAAAATATCGCCTAAGCGCGGCCCGTATCAGAAGTAAGTAAACTCAGTAACATCATCATCAATAAGTTTAATCAAAATTAGTAAAGCCATTTATAGCCATAGTTTATAGATATGTGCCACTTTATTCGTTACTTTATAGCGTGATCAAAACTTATGCTTGACGTTATTTTTTACGACAGAACAGACAACTTGGGGTTTACTTGATAGAATATGACATACTCCAGCTACATACGTCTAAACAAGATGCTGTCCTATTTCGGCAATGGAAAAATCCATGAACTGAGACGCGATTACATTTTATGGCTTTTCCATCTGTGGACGGTGGACTTCCGATATTTCTGTCTTCGTTCCTTTGGTATCCAGACTCTCCAAACTAAGTCAAACAAGCTTATACAAGGTTACTATTGGGCAAATGAGTTGATATTTTTAATGGATTTTTCGTTTCGTCAACGCTTTAACTGCTGGATTGCTTTCAATCAAATATCAGAGGGAATCTGGAATTCTCGTAAAGTATTATACTATTTTTCGATATATTCGATCGATTGATGTGCATCAAGCAAGAAGGATGTTAATATTACATTAAAGACTTTTTATGAGATTAAGTTACGACATATAACAACAACTTTGCATGTCTATTTTTGACTTATAATATTGACTATATATTTATGTTATAAGTATAAGAAATACTTATGTTTACGGAAATTCTCGAAAATAATTCAAGTAATAGGTTTTATAATCGCAAAGCTATTTATTATTACTATTTATAACTAACCGCACTAAACATACTTCACGATTTAAATCCACAATTAAATCGACTCAATGAATCATTGACCCTAACGTTTCCATTGCTTGTCAACATCATTATACTGGCATACTTTACACGCTACTAAGTATTTTAAGTAAGTAAAATTAAATGTATTTCTTAAAAAGGCTTAGGATAAAATGGATAAAAACATCCATATTAATAAAAAACAGCTTAATTAGTAGAACAATAGTAGTAATTGGTCTAACTCCCGAATCTTTCAGTTTATATCAAAGTAATCCATATGAATATTTTAAAATTTAAATTACGCAACTATTACGATTTTCAAGTTATACAAGCGAAATTTAAACAGACGTAGATCACAACAAATATTATCCTAACTCTATGAATATGTCTTTTTTGCTCTGTTCTCTCAAACACCCTATATAAAGAAACATGACACTCCTTCGAACATAAACTAATCCTCTAGGAAACCATATTATACAAATGTAGGTACTACTCGCCAACTGTTTTTCGACTAATACTATTAATGTAAAAGTTTGTAGTCTTTATTTACTTGTGTGTATTAATATTATTATAACATATATAAATATATGTTAATGTAATTTGTTAAATCTTAAAGTAAAGAACTGAAAAAATATTGTTTAAGCGTGGTGTATAAAAAAATACTTATTGCGTAGAAAGAATAAAGGTAGAAATTAGAAATAAGAGATTTTATTTTTACGATACAATAAATCAGTAAAATGAGGTATTAAACTAGCTAATTGACATATTACTATTGCTACAGTTAGTTAATTACTTCGTCATTACTAAGTATATAACAATACATTAACCTTTTATGACTAATTAATAATTATTAAAAATAAGTTACTGCCACATTCTCGGAATAATGATAACACGATAACGCATGTTGCGGGTCGTGGGTTCAGCAATACAATGCACCCATCTGGGTTTACCTCACAGGTAGACTCGGATAGGTCATGTTTGCTTTTCTATAAATTTGTTAAAAAAACGGAATTGGTTCAACGATTTTATATAGCAGGAGAAAATTATTTTTTGTTATTATTTAACAATTATATATTAAATAATTAATTAACAAACCGAAGACACAATATTATAAAGATATAAGTATTGTAAGAGGAAAATCCAGTTTGTGGGGAATGGGCCCGTCTCCCGTTATTGTGTTTGTTTTACTGTTCGATGCTATTTACAGGCAAGTGCCTAGTTAATCAAACTCTGTATCCTGTCTAAGTACGAGCCATTAACACTTAGTTCGACATATTTTATTTAATATTGTCTACACCTTTTGGAAGTTATTTTTCTGTAGTATGTCCTTTTATCTGGGTCGTTTAATAAAAGCAATAATTAGTCACGTGTCTTTGTTTATAAAATAAATCTGCCATTCTTCAATAAAACAATGAGCCAGAACAGTTGATTTTCTTTATAATAAATCGAAATATAATCAAATGAAATGTAGATAGTAATTAAACATGCAACTTGATAAAGTCCACAAAATCTGAACATAAAAGAATTCCAATAAGACATGACCTTCGTTAAAATTCGAAACTGTAATAGCCCAGAATAAAAATAAACGTGAGGATTGCCCACAGTTCGAGGCGGATAGTTATTTTTTTTTAAATACTCTCTTCACTACTTTAGTGAAAAAATTATTTACACACATAAGACGTATTATTCGAACGGAAATAAACATACACAAAGCAATCGACGAATCTTCTAAAAATATCTCGCGGTATACTCACCTCATTAACAGCAGACGAAACTCTTCACAAATTAAAACTCAACCAAAGAGTATTTAATAACTAAATACTCTTGGGTTCCACGTCTGATTTGTTCGACCACTTTTTGTATACTGAACGCTGAAGGAAATCCGTATGCCTACGTCATTATGTTTGGTACCTACATCTCAGTTATTTGGGGACATATTTGCAGATTGTTTGCGATACAAATAGTTTGATATATTTAATAAACCATTATATTCGAGTCAATTAGTTTTTGGAAGACCAGACGTTTTGTAGTATTTTCTTCTGTAAACTACCAACTTTAATAAATTGATTCATTAAAACTAAGAAAAAGTAAAATGAACTCATTTAAGTACTTAAAGAAAAATCATTTTTAATATTTTTGTTGTTCATTATGAGAATTGCAAGCCGACCGAAATTTAAAAACGTATTTATTTCATTTTCTGCCATGAAAGCGGACTTTTGTTTTATTAAACCTTGGTTAGCTTAGTAAAAATTGTAAGAAAAAGGTATAATAAATGTGCTATGAGCCAGTTACTTTTATTAATATGTACGCTCTATTTACCTTTTAATAAAAGTTAAATTCATATTTCTGAATGATGCAAAAGATTTCCACTTTTCACACATGCATACATTTTCCCGCTGAAAGTTTAATCTAAACGCGCATACATACAGTCACGGATCACAGATAATAATCAAAAGCTTTACCTTCGTGAAAGAAGATATGCCTGGCAAACTTGACCACCAGCATTGCCTACACATCCCTTTTATTTTAGTCCTAGATATTGGCTAATATAGTCGACGCTCTCAGCCTTGTTTATTTGTTGTGTAATGAATGGTTATTATATTATACATAAATTTTTACCTATCGATATAATCACAGACAAATCAGTAGACATACTCCAAAGTATGAATTGTTCCTTAAGTCGAAATGACAGCTGACATTTGACGTGTATCTCATGACGTCATTGCAAAACCAAGCCAAGACAAAGCTGCGCTTGTTTTATTTGTAAATTCTAAATAATCGGTAAAATAATTACAGAAAATATCAATTAAAATGGCTGAAAAGCCACCAGAGGAAGGATACATTTCTGTAGTAGACGAGGAGCCAGAGTTTTTTGCACTATTAAAGTGGGATTCGGCACAAACTCATAAGCAACATGAAGTGCGGAGTTTGGAGAGAGCAAAAAGTCCTGAGAAGAGTGTGCCAAAGCCGAGAGAGGAACCGGATCCGTTTGATTTGAACGATGTCACATTTGCAGATACCTTCCGTCTGACAAAAGATATGGCGCGAAATCTTTGCGAAGAAATAAAATCTGTGATGCCGGATTCTACGAAATTACTTGATTTATCCATTGAAACAAAGGCATGTATGATACTTCACTTTTAATATCAGCGGAAGTCTTTTTATCATAATCAATGACTCGATTTTTTTGAAATATATATTTTAATATTTCATAATTCTTTATGAAGTGAAGTAGAGTATAATAAACGTTCATATACATATTTATTCAACTCTAATGTGATGGAGTTTTGTATATAAAGTGTTGGATTATATCACTCCATATAGCTATGATGTTCATAATTTTGTTGTTTTATTAGGTACTGGCAACTCTCTCCTTTTATGCAACAGGAAAGTATCAAAAATCATTAGCAGGCAAGACAGATCCAAATGTTACTCAATACTTCTTTATGACTGCAGTGAGCCAAGTAACGGAAGCAATTAATCATCCATCGATTGTAAAGAGATATATTCACTTTCCCCATTTAAGGAATGAAAGGGATCTTATTAAGAGCAGGTAGAATTTGCTTATCTTTAAAAGGGATACATACATGCGGACACATTACCTATGTTAGTATCAAAAATTGGAGATTTCCTAGTGTGCTCAATATAAAGAACAAATGTTTCAGGTTTTACATGAAGTACAGGATACCAAATGTAGTTGGGTGTGTGGACTGTATGCATGTGCCCATCTATAAGCCTGACGATGACCACAAAAGACATTTCAACAAATCCTATCATTCCAAGAAAGCTCAAATTGTAAGATATTATTTTATTTAAAATTTTGGCTGTTTGTCGACATACAGGTAATTACTAAATACACATGTAGGGGTCAAAATTTTAAAACTAAATAAAGTTTAAAAAGTTATTCATAAATAAGGTGCATGATCATGCGATTACTATTGATTTATTATGTATACTTGATTAACTAATCAAGTAAACTACACCCAATACATCTTGGTTTTTTTCATTTTAAGGACTGCTTATAAGTTTACAATGAACTCTAAATTAGTTTTTCAATTAAAACTTAATTTTAAATCATAAAAATCACAAAAAAAAATATTAGTTTTCTTTTATCGTCATTTCAGATATGTGATAGTGATCTCAATATATTAAGTGTAGATGCGTCACCGGGCGGCTCACTCACACACGACGCCATTTTACATAAACATGCAGTGAGAAATGATCTAGAAAGTCTTAATGCAGCTAGAGATACATGTTGGCTTGTAGGTAAGTTACTACTTATGTAATCGTAATGTAAGACGGACAAGAAATTTATTTCCTTATAAGTTCATCCATGGGATGTTTATAAGGGTTTTCACCTTTTGTGAATGATGTGAGAGAAAATGGTGTGTGTGCATGTGTTAATGTGTGTAAAGGTTTTTTATGTACTATTATCTTGTATGCAGCCTTCTGGACATGCCCTGGCTTAATAAATAAATCATATTTCATTTTAATAACATTACAATTGTAATAATGTTAATATGACAATTTCAGGTGGTCCCCACTATCTCCAAAAGCCCTACCTAATGACACCAATCCCCAAAATCACAAAAAAAACACCAGTGTCTCCTGAAAAACACTACACGAATCTCCATACAAACACACACAACGCAGTCTTAGAGACAATAAAACATCTTAAAACCAGATGGAAGTGTCTTCAAGCAACATGCAACAAACAATTTGATCCATCTATGGTGTCTATGATAATTGTGGCTTGTTGTATCCTACATAACATGTGCAATAGACGAGGATTGGCTGTACCACAAATGACCCAGGCGGAAGAAAGGTTAGAAATTATGAAGCAGAAGGTGGCGAATGCGCCCGTGTCTAAGAAACGTGTCGAGGATCCTTCAGGTAACAATACTTACATGCATATAAGTGTGTGATTTTTGTATTGATTTTAAACAAATCTAAGATACGACATATCTCTTGTATTTGGATTAACTAAACATTAATATGTATATTGTCACTACAAGTCCCAGACTTATTATGAGTAAGTTTCATTACCGCACAATTTCTTCGTAATGTATGTAAATTATTAATATTTAAAACCTCATTGTAGGTATTAATCAAAATATATTTTTAATTCGAGACAATAATAATTTTACTATATAATAAATCTAGTAATGTGAACAACATAATATGGACCATGTTTTATTGCCATGAGGGTAGTGGTGACGGGTCACTAGAGACTGAACCGTGCACACCCGTCTTCGTAAGAAATTCGTGCCCCACGCCGATACAACGAAGTAGACCTTTTCATTTTAAACAAAATAAATATAAATAACTTACTTTATGTGTTATTTAATAAGATATCTCAATCCAGTTTTTTTTTGGGAGACTAAGTTATACTATTCTATTTTCAGGTGTGCAAGTAAGGAGCACCTTGATAGAGAGATTATGGAACGAACGCAGCGTTAACGAAGGTATTCCACCTAAGAAACGAGTGAGGAAGGAGCGAGTTGAACCCCCACCCGTGCCCCAGATGCCGACTATGATGCAAGAGGACCCCAGCAAACGAGCGAGGGTTATGATGAACAACCCGTATGGGTTAGGGGTCGGGATGAACCCCGGATGGGGACATTATCCACAGCACTAAAATCTCAAAAGTTACTCAATGTCATGCAAAGTTGGTTTTAACATCAGTACACATTTTTTTATTCACCCAGCAATCTCAAATTTTCTAAAAATGTATGCATAATATTTATTTTATTGTAATTATTTTTTCAGTAAAACCTGTGATCTTATTTATCTTTACCAGTATTATAAAGATAATTATTACATATTTGTACATTTTTATAAATTATTGGGGTGAATACAAGTAATGTTAGAATTAATAGAGCCATATTAAGTGTTTTTGTAATTACAATATTCCTATATTGGAACTCAAGACTGTAGAGAATCTCGAAATAATACAACATACAGAGATTATGCTTCTATTAACCTTAAGTGATAAACATAATTGATGTTACTAAGAATATATTATATGAGCAAATATAACATAATTTTAAATAAATCTTTTAATTATACACTTTTTAGTATAAAAGTTCAGATTTTTGAATTTAATAATATTTACTGAAAGAACTGGAAATGTCGTTAGCTAGCATCGAAGCGATAGCCATGTTTGGACAATTCACTGTTACTACGGAGTGGTCACTTTCTATACGCACAGAGAGCAGTACCAGGTCTTGCGATGACATGAGACGACCGGCGAATCTGGAAGCACATTAAAAGTTATTTTATTGTAAATACGAGAAATTTGACGCTTCACATGATAGAGTTTGGGTTGATTATTATAAAAAATAAAACATTTTAACGGTTTAAAACGCGAAATATATTAGTTTAAGCTATTTTAACTACGGCCCGACATTTCAGATTCTTTGCTACAGCCGGAGACAGAGACTAAAGATGGAATGAGAGATCCATTAAAATGTTTAACTTGCGTAAACTACAGACAGTGTTTAGTATTTTTCATTGTTTATGCATTACATTACATTATTAGTATTGAATTTTATTTAGTGATACAAGGAGAAGGGTCGAGCACTACTATAGAGCCGTTTTTGATTCTTTTTATCACTGTTTAAGGAAGGCAGCACGCTCACTTTAGGAAGTCGGTAGGCGAGTCTACGGCACCCAAATTGGCAGTCTCGAAAACTCTCGTACACATTATTAGATCGTTTTCTAATTTCGGCGCCTTTTTGTCACACTGCAAACAAAAAAGGATCTAAATTTAGTACTTTGTTTACTTTGATTATGGTCCTTCGAGCCAGATCGATTAATCATTTGATAAAAATTCAAGATTTCTTAGTAATCTTTGATTTTGAAAATGGATAGAATAAAAGTAACCTCAGTCATTCCTCTCAATTTCCTCTGCTCTCTCGCCCATCTCACTTCCGACATATTGACTGCACGTATCAACTCGCCCACCTGTGGTGTTATCACTATATTCATTTCACCTGTAAAATATATAAATGATTATAGAAAATATGTTACAGTACAAATACAGACCGATTTTTATATGAGAAAGAAGGACGGACAAGCATTCCTATGCTTATCCGTCCGTTAATTATTACCATTAGACAAAAGAGTCCGAAAAATGAATATTTTCTTATAAAGTAATATTCAGGAGAAGTATGCATAGTATTTAATAATGCAACTACAGTTGACATATTTTTTGTGTGACTTACCTAGAGAGCTAGCTATTGTGAACTCGACTGGTTGTATAGAGTCCCCGAAGTCCACTCCCAGCAGCGTCGTGGTGGACGCGCCTGGACCCAGTGATGAAATAGGGGAGAACTCGTGAATACTGCGAGATCCAGAAACAATCTGGAATATTATGAAGAAAGATTTTTTTAACTAACTTAAATAACAAGATGCGTCGTCAACCAATTTTGGCTTGAAATGTTCGGAAATCCACACTGATACTAAAACGCGATTAAATTTCACGGCTTTTATCTGTGGACTGTGGTTCGTGAGCCGATCTTACTAACATCCTGTTTTCCAGAAATTTCAGAGGTATAAATTGATTAGAATGTAGAACGTGGTGGAACCCACGACCTGTTGATTACCATCCATTGCTACCATAACACTACCTAATTGGTAGTGTTATGGTAGATAAATATTGTTTAATACATGGCATTGTTAAATACCTTTTTATTGAGTCGTATATTGGTGACTTCATCAGCTGTATGGTTGGTAAGAGTGAGTTGTATTGCGCACATCTTATTCGAGTAGAGGTGAGGGGCGCGCGTCCAACGGCTATGGACAGACAAGCCTCCGGACATCACGCGCGATATCAATTCAGTGCTTTTGTTGGGCACGATGCTTGGGCCAACTGGCGTTATCATGTCCGCTGTAGAAAGTGAAATAAGTAAGGTATTACTTCGCTGAGGCAAAAAGTTAGAACCTTCGTCATATTGTACCAATAGCAGAAGTTACCTTTTTCTTAAGATAAAACTTATTAAATTAAGTAAAATCTGAGCGTTTCTAAGGTAAAGTAAAAAAAAGCAATAATGATAAATTGATAACACACAAAAGGCAAGATCCAAATAAAAAAATACGGTAACATTAAAATACGTGAGAACTAAAAGAATGTTGATAAAATAAAAGTTTATATTTTCAAGGTTTGGGAAAAGCAATAGTGCAGTCTCCTACGAGAACAAAAAGCAGAGAAATGTTTTATCTTCCCGCGCAACCATTTTCGTAGTAAATAATTGTAATGACAAGTGACTTTCTAGATCTAGACGAATATTACTAGAGAAAACTATTTGTATAATTTTTCAGCCTTATATCCTTTCTTATAAGCACATCATTTTTTACCTTCGCTTAAACCCATCGGTGGTACAGTTGGTGGGGATAGGAATCCCCCACAAGTCGGGGTCATAGTGGGTAGAGTGCTTGCCACCTCGTCCAGCTCTAAGAGTAGTTCCAAGTTCGACTTCTCATTCTTATTAGACTCTTCTTTTTGTTCTTGCTGCTTAAAACAAACCAATCAAAAATAACGATTTTAAAACCATCATTGTTACGTAGTATTTGTCTTTATTCTAATACCATTTTTTTGGTGTTACCTGGTCATCGTTAGTCTGTGGCGCCTCGTCACTGCTATCCTCATTATCAGATCCGCTTCCGTCCGAGCTTGATGTCTCGCTATCTGACTCACTGTCCGAAGTTTCAGAGTTCGATCTGAATTCATCAATACAGCTTATTAAATTTAGCTTATAAAAACGTTTTGAATCATAATTCAGTACAAACATCTATGTTACTTACTTATAATTATTGGCTTCCTTCGGTTTTTCTTCATCTTCATGCTTTTCTTCTTCACTGTAATTACGAGTTACATTATTTTACCAATGGAACAAAAATGAATACAACAAAGAAACAAACTTCAGCACTATCAGAAAAGAATGTGAAATTCGTATATGGAGGTACTTTTAGTAATCAAGGCTTATACTCACTCTTCCGAGGATTCTTCTGAACCACTAGATGTCTCTGAACCACTAGATGTAGATCCTGAGTCGCCCTCGGGCTCCGAGTAAAACGTTTTGTTTTTCTACAATATAAAGCCATGATGATATTTATTATTTTAGCAAAAAATTGGTTTTTAAAACTATAATGATAGACTTGACAAAATATGATTCCTTTATGATTCTTCATTTTTATAACAAATGTGTGTGGGCGAAACTCTACAATATAATACAGAAAAGGCAGGAACGTTTTAACAGTTTAACGTATCGTTTGTTCGATCCCCAGAAGGTCCAACACGTTATTGAACACCTTTCACAGGTGAAAAGCCCGTTGGTATTTATTAGTGACTCGGTTTAAGCCTGTGGTTGTGTGATCTATGGAAATCTATGGATCTATGGATCACACAACCAAAATAGGTCGGCAGCGCATCTTATTAGAATGTTAAATGGCTATGGTATTTTCACCACCATTTATCAAGTGAGCTTGCCCCTACCCCGCCACACACCACAAATATATGAATACCATTAAGTCTTACTCTCTGTTAGTCGTAAGAAACCTCTAGTTATTTTTTATTACAACTGTAATAATAGCGTTTTAGAATCAAATGTCATACCTGAACAGGAGCAGGCTGAGTTTCCACTGGAGGTGGTTCGCGCAAATCAGCTGCCACCGGCTCTGCGGGTGAAGTGGGTAGCGGTGTATAACAGCCCGCTGCGCTGCCGATGTACTGCGAGAGAGAGCCCAAGGTGTATTGGTCGCGATCTAAATAAAATATATAAGTTACCATTTCTGCTTTAAACAGTTTTTATGATAGAGGAGGATAGACAAGCATCGGGTTGACTTGATGGTAGGTGAAATTTCCCAGCCATATAACAACTAAACTAAATGTGCTTTGAATTTTGAATTTTGGCTTTGAATATTCGAAAATCCACAGACTGAAACCGAAATGCAATCGAAATTGACGGCTTTTTTCATAAGTGGACGGTGGTTCAAGACCCGGGCGGATTTTCGGATTTTTGACCACCCATTTTCTATCCAAATTGCCAGACGAAGAAAATGTTGGACCCGGTGGGGATAGAACTCACTATCATACTAACCATATATTGCTACCATTACGCCAACCAGCCCGTCATCATTAATATGTTAAATATGCTAGCTACAAAACAAATACCTCAATATAAATAATGGGGTTTTTGAATCCGGTATTTGAGCCCTAGAACGTGGCTAAGCTTTACTTAAAGCTATCCAAATATATAAACAAAGTTTTTCTTGCCAGATATAAAACAGTAATCTACATTGCTACCAATTGCTAAACGTAAGAAGGTTCTTCAATATTTTACTTACCCTTAAAACTGCTTTGGATTGTAGGCTTAGGCTTGTCTGGGCAGAAGATATCAGCAGCGTACTGCGCCAGCAATGAATCATTTTGCGGCTCGATAAACTTCCGCAACATTCTCGCTCTGTCTCGCACATCATAACTTGCATCGTACCGAGCGAGATGCAACACGTAACGACACATTGGCAGTGTATCTGGTTGCGTTATAGACAGTTTCACAGCGAGCGACAGTAATTGGAGTTTTACTAATTCATCCTGAAATAATATATTATTAGAAATATCTGAACAAGAGATTAAGTGGTTACAATATTCCTATGTTTTTTTATAATAGAATTCACATTCAGCATCTATAATGGACCTATATACAGTCTCGTTAAATTAAGTGAATACAAATATTTATATAATAATATCACAGAAAAACCTATTATGAAAATTGTACCGACATTTAAATATTAAAATTTTATATACTCCAGGATATTTAAATTTCTAACCTGATCAGCAAAGTTGGAGATCATATGTGCTAAGATGGCTGCCGCACGCGGGTGCTTTGCCCCGTGTTCTGCTACGAGCCATACGGCAGCTGCACGGGCATTGCCAGCCAATCTGGATGTTGGATGTAAACGAATATAAGAAAATATAGTATGTAATTCCTGTCAAACGCTTTGTTTTTGTTACGCAAAAAAAAACTGTTTCCCAAAAAAATACTATTATAGTCATTGTATACAAGAATATAATTAATAATTATTTTCTGAAAAACTGTTTTTTATAGAACCTGTATACTTTATACTAAATTATTACTAACCTATCAGATCGAAGCAATTTTGCAGCTCGGGAAACAGCAGCACGAGCAGAACTAGCTCCACCTCCTACAACTCGCTTTACCACCACAACTGCTTCGCACACCACCCACTCTGAAAAACATACCCGCAATATTACTGCTTCGAATAATGCTTAAGCTTACAGACTGCTTGGCGCACACTATATTGTAAAGTATGATTTATAGAAAGATTTGAAAAGATATAAAGGTAAGCGTAGACCACACGGAAACTCGTATTTATTTTTAGTTAGTTAGTAGGCGTAAGTTAAAAATAAGGCATACAAATTACGTTTGTACGTCTTATTTAGAACTACGGCCATGTCCAATTCTCGTCTAACACGTTAACTTACCATCTTTACTCGAGAGCAAATGCAACAATCCGTTGAGGCATGTCTCAGTCTCAGTTTGTATGGCGACAGCGAGTCTCCCGATTGCCTGAATAGTCGCCGCGACAAACGCCTTATCACTAGATGTGACATACGTCTGATATTCGCGCAGTACAACCGGCGCACTGGCCTCCGTCGCTAGATTCGTTAGGATTTCGAGTTTTAGCAACTTTACATGCGTTGGATCCGAGTTGCGGACGAAGAACGACTTTAAAAAGGGCTCGAAGAGGGCCTAAAATTAACAATAGAATAGTTACAATTAACTTTTTAGACAATTTTGTCTTTTTTTTTATGATAGAGGAGGACAGAAAAACATGGGATATAGACAAGCATTCAGGGTTCTCTTGATGGAAGGTGAAATACCCCAGGCTCTAAACAGGGGGCGCTCTCGACCTATTTTGGCTTTGGATATTCGGAAATCCACAGACTGAAATCGAAACGTGATTAAACTTCACGGCTTTATCATCTGTGGACGGTGATTGTGACACGGATGGAATTTTGATGTTCCTACCTGTTTAATATCCAGATATCCAGACGAAATCCAACATGTTTCAGAAAAATTATAAATTTATTTAAAAAATAATGGACCCTGGTGGAGATTGAACCCACGATTTATTTATTAGCTGTATATTACTATCATTACACCAATGAGCCCATTTTTAGGCTATTATACAATTTATTATTTAAAAAAAACTGTTAGTTATAACTCACTCGCTTAGTCACAGTGAGAGCTGCAATGGAGTTGAGTACGACGCTCTGGACTTCAACGTGAGCTCGCAGAAGACGAACCATCGCTTTAGCTACAGGTGGCAACTCTTGCACTGCAAGAAGAAAGCGGCTACAAATAACGTTGGTTATTAGTAAAAACTAAGTACCACAAAAAAATCAAGAATGTAAGCTGTTTTAAGTTTGTAAGTCATAATTATGTGTCAATATATTTTTATTTGATAATTTTTCTTGTAACATTGAAATCTATTTAATATAGTCCACGTTCAATACTATAATATATATATTGTAACCATACCACAGACAAAGATTAAAAAAAAGTTTAACCCAAAAATCCTAGAAAATATTGATTCCTCAAGAAGAGTTATAGTAAAGTTATACCTGGACCGCAATGATAAAACAGCTGAGCCACGGCCATCACGACGCCAGCATTTCTACTCTGCAATAGCGGTTTAGCGGCTCTCAATAGCAGTCTCAAATCCGGATCGACTGTCGGTGAGCTGGATGTACGCTTTTGAGTTTCACTCGCATCGCTATCAGACTCGTAGAATGGTTTTTCCGTTTCACTCTCGCTCGAATAATTCTGGAAAAATATTTGTTACACATTGAATAAATGGACGTTGTCAAACAAAAATGAGAAAATTCGAGGAAGATTCTTTTGTCTACTGGCAGTAGTAAAGCTGTAATAATAATGCTATGGGTTTTATTTAGTTTATTGTAAATTTACAGTAATGATTTACTTTGAAATGAATTATATCGATTATGATATATAAAATACTCTACTGAAGGAGTTCTTAAACCTAGCCTAATCGAGTCTGTAATTCACATTTTAATTCAATAAGTCAGATAATATAGAGAAAAATCTGATGGACTTCCCTAAATTCCCTTATACCATTTAAAACATACCCTTAAAACTTAAGACATTCATCATTAAGAAAAAATATTTTCCTTACATCATTGTTGGGATCCGGGAAGCAAGTCTTAGCATACACTGTAAGTACATTTAGCAAAGCAAGCTGTCCCCATTCATCGACATCTGCTAATAACGAACAAAGCTTCCTGAAAAAATTATTTTGTTGCCAGTCAGATTATAACTCTTACCACATGTAAGAGTATGATTGATGTTGTACCCACAGTATATTTAAGAGAGAGGTTAAAAAGTATTCTTGATTACATCAATGTAATAAATAATAACTTGCCTATAACTTCTATGTATAAGACTCATCCTGTCTGCACAAACTTCGGAAAAAGCCATAGCAGCTGAGCCAACAACAAGTGGTGCTTTATCCGATAGCAACTTGTCTATAATAGCCACTAATTCCTCTTTCTGATCTGGATCCAAACTGTGAAAAATGTGCTAGATAGGTCAACTTCATTATCTGTATGCCTTTAGTTATTACCTCCATCTAAGATTATTTGTTCTAACAGGCTCAAAAATAATCATTTAGTTAAAATAAGAAGAACTACCTATATAACTTGGGTATGGCATGTGCTGCGGTCTTCCTCACATAGGGGCTCATGTCACTTGCTGAATCTCTAATAGCTAGCATCACAATAGGCACAATCATTGGTACTCGAATGGAAGACAAAACACGAAGAGCACTTGCTCGTATTAGTTGATTGGGATCCTGAAAATTTAAAGAAGAATTGCTTGATATATATCGCTTCTCAAAAAAAGTATGGTCAAATTTATTTCTTTAAGCTGCTTGGTGGGTTATGTTTTTTAAATAACTTCCTAATAGTCCTATTGTGTGTATACACAGTTGTACCATAAAAGATGAATGATAAAATATCCTAACATAACTATTTCCATAAAACCTTCTACTGTCATAATATAATACCTTAAGTGCTCTTTGGAATGTGCTTATAGACAAAAGAGCCAAGTCTTGCTGTTCTTCAGCATAACGCACCAAATAGACATACACCAATTTTTTAACCTCTATGTTTTTAGATACAACATTTTTCACAACTGCAGGAAATCTGAAATAATACAATTTCAACATCAATAAAAACCTTTGATTACTATTTGCCATTAAAAATATAATCAGTCAAAATTATTTTGTCACTAAAGTAGTCTTTTATATGTAGTTTATGGCTACAGTAAAAGAAAAATCTTACAAGTCTGAAGCATCTCTCCCTTTTGCAATCATTCCTATTATCCTCTTCATTGCCTCCAGTTTTAATGAGTCTTTGGACCCATCTAACATCTGCTTTAAGTCTTCATTTCTGAAATTAGACAATTTTCTTTGTTAAAAATTGAATTGTCGTAAACGAATGAATTAACGTAAATGAATTTATTCTTTAGTTTACAAAAATTACAATACATAATCATGTTTCTTTTAAATTAAGTTAATCGAAATGTAGCTTTTAGTTTAATTTGCTTGATTTATTTATAAGTGATATCGCTCTAAATGGAACTTTACGCACTTTTTATAATCCGGTTGAAAGAAAGCCCCTGAAGCTGGATCGCCAGCAGGATACTCCACTTCGCCTGTGACCACTTTGTCATTATTATATGACGGTGTGGTTGCCATATTACCAGACAATGCAAGTGGTTTTCCGGTTTCTGATCGTCCAGTTCAATAGAAAATACAAAGACACTGTAAAATATTAAATTTCTAATCCAATTTTCAATATTTATATTTTTTGGACATTAAATGACAGTGACACGTTTCCGTTTTGACATTTTGTTTAATAAAACAATGTCATATCTGAATTGTCAACTGTCAAAGTTTAGCGTAGACTAAACATATTATAATAGATTTATAGGATATTAAAATTTTACGTTTTCAGCCAAATCTTCGTTGAGCTAGTTAGACCTCTATGGTATATAGAACTAATATTGTACCAGGCCATAAAATATAAATAATAAAAAAATATATTATTGATATTGTGTTACTATTCAATAATAATGTGCTACGGATTAAGGCATTAACCTCATACATAATAATATGAAATATTATTTTCACTGAAGAGGTAATTAAGTAGATTACATACACAAAGCATCATTTTTATTAAAATAGATAAAAAAGTAAACAAAACTTTAACAAATAACCATTTATTTTCGAGAATCTTAAAGTTAAAGAATACATCGTTTCTTTAATTAAGTTAGTAGTCTGATATTATCTACAAAGAGCAGATATTTCCATTCCAGATATCTGCTCTCCAACTCAATGCTTCTAAACAATACTTTGAAAATCACGGCAGAAAAGTACGGGTTGAAACTTTTTCGGCTTTTTCGACTTCCATTCAAAATCGCTTTGAAATGAATCCATTCATTTGGAAAGAACGTTTGAATACAATTTCTCTGTTGGTCAAAAACAGTTTTCCTTATATTTCGCATCGTTCCACCAGGTCCTAAAGTTTTTCCACACAGTTGTTTCCCTGAGTTTTTCCTCATTATTTAGAATATCGCAGAGGTTACACACGTCTGGTCCGTCGGTTTCTTTATAGACAAAGTGATTTCTCCACCGAAAGAAGTCGAAATATTTAGTCTTGTTCGCCATAATATTGCTCATTTCTTTAGCGAGGTGTACAGGCCCTAGCGTTCTTGCGTTTAGGTAGCTACCCTCTGGCAGGAATCTAAACAAAAATGTTACATCATATAACGGCACACAATATAATTGACTGAGTTCCGCAGTATATTATAGTTTTAATTGCTGCAGCTATAGTAAATTAATATCAATAAGAAATTTGTATAATTGGATCTATGTAAAATAAAAAGAGCTGCAAACAAATTCATTCAACATTCTCCAGTAGGTACACATTGATAAAGCAGGTACTCTGTTGTACGTTATATGTATAGTCGGAAATTGCAGGCAACAAGGAGATAAGTAAATAACGTTGGCATTACCATAATAAATACATTTAGTTAAAATTCAGGCCAATGTTTAGATTATTTACCATACTATGTTGTGTTAAGAGTTACTTTGAGGGTAAGCGGTACACGCATACACTTCACATACGCCCAAAAATAAGGCAGTAGAAATACTCGTTATGTAGTAATCGGTAGCTTAATTATTGATAGAGCAACAGCACGGAACGCTGACGATGCCGGTTCAAGTCCTGCCCGAGTCGAACATATTTTCAATTTATTTTCGATTTTTAAACTACTCGTTATGTTTAAATTTAATATAATACCCAAATTTAATGTTAAATTAATAAAATAATTATAATTTTTATATACCTTGTGTATTAAAAATCTCGTACTTTAAAAAATGTTTGTATGTATATCTCATAAACTAGACTAGACAATAAAATGAGATCAGTGATGTACGTAGTTTTAAGGGCGAGATCATAAAGAATATATTAGTTAAACAAAGTAGTAGACGCAAGAATTAGTCATTACGTTACATACGATTAACGTTACAATTAAAATAAGTCAACTCTCGATAGATAATTTGTTTTGTTTTAAACCGTTTAAACTTTTATGAAAGCAACTGTTTAGCTTAAAAAAAGTCTCTTATTTATATCATAATCATACAAAGTATGATACGAGTTCAGTACATTTAAAAAATGGAAATGTGTCTAAATTTACTCACGACTACTCGCTTCGCGTACGTTATTAAGATAAGTAAACTTATAAAAGTTATTTTTTTTAAGTTCCTATATAACGTCAAAGTGAAAAATAATTGAGTATCTGTGTATATAAAGAATTTGTGGTCTATATACTGCTATCATTGACTTATCTTTTTTAGACGTTGTGTAGCGACTTGGGAGATGATGGAACTATGAATTTGAGCCACAAATAATTTAATTTGAATGCTCTTAGGTCAATTGCCCGAGTAGTTAACTACTTATTCGTATCTTGCATGACTTCATTCTTTAATTAGTTCTTTTATCGTGCGGTTTGTTTGTCTGTGTTTGTTTATTTGTTCTTCCTCCACGTCCTAACTTAGCACCAGTGCACGTGACTTCTGATCTAATATATCCTGACACTAAAGAAAGTAATCCCAATGCATTTTTTAAATTATAAGAATAGTCGATTTAGTGAAAATTATTTTTTTTAGTTTTTAATATGTATGAATGAAGTTTGTAGGTAGTTTAAAATTATTTGCTTTCAAGCTCTACTTATTCAAAACTATACCTCCCATATTTCGTTTATAATTTTAGTGGCTTTTCGTGGATGCTTTGCTTTTATTTATTTATTAATTTACAAGTTGTTTAAGATTTACCCTTTGATAGAAAGAAGTTAATTAACTTTTCGATAAGCGCGATAACATGTAATTTCATCAATGTAGTACAATGAATTTATGAGAAGAGGTTTTTACGAACTTTTTTTTTACTCAATCATTTTATTATGATGAATATTAACGCTCTTTCCTGCATTTCTAGGTATTCAATAGAGTTTACCTTGTATAATCAGCGGCACCATAAACTATAGGCACAGCGTAGTTATTTAGCGCCGTCAACAGTTTTTCCGTTACGTAATCTTCAGAAAACGAATTCTCAAAAGACAAATAAAAGTGGTAATTGTCCTCGATCATTTTGAAGCAAGATCTCTCGCTACTTCGTGGGCAACTCAAGCTGCCGCAGCCTCCATAGACATCCACGGACCATCCATATTTTTTTAATTCATTACTTAATTCAGTTACATACTGCTCACGTCTGCTCTTCGTCGAACAATTCGACACAAACCACGCAACAACTTTCGTCTTCTTCCGTAACTTATTTTTAAGACCATCATCTATTTCTCTCATTTCTGGCCAAACCATATTAATCTTTGGTCCCACAATTAGCCCGTCCCGATTGTATATCGTGAAGTAACCCCATTTGAAATTGGAGTCTAGTTTGTACGTCCATGTCCAATTGAAGAATCCGTCGAGGTTTTCGTCGCAGGCTGGAAAATTATCGGCAGACTCCATGGCGCCAAAGATGTACTTCTGCTCGGTAGATCGATGCGATGGCATCTGGAAGGGCCAGAGATTTATCACGTCTCTACCGTTAAACGCGATCGCGTCGAATTCCTTCAGATCTAGGAAGTAATTCCTGTCATCTGTTACGTAGCAATTTGTATGTTTGCATTGGTATTTAATGAATGCAGAATTCCCTTCGCCCATCCAGTCGAATGGCGCACTAAATTTTTTCGTCCATTGTAAAATGTATTTCATGTTATTATAATTTAAGTGAGAAATATCCTTTCTGTTGGCTCTTATGGAGGTCAACTTAGCATTATAAAGGAGATATATTGATAGGAATAGATAGAAAAGTATAAACAAAAGTATTAATGTTACGCTCCTTTTAGCACACCGCCTATAGAGAGACATCACTAACACACATTAAATTAAGATCACTGTGTTTGGACGTCTTAACTTGGCTGTATACGAGCGATGACTAAAGCTATTTTGTGAATAAATTCTGTTATGGGGGGAGTTCTTTCGTAAGCAATGTTTTCTAACGTCTCGTAATCTATGAGTCATTACGTTCGAACATCAGTACGCCTTGTTATCACGATTTTGGCTTTGAGTTAATGCTAAAATGAGTTTATTTTTTTTACATTTAGATGTGTGTCATACATCTATAGACAAACAGTCTGAAAGATCAAATAAAGCTCGATTTGGCGGATAGTAAATTGAATATAGATTTAACTGGTTTTTTTGGCATAATTTTAATTTCTGAAGAGGGATAATGGCAGAAGCCAACTGATACTCGGTAGACAACAATACCGAATATTGGGAGACACAGAGTCACCCCACAAGGCACATACAACAAGGGCAGCCGACCTCGAGTAATGAAACAACAAGGGGAGAAGAGCGATGTACAATCTTAATGCATTTTATATAATTCAAGATACTTAAAGAAACTAGATTAAAAGTGAAAGTCGTATAGTAATACCTTAATAAACTAAGTAGCAAAACCTTGCAAAGTTATATCGCATGTATGCCGTAGGTATTAAAAACTTTCTCAAAATTTATCGGCTTAGAACAAGAATGCATAATATGTTTTAAGTACATAAAACGGATGATACCGAAAAATATTGATTATCACAAATTTTGATCAACGGTCTTCATATTATCCTATGTATTTTTTTATTTTTCCGAACACTGACTAAGATGATTTATGCTTCTCGGCATTCGCAACGTTCGTTTTAAGGCATCATACAATCAATGAAACATAGTGATTACAAAAAAATCATTTAATATTTTAGATAAAACGTCTCTTTTACATGGCAACATTTTTTTACTTATATACAACTATACAACAATATTTGTAATAAATTCGTTAAGTTTATAATAACATTCGGGGGAGCTTCATTAAAATGGGAATTATGGTGTTTCCAATGAATTTTGATTAAGAGAAGCCCTTAAATAATTTCAGTTAATAAATCCACAAAATGTTACGACACTTATTATATATTACGGAGACTTATTATTTAATTATAATTGCCTAAAATCTGTTGTATATTTACTTGAACAATGTATAAAGAAAAGAAATCAGATAATACATTATGTAAGTCTATTTTGGTAATCGTGAGGTCGGGGTATTATTAATGGACACGAGGCAGAACAAACAAATCCACATTTTTGGTCTTTGCCGGACTATCCAATCCACTATGTTTTGACAGCGTGCAGTATTTGGAATTAGGAAACTTAAAACCTGGTTGAAATATGGAAAACTTATCTTTCGTTTTTAGGTTAACAAAAAAAGGTCTATTAGCAACTACGCCATCTATTTATCCTGAACTGCACACAGTGTATATAATAAACATATACACATAATAAATCTTAACAACATAAAATCTTTAAAACATATTAAACATTAAAATATTGTATGCATACTCGTAATTTAAACATGGTATCAATATTTAATTGGAAACTTGAACAAAAGTTTGCACCGACTTTAAATTTTATGTTTGCGTAAGATTAGTGGTATATTGTACTTAACTTATACCTACCATGAAAAGCACAATGGGAAATTCGTGACACAAAACTCAAATATCTATCTCAAACCTTTTATCAATTTGGCAATTTGTCATTCCTAATCTATCTATACTAATATATAAAGCTGAAGAATTTGTTTGAACGCGCTTATCTCAGCAACTACGGGTTCGGATTGAAAAACTATTTTTGTGTTGGTTAGAACATTTATAGAGGAAGGCTATAAAACATTGCTCTGTAACTAATAGGAAACAACGGGAAATGTGGATTAAACGGGAATTTTTTTACCTCTTTTGGTACCCGAAGTGCACGCTGCGAAAACGGCTCAAGATACAAAAAAATATGAATGCAAGAATGATTCCTCTAGAAATTATCTAAAAAAAAGTTCGCAATGCCTTTCTCTTAAGATTAAATTAAAGTATGACGGGAAGGGACACGACCGACTTTGTGGGTAAGAGCTTAAGTTTACAAAGATAAAACGGTTTGCAAAAATAATAAAAAAAGTCGCTGACACAGCTAGTGAAACATAGATCACAACACAGTCTTATACATTATATCTTTAGTGTCCCAAGATATATATTATACTGGGGTCGTTCGTGTTTTTAGATACTCGTGGAGCACCCGACATCGTTCGTGTCTCGCGCAGTAGAGACGGGCCGGTGGGTGTCAGGCGGGAGCTCGACACCGTGGTGACACTTCAGCGCGCTCTCCTAGAGCGCTTAGAGATGTGTCCGCAAATCTAACTCCTAGCTTTGGTTTCACCGCTCCATTCTGTCAAGGCAATCAATTATAGATTAGGACTTATAGTAAACTAGCTTCGACCAGCTGTTTTCATCAGCGTTTTATAAATAAATGTATAGTTAACTCTAGCTTTAGCTTTTTCGCTCGCTCGTGCGTATTAATGCAAAGTTAAGTATAATACGTATAGTTTCTGCGTGTAACTTAATAAGAATACTAATTGATGCTACAACGTAGGCGGTAAGTTGTCCTAGGTATTTTTATGATGAATGAGGAACGTATTAAAAGTATAAAATTACGTTTCCTCCTATGGTTTTGGTCTGTTTCACTTATCACTTTTATTTAAACTCAGTTGTTAGTTGATTCGATTTTTGTACCCCGCTCCATTTAAGCCGTATATTATGGTTTGAACGCAGGGCATCGTAGGTACTAAGCACTTTAAAAGGTAATCTAGATTAATCTAACGTAAAAAGTAATTTTAAACGTTAGTATATTTAAATCAATATCGAATTTTCTAAAGTAACACGATCAAGCGAATTAACAAATAAGCAAACATTTGTAACACAATCGATAAATGACGGTTAAATAAAACGCGACGGCTTAACCATAATATACTCGCGTTTTAAACCGTTAAAGTGTTTTATTTAAATGTGTACTACTCGCGTAAACTATAGACAGTGTACAATCGATAAAGATAATACAATATAGCCCTCAAGCAATATGAAATTTGTTTTAATAAGTATACCTATATCGCGTTCATAAACTCACCTTAATAGAAGTCATAGGATGCGGATCCACTTTCTTATTCTTAGAAGAACTAGATGTACCTGAAAAAAAAATACTGTTCACTCAGGTAATTTGCGAAATGCATCCCTCCGTACAGAACAAAGGAATTATTGCGTGGCAAAGTGCTAAGGGGGCTCCGGAAAATTGAATGCAACTTTAACAAAGCTTTCCGTTCTTAGAGATTTCACAAATTGACTTTTGTATAATTCTGACTTCTGTACCATTCGCGTCAATCTAACGAAATGTAAAACTAGTAAATGTCGCACGGCGCATGAAATCTTCTAAGTAAATACATAACATCGTTATTAAATATTTTTTAAGCAAATTTTTATATGTGCTGTGCGATATTTAGCAAATTTCCTTATAACGAAAAATCTTTATAAATTATACTGTTACCCACGATGTCGGTCGCGTCTCATCGCGGACATTATTTTTTAAATCAATTTAAGAGGAATCATTATTTTATACATATTTTCTCTCAAAGATTAATAAACGTCCCCGTTTTGACCACATTTCCCTCTGTTAGTTCACTGTTATTGGTTGCAATCTGGTGTTTTATAGCTTAAAGCCTTTCTCGATAAATGGTTCCACCAACTAAAAAAATATTTTTCAATTCGACTAGTAATTTCTGAGATTAACGCGTTCAGACAAACTCTTCATCTTTATAATATTAGTTTAGATAAAAGTGTATCCATGGATGAAAGAACGGTAACTCTACGACTATAATTAAGAATATGACTGTGTTCTTCTGTTCTTTGTTACACTAATAGGTCATGTAGTAAGTCGCATACTAGAAGAATATTTAGTGTTCGGCCACATAAATATAAATAAGTTTGATGGGCTACTCAACCCCGTTCCAACCGAACCATCCGCCCGGCTTGGCTGTTCACTCGCTCAGTTGAGCGGAAGGTGTGCTTTTTCGGGTAATCTAGTAATTTTGAATGAATCGTGTAAAATTTTCCATTTTATTATCTGTCCCTGTGGGTGGGGTACCCCCCCACCCCCCGGGCTTTTTTTTTTTTTTTTTTCCCCGTTTTTTTGGGGGGTTTTTTTTTTTTTTTTTCTTTTTTTTTTTTCCCCCCCTTTTTTTTTTTTGGGGGGCCTCCTCTTTGGGTGGTTTTTTTTTTTTTTTTGTGGGGGGGTGGTTTTTTTTTTGGGGCCCCCCCCCCCCCCCCCTTTTTTTTTGGGGGGGGGGGGGGGGGGCCCCCCCCCCCCCCCCCCCCTTTTTTTGTTTTTTTTTTTTGGGGGGGGGGGGGGGGGTTTTTTTTTTTTTTTTTTTTTTTTTTTTTTTTTTTTTTTTTTTTTTTTTTAATAAACTAAATAACCTTCTCGTATTATCTAGTCTTAGTAAATTCCTACTTTTTACACTTTTCTTTAACAGGAAACGAATAATTGTGAGGTTCAGATACGTCAGATAAATATCCTCAATTCCAACGTGTAACTGAAAATGGAGATAAATGCAACACAAGAACTATTTCGATTAACTGACATCCAAAAATGACACGTGTAACCTATTTCGCTTGCACGAATAAAACGAAATGTAGAAAGCGGCTTAACGCGCTTGTCCAATGTTTTAGCGAGATCTGTCATCGTACCAAATTTCTAAGGTGAGACTAAACTTAGTAAGTACTTCCGAGTAGATTATTGCGTTTCACTAGCTACTCTCCAGAACTTCTTCAAACATATAGTACCTTTTCGCGCTTTAAACCGTTATAAATAATTAATGTATATCAAATGATATGGCAATGGACAATATCTAATGGTATCGATGTCAGCCAAATAATCGAGCGGTTGTGCATTTAAATAAAACACTAACGGTTTAAAACGCGATATATATCAGTTAAACTTATATGAAAATTATTTTCGACTTCGGCCCGATGTGAAATTATTGTCAAATAAATAATTGCCAATCGCCATTAAAGGTTTTATTTAAATGTGTACTACTCGCATAAATTACAGACACATTTAAAGATTCTCATAAATTATAATTATTCTGAAACATGTTTGTCTTCCTCTAGAAATCTGGATATTAAATGGATGGCAGGAATATCAAAATTCCGTTCTGGTCACTAACCATTCATAGGTGATAAAGCCTAAGTAAAGTCCAATAAATTTTCTTATTGATGGTCTCTGTATCTCTCCGAATATTCAAAGCAAAAATGGGTCGACAGTGCATCTTGTAGGGAGGGTAGTGATAGAATGTGAACTCCATACTTGTTTGTCCTCCTCGGCATAAAAAGGTTCGTAAGCACGATTAGCTGTGTACCATACATTGCGCTGCTAAGTTATTAACGTCTTAACTAAGTCATCACCGAATATGCTAGGTTCGTTAAACGCTGTTATTTAAATTTGTTAATTAAAAACGTGTTTTTCGGCTGTCCCATTAATTGAATTACGAAGTAGTTTACAGGATACGTTAACTTCGTTTTCCACGAATAACTTTTTATTTAAAAACCAGTAGTAATATTTATAAATATATTCGTTTAGGAGACTACAAAGTAAGCTTTGAACATTCAAAAATTGGTTTAGCATTTTTAGACATGTTAATTTTGGTTATAAACATTTCTTTTAAATCCTAGAATGGATAACACCCGAGGATGATTGCGAGATATTGCTGTTGCCTCTACAGCATCACGTTGGAGAGAACATGTTACAAGTCAAAGTCTAACTAACTTCACGCATAACGATGGTCAATATCTATTTTGAATATTTCATCACTTGGTTTTCTTTTACGTCACCTCCACAAAATATAGACATCTGAAAATTGTTATTCGTCGGAGTTTATAGCCTTTGACTTAGTTTTTAAAAGTATCTCAGTTACAAAGTTGCTGCAAAGCATCCGAAACGTCGGGCCGACGTTAAAAATCATTTTCAAATAAGTTTAACTTATATATCGCGTTTTAAACCGTAACATTTTATTCTACGTTACTTTTTGATTTCAACTTTTACAAGAAACCTTTCAGATTTTGATTTGTGAGGCGACGTTTACTTTTTCTTTTTTCTTTAAATTTTATTTTTAACATAAAGAAGCGTCAACAAAAACTCATTCGAGTTTTTCCGTGACGCCCTCGCCTCAGCACATATTACATTTATACATGTATATTCCAAATATCTTCTAATGAATGTTGCGACTTGATTGTTTACTGCTTATGCGTGATATTACAAACAATTTCACGCATAAGCAGTAAACAATCAAGTCGCAACATTCATTAGAAGATATTTGGAGGAAGTGGAATTTTTTTAATTTGGTTTTAAAAAAAATTGTGGTAAGTGAAATTTTTTAACCTATTTGGTAAAAATTAACTAATTTGGATATGACATAGTCGAGTGTTCTTTTTTCATATAGGTTGTTGTAATATGGCACTTGCAGGTAGGTCATATCCCTTTTTCTGGCCGAGTAATATTTTTGCTCTATTTTTGAAATTGTTTGTAAAATAGTTTTCAGTTAGGATATTTAGTTCTATTTTTTCATGTATAGGTATTACTTTACAGAAGGCGAATAACTGTCGATAATCTTGTGTAAATTTTGTTTTAGTGTTTGAAGGAACAACTTTCTTTAAGATTCTAAGCTGAAGAGAATAAATACTTACATGGTTAGGTTGTATCAGTAAAGTCAACAGCATATTTACATAAGATTTATTATCAATCTATTTCCGAATATTCAAAGCCAACATAGGTTGATAGCACATCTTGCTATGATGTTAGATTTCATCATCCATTAAGTGAACCACATGCTTCTCTGTCATTTAAAGGCTATTGATTTACGATACCTCTCATTATTTCTTATGACAGTGACACCGGAACTAAGAAAGTTTTCCTGTCATATTAGTTCTACCTAGAAATTCCAACAGTTTAACATATGAACAGTACAAAGTTACTGTTACGAGTCTAGTTAGAACTCGGCGCTCCGGTTAAAGTACGCGAAAGTTATATAGCAATTGAAATATTTTCTACAACTTCCGAGCTGGGCACATCGATTCATTTACACGTGGAGACCTATTTAAAAGTCAAAATCATTTAACACGTATACAATAAGACTAAAGGAATAGAGGCAAAGTTATATATATATGTAACATACACAACCAAACACAAACAACAACAACAATAAATAAAAAATAAGTAAATTTAAAGGTCTGTTGTTATGCTGTTTAATTACTTTATTGCAAGTACATATAATTAAAATGCCTTGTCTATGTGGCAGTTGAATAATAAATATTACTGCATTAATTATTATGGATGTATTATCCTCATTTATTAAGTAGCTGTGGCTGCGACTTTGTTCGCGTATAGTAGTTATTTATAAATTTTATCTCCCACCCACGACGTCGTTTGCGTCGCGTCGTTCTTGATAGTTAATCTTCAAAGATAGACATATATCGTTTATACGGAAACCCACAAAGATATAAATTTCTCCCCGTTATTTTCCACATTTCCCACTGTTTTTTTTTTCGCGGCGTGATGCTTTATGGCCAACCTTTATAAACTATAAGATATAGCGCGTTCAAACCAATTCTTCAGCTTCATAGTATTAGTATAGATTTAAATTATAAAAAAATACGACACGAGGGAGTTTGAAACCGGGTCGTACTTATTATTATCTAAATAAATATTTCATTTATATAATGATATTAGGTGCGTATGTTTCTAATAAATGTTCTTTTTAATATAGGTGTGTATGTTGTGTATGTAATTTCCCTCGCTTACCATTCAATATATTTACCTAAGGTGTCAGAACCGCTTCCGGACATACAACATATATTCTTCAGCAACCTCTGCAAAGACCCGTTCACTCGCAAAGTGTACGTACCGTACACGAGAGGGTTCATGCAAGAGTTGGAGACAGCCATCGCGAAGAGAAGGTCCTGGACTCGGGGTGGCACTCGTGATGCCGATTCTCTATCTACCATGTACCTGGGAGAGGGAAACTGTGATATAGGTTGAAAACTTTGTTATTTTCCTGACGTATAATATTTACAACTATCTATATATGTGGCGCTACAGCCCCTTGGATCTTGGTATGTTTCAGCAAAGACCTCCGATCCGTTCTATCTTGGGCTAGGCCCTACGGTCCTGCTGAACGTCATCTAAACTGGACTAAACAGTTACTACATCCCTTCAAAATTGTGGTTTATAAGTATTATCTATAGTTTACGCGAGTAAAACATAATTAAATAAAATACTTTTATAATAAAACGTTGAGTTAATATAAATTGAAAATGATTTAAATAAAACACTTTCACGGTTTAAAACGCGATATATTAGTTAAACTTATTTGAAAATGATTTTTTACTTCGGCCCGACACTTCATGTTACTTTTACATTTTACATTTTACTTAAACTTGTGTGACTCCCCGTGACCACGGCTGCTGCAAAGCATCCGAAACGTCGGGCCGAAGTTAAAAATCATTTTTAAATAAGTTTAACTAATATATCGCGCTTTAAACCGTTGAAGTGTTTTATTTAAATATATACTACCTGTTTAAAATTATTACAAGTGTTTTATTTAAATATTATAATAAATTGTTTTATTGAAATGTGTGTAGGCAAGTAGTAGATTAGACTTCTATACCCTGCCTAACAAATTATTGGTCCCCGGAAATCAAGGACTAACCATGTAATGTTGTTTAACGCAAAGCTAGCTCCGATGGCAATCAGGAACTTACATAGTTTTAAGTTTAATAATAACACTTAGAAATTTAAAACTATCTGACGGAACCTTAGCGGGAACATGTATTTTTCAGTTTCAATAGATTGAAATATTTTCAATTATCGTAGGGTAGTATACAGGTTTCCCTCTGTACCATACGATGAATGGCATCGTATGGTACAGAGGGAAGCCACACTCACCTGCTTAGATTGTATTTTTGTGTGCAAAATCACAATAAAAGTGCCAGTTTTCAAGTAGAGAGAAGTGGAATTTATGAGTATATTTATTAAGAAACCATGCCATGAAAAAGTTATTAAATTTAATGAAAATAAAAACAAATGAATGATTCAAACTTTTCTTTTATCTGCTTTTTCTAAGGAAGGCCTCAAATGTAAGAAATAATTCCTGAAGTACTCGAATACTGACTTAAAATGTATGTATGTATTAATTTTATGTACATAACAGAATCTATTTTTTATGTGACTTTATGCTAGTAAACGGATTTTTTATGTATACTTAAGTGACTTACCACATAGCCATAGTAGCATAGGGTAACCAGCAGAGCGCAAACACGAACACAATGATAACTGTCATTCGCAGAGTTCGCTGCCTTGCTCGTTCCAAAACGCGACAGTCGGATCTGCGCAGGCGCACATGCCCGATTCCGTTTGAATGCTCGTATTTCTCTGTCAAGAAAACGTAGGGTGTTAAACAGTGATGATGAACGTTACATTTAGTAAAATGATGGACCATGCGCCATTTTCTATATAAAAGGGCTTGTCTTTTTTTAAATAAATTGCAGGAGTTGTATTTTTTTGTATTGTTGTCCAAATACAACAATATTACATATTCATAAGATAATCGGTCCATATGTTTTTTTTGTCAATCAAATATATAAAGCTGAAGAGTTTGTTTATTTGAAAGCGCTAATATCTGGAACTACTAGGTCGAATTGAAAAAATCGTTTTTGTGTTGGTTAGAGCATTTATCGCGGAAGGTATAAACATATAACGAAGCGAAGAGACAGCGGGAAATGAGAAAAAAATCGGGGAAAACTATTCATCTTTGTTTGTCCTTTGTCGCCCAAAAATATGTGTAAAGGAATGATTCCTCTTTAAATGATCTATAAAAATATCCGCGACACTATATGTCTATCTTTTAAGATTGACTTGGAAAAAGGACGTGGGTAATAGCTTAAATTTATAAAGATGAAGAGGAGGTTTGCAACAACAAATTTTGATGCCCAAAATACCTATTCTTTTTACACGCAAATTTCAAGCAGATCTACATAGAAACAAAACTAAACAAGTACTCCACAGGGTAGAAGCTCGGTCCTCCAGATGTTTATTTTTTGCCTGGTAAATTCGGAAATTACAATTAGCTGAGTTGTATTGTTGCCGGCTATTCGTCTAGCGCTTTCCTTGTCGAGGCAAAGTACAAATAAACAGTATTTATTATGAAGGGGTTTAAAAACATGTCTACAGAATACCGATTCAATGGCATCTTGATAACAAAATATTACTTACATTTTGTAATATTCAATTTTTATTTCTTATCTGTAATTGATTGTATTGTAGAATGGTATATTGATTGATATAACCAATTTAATTATCTGTTTATTTATACCTGTATTTATCATACTGTATCGAAAAACAGCTTTCTTCTAGCAACGAAGAGTATTTTTAATTAGAGCTTGCTTAATTAAGAATGGCTGATACGTATGTATTTAAACATACGTACTTCGAAAATAAATGAAAATGCGGTTAGAGGAACCACCTCTGCGGTCTGGATATACTCGTATAGTAGTAACATAAGTAAAAATACCATTACTTCATTTGTAGTCTACATAATAGATGACTTTTAAATACACAAAAACTGTGACATAATGTTCAATGTAAAATATACAGAAAACACTTAATTAGTAAGTCTTGTTTTAACTTTTATTTCGAGACCACTTTTAAATAATTTAAACATTTTAAATAATCCAAGCTTAATGAATAACAGAACCAGAAACACAAATATCGCAATTACTGCAACAAAATTTTTCATTTGAAATGGCGTGCGTGCTGAGTGTAGTTAGTGTGAGTTTTTATCCAAAGAGATTTTTCTGTAAACTTTGCTATATAGGAAGTACGAAGAAGCAGACAAAGTCGTGACATACCAAAGACTATCACATTTTTTTTAAATCATTCGGATATCGTTCGTTTATTTGCAAATGTTTCGGCGATACATTTTTATTTATAAAGATGTCCGCATCACTTCGTCACATGAAGTGTTTTTCTTTTCGTTCTGGTTATTCTACGTTAAAATACATCTCCCCGGGTAATAGCGGTCACAAACAAATATTTGAGGTCAGACGGCACTTTGACTGAATCGTAAATATTTGCTTCGCGACAAAATTGAACGTTAAAGGGATTTATGTACCAAGCCTCTGTGGTTCTTTTATGTAACCAGATCGTACAGGAAATCAGTGGATTTCATTTGCGTAAAAAATACAAGTCTTGCGCTAAAGGAAATTTAATGAGGATTAAATCTTCGTTTCATTATGAATAACTCCGTCTCCAACATTTATATAAAGCGTCATTTCAACCCACGAAGGGAAGTTATTGTGTTCCAACCAACCAAACCAAAACGTGATTTAATGTTACGGCCTGTTTATCTGAGGATGGTGGTTCGTGACCTAGGGAAAATTTCCATATTCCTACCATTTTAAAACCATACTTCCAGACGAAGTTCAACATATTTAGGATAAATCATAAGGTGGTGAGAAATTGTTCGACCCTGTGGGGCCTGGACCTGCGGCCCGTTGATTATTAGTCATACCTTAAAACCATTACACCAAAGAGCCCTTCGTGCCTATATCCTGCAGAGGGGATGCGGAACGAGTACAGATTGTGTGACTAAGTAGCTTAGCGTTGTCACACTGACACTTGAGTGATCTCAGTGCAAATTGAATCGCTACTTCTGTATGCATGAAATGTTTTAATCTTGGCTGTATTCTAATAACCTCCTAAATAGACTTACTTATGATAGATTCTTCGGTATTGTTAGTATTAAAAGTCTAAGGAACGGAAACTTTAGCAATTATTGTTAGATAATAAGCTAAAATACTTTGAGTTTAATTTGGTGAATACATATTATGAAAAGAAGTAATTTGATAGCCCAACATGATTCCTTACAATAATAACACGAAGCAAATTTAACGATAACACGGCTTAATGAGGCCTAATTTTGTGTCTACTTATATAATTTTCTTTCATTGTATTACTTTGCCTGGAAGAAATCGCCTTTCAGTGACAAGGCCACCGTTTCTCGCTACATATTTTTCGTTACTTCATTTCGTTTGTCTGTTTGTTTGTTACGTTAATGTCCCATCCCAATAATATAGTAAAATTGTATACTGAAAGACCATTCATTGTTTTTCCTGTAGTTTGATTACTTTTTCTCTACTAATTATTATGAATTACAGTAGTGATACGAATGTTTGTGGTTACTGAGAAGAAGAAACAAATAAGTAGATCGAGTGAGTTTCAGCTTGTTTCAGCTCTGGCCTCTGGCAAACTGCGTAAGAGGCAAAATTTACTGGTTAAGTTGTTTTTCTCACGTGATCTATGTTATACATTTGATTGAACTATTTCTATATTTATATATCCAGAAAAGTTTAAAGTTATACTTACCAATCTGAGCTATTTCAGTTTTACCGAGTTTAACGTTACAAACGATGAAATCATTAAGGGTACAAATGTATTAAATATGTAAACTCAAATATACAAGATCGTATCTATTGTAATACAAAACAGTAATGAAACAAATCCGTGATATTTAAATAAAACACTTTAACGGTTTAAAACGCGATATATTAGTTAAACTTATTTGGAAATGATTCAATAATCAATCATTTCCAAAAAAGTTTAACTATATAACTTTAGTTATCGCGTTTTAAACCGTTATGGTGTTTTATTTAAATGTGTACTACTCGCGTAAACTATAGACAGTATGTAAATCCGTGATAGCTTTAATAACTAAGTACATATATATTTTGATGTAGAAAGCGCATTAAAGTTATACAAACGTTAGAAGAATTACTTCCAGCGGTAAACATCAAAGCGGTGGCACGTATCTTTTAAATCTTTAATTAGTTGCTTTTACTCAGCGGTTGGTACAAGTGTTTATATGTAACACACCTACGCCTACGGAAATATACAAATGGAAGCATTTGGTGAGATATTTTACATATTCATAATTGAAAGTTTACGTAGCAATAAATTTTACAATCTATTCCAGATTTACAAAGTTCTGTGCTATTGCTTCACCAATTGAGGTACTTGTTGTATTAGTATGTAGTTAAGCCTACCCGCATATCTATAGTCTATACTATAGAAGGTAGGCTAAGAATAGGTACAAGTAATAAATTAGTTGTAACTGCTTCTTGTTTTACTGGTCACAACCGTACTGTCTCAATTTCCTAAATTCAATAGATTTTTAAATATATATAAAGCGTTTGTTTTACATTTCAAATTGATACTGATATTATGCGATATGAACGCGCTAATATTAGGAACTACTCGATCAAGTCGTTTTTTTGTATTGGTTGCATTTATAGAGGAGGCTTTAGGCTATACGTACGCTGCGGACCTATTGTTCGCAGAATTAGCTATTGTAGCGAAGAAACAGTGGAGATTGTGTAATAAACGTGTATAGAATAATAATTCCCCTTTAAATGTTCTAAAAGAATGCTCACGACAGTATATGTCTATCTTTCAAGATTTACTTGCAGAAAAGACGCGTGTAACAATAAACCGCTATGCTAAAACAAATGACGCCTAAAATAACTACTATACGCGGGCGAAGTCGCTGGCACTGCTAGCTAATAACATTTCGATAAACTATCTTTTAAGGACGTCTATTTAGTCTTTTCCCATGAGGTTTAAATTACAATATTTGGATTATTTTAGTTTAAGTATTGTATGTACTCGAGTACATATTTAAATTAAAACTTATTGTAAACTACGACCTGACGTTCCAGACAATTTGCAGCATTCATTTGGTCACGGGGTTTAGTTTTATCTTTCAAGTCATCTAAGCCACAAGTACAGACTTTTCACCAACCACTAAGTAAACCTTATGCATGTTTGCCGCCTGTTATAACAAAAAGTGTCGGATAAAAATGCTAATACATACGCATTAAGTTAATTTAAATTAACTTGTTTCCCTATCCTGTCTGATTAATTGGAGCATATTTCCTCAGAACGGGTTGTAAACGTCCCTTGTCAAAGTGAATGTAAGGTTTACAAGGGTTTTAGATTTTGATTTAGTATCTTCTACACACAGTGCTGTCAAAATCTAAGTTATTTTAGTACAAGTTACTGTTCAACGCTGTAAGTGGGTAATGATCTGGTTTACACACACATACGCGAATTTTTATTGTTTTTTTTTTACCAATGGTAGGCATACTTACTAACTTATTGATGACATATTTTTATTCATGTAAATGGGTCGCTGAATGTGCAATTAACACATATCAAATAATTAAAGTTTGTAAGAAATTCTTTGGTAAATGTAAAAAATAGACTTTTTTGAAAATACTTTATTTTAAAACTATAATTAAGTTAGTAGTAATATAATATATTATGTCAAATAAGAATGTAAGTTATTAATATTAAATATCACTTATATATTAGTAATTTAAGGCAGCATAAGAGTATAAATGAATCACTTTTGACTTCATAGATATTAAAATATACACGATTTAGAAACCAGCATTAATTTAATAATTATTGTGTAGTTTTTCTAAAAGTAAATATCAATGAAGTGTTCTCTATGAAATATGACACTCCAAGAAGATTAAAAAAAAAGTGGAAACCTCGTTTCCCCTCTTGGGGCATGGGGCGAACACATTTCTTTGTCTGTTTCACTCACGAGTTTTTATTTACAGGCAAGTAGTTGATCAGACTTCTGAACCAGACCGAAGCAATTTACTGTTTCCCCGGGACCAAACCCAGGACTTCTCGCGCTTAACGCTATGCTAGGCAATACGTTTAACCATTTAGATACAGAGGCGTTTAAATAAAAATAATAAAAAAAAATCATTAAAGGCATTATTTTATTCACCTGATAACTCCCTGCTGCTGGCTTGGATCTCGCAGAAGATGCGCACGTAGCACGCGGTAATTACAAGAAGAGGCACGAAGTACATGGCGCATGCGCAGAACACATTGTACGCGATCTCTAGCCCATCGCTCGCAAACGCGTCAAAGGACACGCATTGCTCAAATCCGGCCACGTGGGGATGGCGTTTGACACGAAATACGAGGCTCTGTAAAAGAAAAACTGATTCATACTCACTCACATCAAAGATTAAACACCAAAATATCCAGTGTGGATTGGTGGGCTTTGACGCTACTGAAAGTCATAATAACAGGTGTCTCCCCGTTACCACGGCTACTGCAAAGCATCGGAAACGTCGGGCTGAAGTCAAAATAAGTTTAAGTAATATATATCGCGGTTTAAACCTTTAAAGTGTTTTATATAAATTTGTACCACTCGCTTAAACTACAGACAGTATTTAACAATAAAAGTGTGAAATTTTCCCTCGTGGGCCATAGGGCGAACACATTTTTGTGTCCGTTTCACTGATCGGTTTTATTTACAGGCAAGTAGATGATCAGACTTCTGTGCCCTGCCCGACCGAAACATTTTACTGTTTCCCCGGGATCCGAACCCAGGACCTCTCGCGCTTAACGCAATGCTAAGCAACACGTTCAACCATTTAGCTACATATGTAAAAATATACCATAGATTGAAAAAAATACCGTGTCACGGTAGATCAATTTGTTAGAGCAACAACACGGAACGCTGTAAATGTCGGTTCAAGTCTTGCCCGTTTCGTACATTTTATTCAATCTAAAATAGATTTTCACTTATATAATGCCATCATGTACAATAACATGTGAAAAATATTAAAAGTTTTCAAACAGATTATATACACACTCTTCATTTAAGCATACTTATAAGTGTTGTACACTTACAAAGTCAACTTTACTTTAGGGATACATTGACAAAGTTTCTTAGTTAATCGCAATATGAGAACATGTTATGTGGGACAATTTGGGAATTGTTACTTAATAACTCACAAACTTTGAGCAAGGTAACTTCTATCGCTTTGGTATTTGAATCTGTAACTTTACTTATTTATCGATGTGGCTTACCGACCTATATATATAGTCTGCTTTATTGGTTAATACCGGCATTAATAATACAAAGGCAATAATGCATCTCGCATCAACGAGATTTGCATTTATTTATTTACTACAACTAAAACGGCTTAAGCCAATTACATTAATTGTAAAAAAAATTACAATACGGATAAAGAAGAATCGGACCATTTTAAACAATTGGACACGATTGTTCCATAATTGTCAAAAAATAAATCAACATCAGGGTTGCTGTCCAGGAGCGCATTGAGTGCGCTAAGTATCCGAGGGACAGGCGAGACAGAACGAGCGACAGTACGAGCTGTAAAAACTAAAAATAGCTCATGTTTCCGAGCACGAAGATAGTTGCCGGGCACATATAGTTGGAACAACACTTCTCGCAGTTCCACAGCATCAACCCTACCTGTGAGCGTTTAGATCTACAAGAATTTGTCTTACGGCTCTTCTTAGATAATAGATAAATAATGATAATATAATACAAGTACTAATTTAATTACAAGGATTTTTTTAATTTAAAAACGAAGAACAAATTCAATGGAAAATTTGATTATTATTTAAAAACAAAGAAACAATAGGTGCTATGAATCAATAACACAGCTGGATATCAGATTTAATATTTCAAGAATGCTTTCGCCACTATGAAATGAATTCGGAAATTCTCTTCAATTCTCTTAAGCGAACTTTTATGGATCTACAAATATTTCCTTTATGCGAACGCTACGGCGTAGTTACTAAAATAAAAACACATTTCGATCTACTTACTTATTTTATTAAATTAAATTTTTGTCGGGGGATATCCCAGATCAGACTATAAAATGATTATTTATAAATGAATATAATATACTAAATACTATGTTGTATGTGTCTTATACCAATATATAATAAGAACATATTTTAGTGTGTAAGAGTAGGTATCTTTAGAACTAAGACATATGCAAATGTTTAAATTTGATAAGAGAACTATTGGTTCACTCTTAGTTTTAAAACTTATATTCATACATGACTTTTAATCTATGATTTTAAAAATAATTAAAAATCGGCATGTATGAAGTTTATTGTAAATTGTGTTTAATATATATAAGTTGTGAATAAATAAAAGCAACGACAAAACAAAATTATACTGTAGTCTATGCTTTCCAACTTATATAGAATATTGGTAATTCAGAGATAATGAATTCTGCTTTACCTAAATTATATGGCTAAGGACATTTACCTATCATCAATTGAACCTCACGTTTGTCTGGCGACTTCATGATTGCGTTCTCAAGGTATGTCATCTCATTGCATTTCAATTTTAAATCTAAAAATAACGTATTCAACCGAATGTGAACTTTTACACTTGATTTAATATGTCTAGACAGGTGATAGAAGAATAAGTAAGATGCCCTTGCTCTTTTTTATGATAGAGGAAGACAGACTGATGTTCACTTGATGATGAAGTATAAGCTAATAACATACAACGCTTTGTATATTCGGAAATCCACAGACTGAAACTAAAACTCGACTTAACTTTACGGCTCTCTCATCTGTGGACGGTGGTTCGGGACCCGGACGAAAATTCGACATTCCTACCACCCATTTATTATCTATTTAAAGACACAGTCTAAATATGTTTTAAAAAAATTTTAAATTTATCAGAAAGTTATCGAACCTACGCCCCTTTTATTTTAGCTATACATAGCTACCATTACTCTAAAGACCCTGTCAAGTTTTGTGTTTTTTTTGTTATAAAAAATATATAAATAGATAAAATACCTGTGGTAGACTACAGGCCAGCGCAATTGCCCATGCGCAGTACAGCATCTGCTTGCTTCTTCTGCGGGCAACAGATAGCCTAAGGGGGTACACCACAGCGAAGTATCTGCAACAATGACTCTATCAGTTTTTTATGCTACAAGAATTTAATAAATTTTTCTGTTTCCAACAACCTCCTCCCTACGAAATATAATTAAATTATCGTTCTTAATGTATGAGGTTATTTATTGCTTATTTGGTATTCCTACAGCTCCATAATAGATTCATGGCTTAAAAATAATTAAAACTAACCATAAGCCAATAAAGAAAAAATACCTATGAAAAACAATACAAAAAATAATTAAAATTATAAAACTAAATTTAACGACAAGGGAAAATAATTAATTGAGGAATATAATTTCAGTTTATTATTATATATTTAATTTTTACTTACATTTGTTTATTGTTTGTTCCATAGATAGATCAAGGTTAAGATTAGATCACGAAAAAGATCATGTGAAAATACTAAATAAATCGATATTAATGTCCAAATCTATCCGCATGCGAAATGCGAAATTAAAACAAAGGCTTACACATTACTCTGTATTTGTAAACACATTGTATAAATGTCGTATCTTGAGTTGGGGAAAGTCGTTTTGGGTGTTATGGGAGATTTTTATACATCTTTTTAAGTAGCTGTATGTTCACATATTTAATAAAACCCTAAAAGAGGATAGAATTTGGAGCACTTCGGATTTAAGTGTGTAAATGATTGATGACGTTGGATTAAATATACCAACAAGATAGTCGTACGAATGATATAAGTTTACTCAACGAATATTTTCGTGAGGAAAAACCAATGGACCGCGGTAAAGCATTTTCCAATCGAGTTTTCAAGCTATGTTTTCTCGTTTTTTGATATAGATGTCTCTCCCGCCTGTTAGCGATATATTTTTGCGAATATAAAGTTTAGCTTTTGTACGTTTCCGTTGCTGGGAAAAGAATAGAGTCAACTGAATCACGTACAATCCTTCCTTTTTTTTTTCTTTTTCTTTACTGATAATTTAAAAGTTTACTATCCTAAATACTGTCTATAATTTACGCGAGTAGTACACATTTGAATAAAACACTTTAACCGTTTAAAACGCGATATATTAGTTAAAGTTATTTAAAAATGATTTTTAACTTCGGCCCGACGTTTCGGATGCTTTGCAGCAGCCGTGGTCACGGGGAGTCACACAAGTTTAAGTAATATAATGTCGCGTTTTAAAACGTTAAAGTGTTTTATCTAAATGTGTACTACCCGCGTAAACTACACACAGTATTTAAACCTTAACAGTTAAGAACAATAAAATTAAAAATACATACTTTTATTGCCTGCTTAGCTTACTTACGAACGTGCATCAATATTGCTGCAGCATTGTAATAATAAATGACATTTAGGTAAATCTTTAAGTTTTTTTCATAAGTTATCGATTAAGACTAAACGAAACCATGTTGTGTCCTTTAAAGGAATTTTGATGGGTCATTATATGTATGGCTAATATTGTCCGGTTGTAGATTAAGCTCATCCCTCCTTAGAAAATATGGCGGTTAAATGGGCGGTAAAGATATTGAAACCACTTCCGGGTCACGAACTACTATCCATAAGTGGCAAAGCTGTAAAGTTACGTCCACGTTATGGTCTTGGTCAGTAGATTGCAGAGGTTTCAAAGGCAAAATAATTCAAAAAGAGATTTGCTATTAAAATATAGACAGTATTTAAATTTGCTATTAACTAACCCCATACTGCATGTACATGTGTCATTAGAGTAAAAAAATATTTTTATTGTTTATACAAGTTACTCGCAACTCCACAAATTTCGACTGGCAAAAATTTACAGTTGACTAACCTTAATCCCCAATGTTGCCAGAATATAAATCAATTTCACTTTTTATTTGCCTAAACATATTGGACTCATCGTCCGTGAATCGAAGTATTAATTGTATTTGGGATTGTTCAAATTCCGTACGGGACAAGAATTATAATTATCGCTTGCCTCAATATCTTGTATTTTTTATGACATAAATATATCTCATCCATACACGTATAACTCCTTAACAAGATGCTCTGTAGAATCTAATAAGTCCTTGTAAGCTTCAATTGAACCCAGTATAAATTGGGTCACTATAAAATGTAGGCATCGATTTGTAAACAACTTGTTTATTCTTTGTAAAGTTTATACATTGGAAAATTTACACAATAAAAGATATAAGCTTTCCAGTTATACTATCAATATACTATCAGAAAATTATTCAATTTTCGGAGAATGGCGCAAACACATGGCTAGATTCGTGTTACTTTTATTAGGGTTTTTCAGAATACTGTACTCAGTCCTACGAAATAATTGTGTTTCCCGAGATTTAAATCCATGACCATTTATTAATGCTAATTTAGATGTTTAATTATTCAGCCACAGATATGATCTATACCGAATAAGAATTATACTAGGCAAACGCCGTTTTTTACGATTATCGACAAATATATCTTACTGCTGCGGACAGCGCCATCTTCATGTATTTCTTAAAAACAATTATCGACAGGCAATGGGCAAATCAAGATAGAGATCATAAATAAATCACGCACTCACTCTGCAAACCTTGTACGTTACAGTATTGTCATCTGTAACGTGTCGTCATAAACGTATCCACAAATTTGACACTTACTTTAAAACGCAAGTGCTAAGGTTGAAATTACATTACGCGAGAATTGCAAGTATGTAAGTAGGTTGCAAAAATCGACGATGACGTGTAGGCCTCTGTAGCTCAATTAGTTAGAGCAACTGCACGGAACGCTGAGGATGTAGATTCAAGTGCTACCCGAGGCGTCAATTTTTTCAATTCATAATCGATTTTTAATTTGTTACTTACCGATCTAAAGAAATGCAGACGAGCACGTTTGACGACAAATACAGGCCAAAAGCTCGCATCACCAAGAGCACTTTGCACATCAGGTTACCAGCTAACCAGGCATTCGTGTATTTCCATCCAATCTGAAACAATGTTGATTGTGTGTTCAAGTGAGGGGTATTGAGAGCAATTTCTGGATCAGCTCTGAATGTTAAGGGTCATAGTTAGGTAGTAGGTTACGCTACGGATTATTGTAGCAATGTTAGGCTTATAATCAATGGGTCATGACTTTGATTCCCACGGGCTAAGACACTGGTAAAAACAAATAAACAAGACTACATACGATTGAAAGCTTATTTACTAAAACGAAATATGCAAATTCATTTAACTGATTGATTTATAACAAAAATAATTTAAACAAACAAAAACGTAGTAAACAGACAAAGAAGTATGAAGGCAACTGGCCAGAGGCTTTTGTGACAAGCACGACTTACACTAATAAAGAGAAAACTTCATTGTATTGGTATAACGTTGTTCTTTCCTTTCGTTATTCGTATATTTCATGCATTTCCTGAGTAAAAAAGCAAACCTGGAGCCACAAAGGATCTTACTACTGAACTACGGAAGTGAGTGGGCATAATGCGAAATCAAGATTTTAGAGATTAAGTTAGAATCTTATCGCTACTGAGTGTTAGAAATAGAAGCTCAAAAACGTGAACGTGATGTGACGCTAGTAAAATATTGAAATTATTAATATCACTTCCTTTGAATTATTGTGCTCATCCGAGGGAAATGCAAGCGCCGGAGGCATGAAACATGCGATCGTAGATAGCTCACACAAATGATTAAATCTCACATAGCAATGTTTCGTTATTTGATATATCTGTTTAATAAGTTGAAAGGAAAACTCATTTGTCGGATGTCACAATCTCCTTTAAAACCACAGACGTTTACAAACGTTTAAGTTTCTATTAACTCTTTACGTTATCTTTGTGGAAAGGTATTTTCAATGCTGTGCGAAATATAAGGTACTATAGAAGTTTAGATTTTTTGCACAAACCTCAACTTATACACTATACTACAACATAGATGAAAACGTTCTCACTTTTGTTTTTCCAATAATAGAAACATAATCAGACGATAGCATCCTAAGTATACACATTTTTTGTCTGACATCTTTTCATTAACTGTCACCTGACAATGAAACAAACCCATCTGTTGTGCTGGGTTAAGTCCATTGGCAAAATTCCGTTGAGTACTTTTTGGGATTACCACTCTATACATTCTTCTTAGTTTATTGAATGCACGATATTTTTATTGCTTCAATATATATAAATTTAAATACCGTCTATAGTTTACGTGAGTAGTACACATTTAAATAAAACACATAAACGGTTTAAAATGCGATATATTAGTTAAACTTATTTGAAAAATGATTTTTAACTTTTAACTTGGAAACTTTTTTGTTCGCATCACAAAAAAAATTCCATATAAATATTAATTGGAATAATTATATTTATAATGACAGACAAGCACATGCTTCAAGTAACCACATGGTGCACTTGCTGGTAGGTCAAATGCATATCTAAGCAAGGTACGTCGACATATTTTTACTTTGGATATTCGGAAATCCACAGACTGAAACCGAAATGAGATTAAGGCACGGCTATTTCATCTGTAGACGGTGGTTCGTTACGACGGAATTTCAATAATCCTATCACCCATTTTATGCCCATAGTTACAGATGAAGTCCACCACAAAACCACCAGAAAAATTAAAAAATGTTGGACCATGTGGAGATCGCACCGTTGTTATTATGCTACGAACGAGACCGTCAAGTTACTTTTATAAATCTTACAAACCAACGTATCGCGTATTAATCCATCAAGCCTGTTTCATTTAATTGCGCACTATTCTCTCGCAATCTGTTTATGCAAAATGGATCGACTTCGCTTTAATAAAAGCAGACATCAAGTTTAACTCTAATTGTTCGTTAAATAACTGAGTTATAATCATGTCTGACGTCATGAATATTAATCGAGTAGCGATAACGTTTTTCTTCAACTAATGGGAACAAAAGGTTCAATTCTTCACAACCCGTATATTTTCTCAACAAATATTCGTTTCTAATGAAAACCTGAAACTTGGAGTTAAACAAATATTTGAGTTTGAAAAATATTAACTTGTTGAAAGTCGCGGTGAGACGTATTTACCCATTTGGGCATAATAATGCATACTTACGATGTGGGGAGGTGCTTGTGTCAATTCTGCGATCGATGAAGGCAATATATGCGAAAGACAATAAAATAAGCTCGGTCCCATACTAAGTTATTACTACTAAAGAGTTTATATAACAGGTCGAGTGCGCTAAATTGGGAAACAACGAGTACGATTGAGATCAGTTTTATGATTATATAGCTAATCGTTCAATTCAATTATATGCTAATACACGAAACAATATGCGTCTGGTGCTTAATCTATTAGAACGACGTTTTAATGAGATGACAAGACGCGTGCGCTGGCTTTTTAGTACTGAATAAAAAATACAGCGATTTGCAAGTCACATCTAATCTGATATATAAAGCTGAAGAGTTCTCATCTCAAGAACAACGGGGTTGAATTTTTTTTTGTGTTAGAGCATTTATCGAAGAAGGCTATAAAGCATCGCGCTGTGACGAATAAGCGTAGAGTGAAGAAATAGCGAGAAGTGTGAAAAAAAATGGGAATTTTTTTCATAATTTTGGGTTTCCGAGGAGTAAGCTGCAAAAATGGTACCCAGAAAATATGTATGAAAGAATGTTTTCTCTTTAAATGAGATAAGAAAAAATCCGCGACGCTAACTGTATATCTTTTCAAGATTAACTTGTAAGAACGACGCGAAGGAACGCGATCAACGTCGTGGGTTAAGTTTATAAAGAACGAATTTGGATGACCAAAATAAATATTCTTAGCGGACGAAGTCGCTGGCACAGCTAGTAAGACAATAATTATACATTACACAATAACCTGCTTCGTGGAATTGTACATTGATATTCATTCCTTGAAAATCTACAGGTCTATTTGTTTCGTATTAAGTTGTACTGCTTCTCCGAACTATTGAAGTAAGTTGGTGAAAGATTCAAAGATCATTATTATTTCTATTAAGTGTGCCTTTGTGGTTGTGTCAAAACGAGTTGGTTAGATTATGTTTGACATGAGTTCCCAGCCCAGGGAAGAAAGATCCGTTTGTTCCATTTGCGAGAATGCTCTCTATTCATTGTTGAATATTTCTGTACAAGTTCTAAAAACATATTTTAAGATTTTAAAATTAGGTTGCTATAAATAGTTTAACCGCTTTTATTTCACAGGCTATAAAAAGGATAACTAAGGTTTTTTTACAAACTAAAAAAACCGATGTCACCTCAACGACAGCTTATCTATTAAATACCTATGCGTATTGTAAAGAAGTTCCATAGATATTCTATAGATTATTTTAAAATGAGCAGAAATTAACTTTATAAGTATTAAATAAAACACTTTAACGGTTTAAAACGCGATATACTTAGTTAAACTTATTTTAGATAGGGTCCGACTTTTTAGATGCTTTGCAGCCGTGTCTTCTTTCCCTGCTGCTGCAAAGCATCTTAAATCTACTCGCGTAAACTAGAGATAGTACCAAATATAACTTCCTAGACTTATTACAAAACCGCTTATACAAAGGTTAGGCTAACTTAACGCTAATTAGATGTGTTCAGTTTAAGGTTAGATTGTGGCTTTTGTCAATTAATATGTCTAAGAAGCCACTGATATTATGCCCATTTGTAACTAAAATAAAAAATATACTTAATTAATTTTCCTTGCCCTTATGTATCGTTTGGTACCGCCCAAACCAGTCAAACTATTATCACACTTTATCTATCAGTAAACCAATGAGTCTTTAAAAATCTATGTTGAAGTCGCTTTGTTGAATAATGACGAAACAGGGCTAGCAGACACAAACACTACGCCGCCGCGCTGGGACTTTACTTAAATGGCACCAATTTAAATAAAATGTCTGACACTGCGTCGTCAATTTTCTTAATCCATTAATTCATGCAATTTATAGAGCGAAGTATTTTCAGCCTTAAGATTTGCATATTGTGTTTCAATGTCGTATGCGTTTTGTGAGAGAGACCATCAAAGTTATAATTACCAAATTCTAACGCTTGAGTTACTATAACTTTTCACATGATAGCTTAGATAACTTTTAGTTTAAGTATTTAAACTTGCAGCAAACATTTATATAGAAGTCAATGTTTAGTTCACCCGCAAATATCTTGTGCCAAAGTGGATAGATAATTCACAAACTTCGATGAGAAAGTCGAGATATAAAACATTGACAGGTTTTCAGTCGCGTAGTGTTAGATGATACTGTAGGTATTTCAAACTTTTAACTACCTTCTCGAATTAAGGTTTAACTGCTATGCTAGCCATCACTGGTAATCGAATTAAGTTTGATCTGAATTCTAGGTTTTTAATTTAATTTATTTATTTACAGCACTAAACAGCGCTGGCCCTTATGATAAGTAAAACGAATATAACAACTTCTTATTAACTAGCAAAACTTCTTCTAGAAATCTAAATGTTACTCAAACACAGTTTGTTAACAAGTTTCATTCAGAAAATTGTAAGATATAAGTTAAAAAAGCTATACGGTGAGAAACATGCCTTCAATACAACAAAAATAGTTTATCTTTCTTCTATAATATGTTTGATATATCATAATATAAATTAACATTGTATTATTATACAATGAAACCATTTTGGGAACGATTACCAATATTACTTCTAGTCGTTGGGTCGTAAAATAAGTTTTTGGTACGCGTAGATCAAGCGGGGATGTGGAAGTAAATCGGGACAGTCTATCTGGGCACAACATGTCTTCCTCAATATTAGTAAAAGTAAAAGCTCAAGGCGTTGGATCAGGGAAAATAAGTAAACGTGCCACGTGGGTTATAATGACAACGGTGTCCTAATAAACGATAGCTTAACATATGTTTTGTTCATTAATAAGACTAGCACAAAGACAATTTATTTCTGCTAAGTGTATCTATACCTCTATTTGCTTGCATTCCTAGTTATAGAGGAAAGGTTTAGTTATCATAATTTCAATTATTTACTCTTTAATCTCTTTATGTAGTATTATTACTATCATTGATCATAAATACTATTTCTAGAACAGGCTCATATTGACGAACAAATGTGAAACAGGAAATTCAAGTGGGCGGACGGTAATTATTCTCTGCACGTCGGGAATGACTTTGCTCAAAAGCGATATATACCTACATAGAACAACAATGAAAAAAGATTTATAAAACGCTAAGAAGGAATTTTCTTTTAACTATCAGTCATGAACTTTACTAAATTGAAATGGTTTACATTTCTTGCCTCGCGCAAGACTTAGTTAAGTAAAGGTTTGGATCTTATATGCAAACCTTTACTAAGTCCAACAAAAAATTTAATTTCAAGCTTCAGTAGTCCATCTTATTGGATTTAGGGCGGCCAAAATTTTAAATGAGTAATTCTGCAATATTAGAGACGCCAATACCCTAGGTTCACCTAATCACCTAGGTTAATTATTTAAGTAAAACACATTTAACGGCTTAAAACGCGATATATATGAGTTAAACTTATTTGAAATTTATTTTAACTGCGGCCCGACGTTTCGGATGCTTTGCAGTAGCCACGTACAACTGTTAAAATGTTTTATTTAAATTCGTACTACTAGCGTAAACTACAGACAGTATTTAGGTTACTTATGTTAAATTGAAATTACATTGCTTATATGTATAGTGTCAAATTACAAACTTGTACAAATATCGGTTGCCTTGAAATTACTTACAAATAAGGAAAATTAATTGCAGCATTTATAAGTGCCATATATTCCAGTTCGCTTAATGTCATTTGCCTCCTACGTCTATTAATCCAGCACCAAACTCAAGCGAAAGCTTTGTTTATCAAGAGGTATGCACTCTAGATTTTCAGACACACAGTATTAAGTCATTAAGGCTTACTACTACTACTAGTTATACAGACCTAATTGGCAAGGTCCTAGTATAACTAGTAACACTATTTTATGTCTTAAAACAACAGATTATGAGATTAATATCTGTGTTTATTTCAGAAAGAGTCTCTATTAAAAGCTCTTTTTGAATAAAGTTGACAGTTACCTACACATATAGGCTTTTTTTAAAATTAATATACCAATTTATGAGGGTAAATGTATTTTTATTTATCTATTTTTTAAATATTTGATTAAAATTATAAATGGTTGGAGCAGAAAAGAGTTTAATTCCAAGATTATCTCAAATGGATTATTAAACAATAATTCATTTTACCAAGCTCACTTAATTGTTAATATTTGAACAAAATTCAGCTCACGTGAAATGGGGATAATGTTATAAATCCTTTGTTATTTCGATCTAATTGAAAATTCTCGTATCGCAGCGTTAGTTGCTGTACACATCTGATAAAGCTTGACCATTTTTTCAGTTTTTGATTTAGAATACTGTATATATTCTGAGTGATAAGGAATTCTTTGTATTATATAATAGTGTCCGACTATCTCTTACATATATTATTTTTAATTTCTTGATCCTATGAACAATCTATCTTCTTTCTCTAACATACCTACATTAGGTTTTTTCTACAAAATTCCCTAGAAATATTTTAAATGACACAACGACGTTACGCGGGGCAAGAAGTTCAAATAAAAATAATCTACGACTGAACAATCAAAGGAAACAGGAACCATCTTTTAACTACTCTGCCTATGATCGATTTCGTTAGAGCAATACAAACGTAATTAACAAAAATCTCTAATAAAGCAATCATAACTTTGCTATGAAGTTTATAATTGTAAAATTGTTTCTATATTAACGTGAACACATTCTAATAAAACGTAATTTTCGGAAAACACTATTTAAAACCCGAAATTTATTAGTCGACATAATATGCGAAGCATCCGAAAGGTCTGGTCGTAGTTAAAATAAAATAAAAATAGATAAAATAAACATACTACGACTAACGAGCTAGCGTGTGTCAGAAACTAAATATTACCATATTTTATTCTAAGCCTTAAAACATTGTCCCCCTAAGCGAGTTTACCACAGGAACGACGAGTTTGGTTTGAACATTATGTTTATTTAAAAGGCTTCAGGCTATGAAGCATCGCGCTATAATAATTTAATATAGGCTATTTAAGAACCTGAAAACCAAATCATAAGAAACCATGTTATATGTAATAAAAGCAAAGTTAAATGTTTATAAGACATGATTTACACCGAACTCAAAATTGGGGTTTCCGAGTTGGCTTAAACTTTTATCTTAACTTATAATGTGCAATATCAATTTAAAACCACTTGCAAATGGGCAATAAATAGTGTTTAAAGTACAGACGTATATACAATTTTAAAAATATTAAAAAATAAAACATAGTATGATTCTAAATCTTGTAAGAAATAAACTTAGTTTCCAAATTATAATAGCAGATTAGTGCAATCAATCGTCATTTAGGGCCTAAGGTAGAATAGAAAGTGATAGTCTTCATTATAACGTAATTAAAGATGTGTAAAATATCTTACCTCCAAAGGAATAACACCGCATGTCACACACACATCCGCGACAGCCAAATGAGTCATTAAAAGATCCACTCTAGACTTCCTACGTCTAGATTTGGCCAACGTTATAAGCACAGCCAGGTTTCCTAGCCCGCCCATTGTCATCAGAGCTGCATATGTCGTTATAACTATCCCCTGATCGCGAGGTATCACATCCTTAATGGACACATTTAGTGATGAAGATCCGTCAAAGTAATCCCAAAACTGTTTATCTATGTACGAAGTCGAAGTTTCAAATGTTAAATTTTCATCCGCCATTTCAGTTTTTTTTTTTTCACCATTTATCACTAAAAATAACAATTTATGTGTTTATTCTTACGCTAAACGCGCAACTTGTATTACGAGTAGCAAAAGAACTTTAAATTGTTGGAATTTGGGAAGTTGGAATTTTCTTATAATTCAAGTACATTTAACGATTATTTTTTATAGAGTACGTTAATTTAAAGATCAATATTATGTTATAATTTATACTTAAAACTTTAGTTACGAGAGTCGCGTAGAGGCGGCTACGCGCGTAGTGCCCGGCCGGTGTCGTAGCAATCACTGCGATGCAGCGTCGTAGCACCAAACATTCCGTAGACCGTAGACGAAGTGAATGGATCCTATTTTATTGAAATAACGGGAGAGAGTTCAAACAATTTATAATTTAGATGGAAGGCAATCGTTCGGAATATCTGCATGAGATCAAGTTTTTAAGCAAAATTGGAAAATTAAATTCTAAGCATTTAGTGAATCACGGTGATTCGTTTCGTTTGAAATATTAAATTTAATAACCAATAACCCGAGCTAAAAATTTCAATGAAATTTTGTAAAATAATTGCTGTTATTTGTAGTGAATTCGTCTTGGCTACATTCCAAGTATAATTTGAATTAAAATTATAACTGCATGTATTTTGTATTAAGGGTCCTTTTAAATAAAATAACAGTTAATAAGCTAATATATTATTATTTTAACGAATTAAAAACCGTTTTATAATCTCTCTTATTCATTTAGTTTTTTTTTTAGTTTTTGTGAACTTATGGTAGTAAGATATGAATATTATCAAATTATTTATTAAGTATAAAATAAAATATGTTAAAATATAAACTCGATCAACAATTTTGTAGTCTTAGTTATTTATTGTAGTCTTAGTTATTAATATTTATTGATGAACGTTGGTACATTTAATATTCTGCTTTAGTGGTATTTTGCATTTAAACTACAAATAATCGTTCAGCAAATAACGATGTTATTTGTCTTCAAATTCAATCATGTGACTTACTAGTAAATTATCGTCTTTTCAACTTACATTTGATTCAAGTAATGTTTACATACGAGACTTATTTGCTATGAAATATAACACTGTAATTCATGACTGATTTCAAAATTTAAAGCTTTCTATATGACAGAGAGTTTTTAGTAGAGCTATTTAAAAAATCAAAAGAATCTGGATAGCCGCAATGTACATTTGGTATTAATTTATACCCACCCTTTCTTTTTCTTTCTTTCTTTCTTTAGACACCTACAATGTTTAATTAGAATTACCTTTACCATATATATTTTGGAATATATATTGACTTCGATATAGCATTTATCATGTTTATTTAATGTTTTCTTTACAACGCGTTGTGGTATAAAAGTATTCTGTTGTTCTTTTGACCAGGGTCGAACTCCCGACCTAAAAAAGAAGATTTATAAGCATAAATAATTATCGTGGGAGTTCCAGCACGTGCCCGTGTGGAAAGTAAAAATATAATATGAACACGGGCACGTCCTAGATCCAATTAAAAATTAGGCAGTTTGGCGATTCTTTATCAAAAAGGTAATTTTTGAAAAATTTAGGCAGTTTTACTGTTTTGCACATGAAGGCACTATATAATTTAAAAATCAAAAATATTTTTTAAAATTTTCCCCCCCCCGGCGATAATTATCAATCTATAATCAAACAAGGTAATTTTTATAAAATAATAATAACAATATATATATAACGTATATAAATATGTTCGCACTTATAAACACGCATTCGCAGCTTTATTTTTAAGCTCCTCTTGACTTTTATAGCAGAAATGTGTTTTTAAAATTATATTTTCCCACAAAGAAAACAAAATATGTTTTATCTGGCAGAAATAAGCTGCAGCCTTGCTATATATATACGAAAAGGTTTAACATAGTTGTCTGTGCGTGACTAAAATTAACTTTTTTGATATTTTGTACATACGATATAAGAAGATAAGCAGAATGAGCTTTATTTGTAAAAAAAATAAATATTGAAAATGTATTGCAAAAACTTTACTCTATCTTAGTGTGTATTAAGTCTCGCTTTTAAAGGAAAAGATTATTTGTAAGAAAAATTTAATGTAAATGTTAATCTTCTTGTGAATTACATTACAAAAAGATAAAGGTAGAAATTATGCATGACTGTAATTTTAAAACCTGGTAAAAATCGCGAATTTACGTCCCGGAAAAGTATTTAACTTCACAGAATACATTCGGTCAGGGGTCGCGCTAGTATTACTCTTTTAAAGCCTTCTTAAGTTATTATTTTTAATATTTTACAAGTTGTTTTAAACTTTATCGCGCCGCGATTAAAGCGTTACAAATTGAACTAACAGGAAAAGATTTGATTCAATTAGAGCAGAAAATTTGCATTATTGGAAAGTATTATCGCGAATTTTAACTCTCAGTGCTGAGAGTTGTTATCCAATCTACTTTAACTGGGTCAATAGTGAATCTGTATTAAAGACAGATTAAAAACGTAACACTATTAAACAACGCAGATGAATATTTTTTTATATAGTTAGCGCAATAACAACAGATAGTGCGGTGCGGGCCGACCGCGACGCGAACCAGGTGCGTGGGCGGCGGAATGAAGCGAGGAGCGATCGACGAGGCTCATTCTGTTGATACCAAGCATTGTACAAATTCAATCATTTAAATAAAACAAACACCGTGTAGTTAACATTATTTTAACTATACGGTGTTTCGGATGCTTTGCAGTGTCGGGGAGACTGTGTCTACTGCAACGTGCAAGTGACTTAGTTTACTAATATATTTTACGTTTTAAACCGTTAAAGTGTTTAAATTAAATGTGTACTTCTCTCGTAAACTACACATGGTATTTAACGTCATTAGTTGTACTATAAGTCTCTAGGAAAAGTCATACATGTGAATCTCATCAATGTCTATATATTTTACACATAATCAAAATGAAATACATACATACAGGCACACATGATAAACTCATTATATACAGTTTGGTAAAAGCGATTTCTAATATCCGCTTGTGTAGAAGCGTATCATGATTGATGAGAACGAGACTAAAATATTTAATGAATAGAAGGATTTCGTGTTTCGATTCCCTTTGAAGAACTAGGGAGGCTTTTTGCTGGTTCCCCTACTGTACGTATTTACCAACCCATAATCCTTTTAATACTGGTGTGTAATTTTTTACATACAGCATCCGGGGAAAAACTTTATTAGTTTTATTTTCTCCAACATGGCTACAATTCTGTTCAGCTAATTCTCTGAAAATAACTTTTACCTCAATCTAAATTGAATAAGTTAACAAAGGTTACGTTTTCTTTAATTAATTAAACTATGTAAAAAATGTTTCACTATCAGAGAGCCGATTTATAGTACTAAAGCTATAAGCTCTATAAATATTTTTTTTTAATATTCCAAGACTACTTTCAAAAATAGGAGAAAAGGTTGGAAATGGCCTCCCCCTGTCCTTAGGTTGGCTGCTACGCAAAAAGCAAATATTGTATGATATTAGGATGCTCACTAAGCTAACCATGTAATATTTGCTTTTTCTATAAACACTTGAATATGCACAACATTGACATCGATTTAGAATTATGCTAGCTATAAAATAATATGAAAACTAATAAACAGTAAATTTGTATGGCCGTTTGTCCGTACAATAATTGTACCCTATCTGTTTAAAATTAGTAAATACAAAGATTTTTGAATGAATAAAAAAAGAATACAAATAAGGAATTCTGAAAAGTTGATACTTGTTGATACAAATAAGTCTAAAATCGTTGTTTTTGTTTAGACTACCATTCATTATGTTTTTTTTATTTTCCCGAGAACTGCTAAATATGTAAGAATATACAGGCTTGGTAGTAAAGTTTATTAAAATGAAATATTGTATAAAAAATTAACAATAAACAACCAAGTAACTTGTTTATATGTATAAAAGGAGAAAGTTTAACTTACATAGATGTCGTAAATTTTTGAGATAGCTATATTAAATATTATAAGTGACTCACTAATGTATATTTATTTAATGTTGATATAAAAATTACCAAGAAAAGTCGTCAATAAAAATCTTCTATACACCGTTGGCAACTAATTTATTTGCATAAACTTTCCTAACTAAGTACACAGCGCGTTTCCTTGGTGCAGTGAAATGAAAAAATCAAAGAAAATGGTTGAAAAGATATTGCAGTTGCTTGAAGTATAATTTTATTTTATTCTGATTCATAGTTAATTTTGCGCCTTACGAATAATCGAAAAAAAAAACACAATATCTTTTAGAAGCCTTGCGAAAACAAGGTCTTGTTTAAACTAATTAATGTTTTAAAACGTTTTAAGCATTCTCGACAAAAAACACAATTTTCGCTTTACCTTCGCTCCACGTTATACTCCTTAGCTGATTCTGTCCTGTCAAAATTAGTTTAACTATACAACTAACTATTCTCGTAGAAAAACTTGTACCAAATGAAAGAAATGGTAAAACAAAAATTGTAAAATCACTTTAAAGAACATGTAATTAAGCGCAGTAAGTTTCTTTAACAAAATCGATGAGTTAAGAGTCGAATACAAAATGTTAGACATGACATCATGCTAGTTATTGTTAAAACACAATTAACTTTATATCTTTTCACTTCTTATTACTATGCAAAATGTAAAGTAGATTCGAAAACGACGTTATAATTAGAGGAGGCGCATTCTTTTAAATAAAGAACTTTAAGGGTTTAAAACGCGTTATATATTAGTTAAACTTATTTGAAAATTTTTCCCCGACGTTTCGGATGCTTTGCAGCAGCTGTGGTCACGGGGAGGCCGTCTCCCTAATTTAACTAATATATATCGCGTTTAAAACCGATAAGTGTTTTAAACGCGATATTAAATGTGTACTACTCGCGTAAACAACAGATAGTATGATATTTTATTCTAGGAATGGAACAGATTTTGAATTTGACGTGGTTAATTGTATAAATAATTTTTAGTAAACGCGAAAAACAGTCTAAATGAAATGTCAAATATAGGT